CTCAGAATGTCTTTCGATTTCAAGAATCTGTCCAGCAAACAGCAACAGAGCATATTTCACAGATAAAGTACTTTAGCTCATTAAAACGAGTTGTGTAAAGCTTACCAGAACATTTGCGTGTGTGGTTATTAATCTATCTGAAGATTAGGGCAGTGGAGTTCGGGGTGTATGTAGACTGGTGTTTTGTTGAGGCACTGGGACGTCAAAGTCACTGAGAATCAATTTACTAGTTGCTTACTCTTAATTCAACGCTGCAGAATTACATAATGTGATGTATATGTATTTTGTGGAGAGAGACGATCAGAATTTGGCATGAACTTGAGGCTTTGTTGGGCATCAAATAGTTGGCTTAGAAAGTTGGGCAGAAACTTCCATGACCTGAAGAAAGGGACCTAGAAACCGTTGCCAAACCAAAGTAATTTTTTTGATTTATTTATGTCAAGAAGTGGATTTTCACTTTGGCTCTCTGAGAGTCAACAAAAACACTGAACCAATTGTCCTGATAACCATTTTATCGCTCGATAGTTTAAAGAATGTGGACTTGTCAAAAAGTAGTACAAAGTATCTGGATGTTATAAGCGAGCGGCAAAGCACAAGTGTAGCCCTCAGAGGAACAGTTATAAATGTGGCAAAAATCACATGCTGCAAATTAGTGGAAGCTCTTTGTGAAAATATTTGTGAAAAGAGGATCGAAACCAGATTACGTGAAAAGAAAAGAAGTGACAGTTCGGCACAGAAATTGCAGTCATCCTGTATGTAATAATATATTTAGACTGTAGATTTTTCACATGAAGCTAACCTTTGGTCATTTTGGTTTGTGCCCTTTTTTATATTTTTATACTTTTTAAGAAAAAATTTAAGTAAAATTGTAGCCTGGTATAATGACTTATTCCATGAGACGAGTTAAAAGAATAAGGTCAGAAGCTGCCTTGCAGCATAGTGAACTAATCAGTCGTTAGTTCACACGCTTTTCCCCCCTATTCTCAAATGATATCGTTTTGAATACAATTCAGTTGTATTCCTTAATAAGAAGATGATAAGCAGGTTATGACTTAAAATTGTAGTCCAATTTTTCCATCAGATTTGGTTGCAATTGAATCCTAATTTGAGAAGAGATTGTATGGATTTTTATATGATTCAATGGGAATGATACAGTGGAATTCTATGCTGAATCAGATTATGCAGTCAATTTCTCCTCCCCAGACTTAATTGCAATACTTTAGACAAAGTTGGACAATCTGTCTTAGCCCTCTGAAAGAGAAAGGTATATTGCAAAAACACTTTTAGTGGAACTTTGTATATTCTTGCATTTCCTTTCCTGTATATATGTAAGAAAAATAAACATGACATTGTGAAAACCCAATCTACAGACCTGGTCTTTTCTTTTAAGAGATAATGCTGTAAAAACAAATTATATGATAAAATCAAGTCCAATATGTTGACTACCTGTTAAGTAAATTACAAGGCCCTAGCATAATAGAGAGTTTGGTCCCATCCTAACTTATCAGCCCTTATTTTGCATGGAATTTTAGAATGTTACAGCGCAGAAACAAGCCATTTAGTCCGTGTCAGTGTAATTCCCTGCAAATTTGCTCAGGCTATTTCTTGGTACAAGATGATCGTAGATGAGTATACTTCTCCTGTGTTAAATGTTTATCAGCAAACTTGCGATAAACCATAGTGAAAAAATAGAATAATTATACATAGTGCACAAGTTTATTTACGGCTTGTTACAGGCCCATCTCTTTTGGCTGCACCTTAGGTCACCTCTCATTTCATGCTCGTATAGTGAAATGCTTTTTATGCTGAATATGTGCTAAGGAATACTTCAGAATTGCCCGCTGAATAATTAAAATATGAACTCAGGGACTTAAATTACAGCCATGAGTGAATTGAGACCGTGGTCAGTACCACAAAATAAGTTGCAATAGTCTATGGACTTAGCATGCGAGTGGTGAGATTTCATCCATGTTCTAGGTAAGAAACTGCTATTGTGTACCTGTTTTCTAACAAAGCACTTTACCATAGAACTCCTATTACGCAGAATTTTGTACCTTCACTGTGTTGAAAATACAGCCGGTGAAAACTACATTTGTTACCGGTGAGTGTTTCTCAGTGCTATGTGTAATGCGGTTTTATATTTGGTTTTATGGCTTTGTACTTGGCACACTGGCTGTAACAGATATTAAATGAGCAACAGTTTGTTTTTGCTTGGAATGGAAGTGTTTAAGTTGGACACAATATTCTCATCTTGACCTACATAGGCAGCTCTTCAATACTTCTAAATAAAACTGGGACTTTTAATATCAATCCAATGCTACAAATCTTGTACAGAACTAGTGGCTTGTACATCAATGGAATTTGAAGTACTGCAGGATTTCTTTTCATCAATTTTTACCTTGAATTAGACTTTTGTTGTGGGATTTTTGTTATTCTATGAAGTTGTAAGTGTAAATTTGCTCTCTTTGGATCTGGAATTGGGCTCCTCAGTCCATCCCGCCTGCAGTGCTCCTCACGGGGTGGATCAGCCTATGGATCAGGTTCCTTTGCAAGAAGGAAAGTGTTCTTAATGTCATTTTTGCTATTCTTTCGGAATTAAAATTGGGTTAAGGAGTTGCGATCGTAGATTTTCTTTTTGAAACTGCAGTCTGCGTAGGTCAAGAAACCGTCTTTATCAATTTGTTTGCTTCGGTACAGTTTTGTTTCCATTTGCCAGTGAGGCTGATCTAATGGTACCACATTGACAATTGTCACCGCATTTGGCTTGCTTTCTATCGGCTAATCAGCTGGAGCATTTGTTACTCCCGTTTAGGACACCCCTAAGGTGGTTCAAGCTTTTTAATTCCTTACTATTCTTTACGATCAAAAGAGCACTTTAAAAGTTGGGCACTTTTCCAAGAGGGGTTAAAATACTTGTGAACATGCAAGGTGTCCATCTAAATGTAGGTTTTTGGCTTGCGTGCATATGTATATAGAGTAAGTGTAACTTTATGGCACCCGAGTTTGAACGCAGTTCGTGTAAGATCACATTATTCTTGAATAAGCCATTATCTTGCTGCATTGACAGTTAACTCTTATGACAAGCGTTGACTATGAATTAAGTTTGCGGCAAAAAATGTTTTTTGGTAACAGGTAGTCTAAGATTTTGTTATATGGTACATCAGGCGAGTGAGATACAATCCTATTTTAGTCATGTGCGTCTCGTTTCTGGCATTGATTTCAGAAATTGATACAGAGAATAGTTTGGCTCAAACTTTTTGCCAATGCCTTTAAATGCACTCCTGGTTTACTCTTCCCTATTTGAGAGTGGGAATGTCTCAGTCATGCCTTGTAGCCTTATTAAAGTTCTATCTTTCACTTGCCCCTCTCCTAAGATTGTTCATTCCCAGGCATCCTTCACTCACTGCTCTAGTGAGCTCACTAATACAAGCAGTGTGTGGGCAATGCCTTCAATTCAAGGATCGAAGATAATAATAAAAATAATAATAATAATCCTTGCATTTGGTAGAGCGCCTTATCACGTCGGAATGACGTCCTAACAGGTAGGTAATCTTTCTTTGTATCAAATTGACAGATCACTGGGCAATGGAAGAGAAGCTTTACTTCCACTCGCTTATAATATATAGATGTAGGTTCTGCAATGGAACAGGGACTTCAAACCAATTTTAAAAATAATTGTCCACTATTCTCCTGTTTCCAAAACAATGGACCCTCTGAAATGCTCTGTAATCCCAAATAATGCTGCAATATAAAAATTAGATTTATCTTGGTATTTTAGTGCTCGCAGGAATTAATCTGTGTGAAGTTGCAGTTCTCTAAAATATTTTCTTTGTGGCAATTTTTATATCGAATCTTGATTAGCTTCCTCTCAAATGTTATTTTGACAAGCTTGTCTTGTCCCCCCCCCCCGCCATTGCTTTTTTTTTTAAAAAATCACTTAACATTAGATTGGTTTCCAAATATGATGGCTAATTAATTGTCCTATGGATTAAGTGTATGGGGTTTTGTCATTACTTGTTTTCAGATGATAGTTTTTGGAATGCCCTGATATCTGGTTATAACCATCGTTCAATTTTATAACTAATTTTTCACAGGCTAGAATAAATGTGCCAGATTTGTAATAAGTGTTTTACAAATCACCCAAGGGCTCGTGGTTGATGTGTGTGTGTGAATAATAACTGAAGCTGAATGCAAAAAATAATTAATGTTTTGTAACTGGGGGATGAAAGGAATATCTTAATTTTTTTTTTATCCTTTGGTCTCCCAAAAAAGTATACTTGATGGGCACCCAAGTATTTTAAACCCTATTTCAAATATATCTAATGCATTTGCAGTTTCTTTTGCTTTCTGTAGGGGTATCTTATAATTCAGCCCTTTGTTTCACAGCATGTCTGTCCGCTTGTTATCTGAATGTTTCGTAAAGATCCAATATCCCTCCATCAACCATTAGGACTTGATGTCCGACTGTGAAAAGTTAAGGATCGATATATTGGTGATCAATACTGGTTTACCTGCTAACACGTTTTGGTTTGTCATGACTCAGACAAGGAATGCAAGCTTCAAAATTCGGTTCAGTCAAATTCAACTGCTTTTTAACCCTTAAAGAGAAGTTAATTCTTTGAAACCGAGCAATACAATTTTGGTACATTCCAAGTGTTACGAGGTATATTATGTGTATACTCAAAGGAGCCTTTTGAGTCAAATGCGTTCCAAGATGAAGAGTCTGAATTTTATTTTGCACAGGGAGCTGTCTCACTGATGCTAACAGCGGCTGGATTCCACTGGCATGTTATCCAGAGCAACTAAATCGCATGGCCTAAGTATCTTTTTCGAACGGAGTAAAACCAGGTCTTCAGAATGTCATTCTGGACCCAATATTCTAATTTGTCATATTTTTAAGGGTTATATAAGAAATCTTTATTTCCAGTGTCTGTTGCAAGTTTCTCCTTACTCTTCTCTTTCCTTTTCTTCTTTCCACTCTTTCTTCGCTGACTACCTAGAGATTAATAGAAAGCTTATACGGACACTTGCGCACCAGCGAAAAGCCTTCGGTAAACCAGGGAACCTACTTCCCCTTCGGAACGCCTGAGAGGACCAACCGTGCAGGACAGACTCCAACTAAACGTCCTTTGTCTTACCCTTTTTCCCAGGCTCAGGTGCTATATACGTTTCTACTTTCGCTTATCGCTGTTTATTTTTGCAGTCTCGTTCCCATATATCTTTCATTAAAGCCAATGAACTTGCCACCATCTAGATTTCATTACAGCTTCATCATCTTATGTTATCCAGTCTTCTTCTGTATCCCCCACACCTCCCACCACCCAATTAGATTTCTCACAACCTTATCTTAAGGAAAAAAACAGGAAAACTAATCACTGAGTGATTGATCCATTCATATCACCAATATTCATTAGAGATGAGTTTGTGATTGCCAGCTTGGGGTAACTTTATAACCTTTGCCTTCCTCATCGGGACTTTCATCATTACCAGTACATGAGAAGTGTGGAAACTTTCTGTCAACCTCCTTTGCCATCATCCACAATGTATTGATTTTGTGCATTGTCTTCAGTCCTGAGCATTGAATTCCTTCTCCCCTCCCCCCCACCCCATGTAGAGACTTCATACTCATTTTCGGAGATTTAACTTCTTTTGCAGAGTGGTTTTCAAAATTGCATACTAAAATCTCCCTTTGAGGAATCCATTCTGATTTGCTGATCTAGAAGTAATGCATGTAATGCTATGTTCAGACATCTCTCACCTAATAGGATAATTTTAGTGTTTTAATGAATTGGACCTCTTGTAGGATACAACACCAAGCGGAGCAAAAGTCAACAAACTGCACAAAATATTTTTTTTTGGTATTATGGGAGCACGCATAACACCCTGTCCAATGGTACTCTCGTTCCCCATGGAAATTCCATATGAGGTTATTTTCATAACTGGAGGCAGCTGCCTTTATAAAGGAAAAGCTTTGTTTGCTGAGATTCAGGTTGAGTCCAGAGCAATTTTCAGCTTAACTCTGGGTTGAATCATTCCCGCAGCTAGAGTCCAAATTAAGATCAGTCCCTTGATTCAACAACACGCTAACATTCTCCTTAAGTCACAGAGAAAGGGATTTATGTTCTTTTTGGACCCGATTCAGTAGCAGGTTTTGTTGTCGACTTTCTTGTGTTGGCCTTACATCTGCCCGTTTTCTTGTAGAATGTGGATGAAAGTCTGAATTCAGAACTGGAAGAGCAGTCAGAGTGTGTAAGAGTTGATCACAATGCAGGAATAGAGGGACTGAAAGAGGAAGTGGCCTCAACGAGAGCCAAATGTCCGACCCACCGGAGAGCCTGGGTTCTATCCCTTCCTCTGTGAGTAGCAACGAGGAGGAGGAGGAGGAGGAGGAGGAGGAGGAAGAATTGTACTTCCTTGAGAACGAGGAGCCAAAGTGCCAAAACAGGCCAGAAATAGGCCTGGACATTGAGGCTTCAGAGGAGGTCACAGCAGAGACACTATCGACCTCTGCTGTTCCTCAAGCAAGCTGCCACATGAAGGAAGGGGAGGAGCTTTTAAAGATTAATGGAGATATATATCATTGCCATGAACCTCCTCAGCTAATTCGCTGTTTTCAGGTAACATTGAATCCAGGAAATCCCCTCCCTCCCACCCATCATTTTAACTTAATCTATTTCCCACATGAAAACCAAGGCACTGCAGCATTTTTTTTTGTTAATTATTAATGTGTGCACATCAAACCCCAATTAGCATCTTTAGAGATCTTCAAAACTAATTCTGAGGTTGATTACATTTTTTGTGGGACAGAGAGGGCAGCTCTGTGTTTGCTTCAGTGTCGTTGGTTTCTGGACACTGGGAAATGCCTGGAAAGTACTTTGCAAAGTCTTGCAAATCAGAGTGCTGGAAATTACACCAAATCTTACCTGCCTAATCTGTTTTTGGATCTTGACTTTAGCACGCTCCTCTTATACTAATGTTGCTTTTTTTTGCATGGTGATCAATTAACATTGGTGTGTCAGGTGAAGGTTGGAACCATTAACACTCAAACACGGTTGGTAAATATGGCTGTATAAACGATGACCTTTCTGTACTTACTGACTGTTAGTGAGTAGTTTCTGACACAGATGGTTTCCGATCATGAACTTTCAGATTTGATTCACTCTTATCCAAGTTAGTACTTCTGTGTTTGAATCGTAGATACCTAAGGAACTTTTAGGTATCTAGGATTTTAACTATTTCTTTTGGGGTTCCTACAATGTTCCCAAATTATCTAATACCTTACCTGCCTAGGATACAACAGAGAATTCTATAGACCATACACCACCAAAACAGACCTTTTGACCTAACTAAGCTTTGCTATGCTCCACACAAGGCTCTATCCCTCCGATTGCCAATCCCAGTATTACTGTATTCCTTTCTCCATTATGTATGCATTGAGTTGAGTTCCATCATCGTGAACGTAGTTAAAATTTGAAATTTGTAGTTAAAATAAAAGCTGAGCGCTCACGGCAAGAATCCTAAGTAAGGAATCTTTCACTAACAAATGTCATGATCACAAGCCAAAATAGTTTTTACACTTCTAGAACCACATTTATATTCGATCGTTTGTTTCTGGCAAATTGTGGAGTCTTATGAACTTCAACCTCTCTCCCCGCGCCCTGTCACCCAAAGGATGTGTAAACTCATAAATACCCCCACAGAACGTAGAGCCCTTTAGCGCTTCTGTGGTTTCAGTAATAGGAAAACTGCATTCAGAAGAGTAGCAATGGATAGTGGGTGATGTTCATGAGACGATAAATGATCAGTGTCAGAAGTGCTCACAGGGTCATTAACTGAGTGAGCGCCTGTCTACAACCTGAATTGGTCACAAGTGGCAAAACCAGAACATTTTTGAGACACAAATTGCAGGTGACTCTTAACAAGATTAGTTCAAAATCAGCCGTGGTGTTGTGCGGTCACAAGCTCTCGCAAGCATTTGCAATACATTAATAAATGGGTAAGTTTTGAATTTTCCACTGACAGGCGGATGAATCATTGTGGTCTGAATTTCACCCTCCTGTGTTCGATTTTTGCCATTGGTGAATGTAACTATCGCTCACCTAAGTTAAATTTGTTCTTCTGTGGTTGCATGAAAAATATCCAGCTGATATTTTTACCATTTGTTTCCCCCTCCCTCTTTTGAATAGCCGCCACTTGTGAAGACACAAACTGTGACCATCTCCGACGTGTCCAACGCTGAGAATGAAATTGCAACAAAGGAAGTTCCTGTGGTTCACACCGAAACCAAGACCATCACCTATGAAGCAGCACAGGTTAGGAATTATTCCCGTGTTAATTCCATCGCCTCGCTCTATGATCCAATGATCTGGATTCACGTTCCAATTAAAAATCTCTCTGTCCCTTTTCAGAGATGTTGTCATGGGTGCTTCTTTGAGAAACACTAGATTAGATTCTATTGAGAATCCTGTGATCACCATGCTGTATATTCCATTTATTCTGGTTTACAATATTTAACATACAGAATTTATACATATCACTGTTTGGTCCAGTTGGTACTCTTTGCAAAAGCGTCATCAGACATTAAAAGTATTCAACTTCTCTTTACATTGATTTGATTACTAATCAATAAGGAAACACTACCAATTCATGCGGTTTATTGCATAATTGTTTTGTTCTTCGTTCAGTTATACAAGTATAATTATTATACTCCAGTTTTTTTCTAAAATGACCTTTTCCTGCAGTTTGATACATAAAAATCAATACTGCAAAAAATGATTAGTGTTAACTATTCAAGATAGTTATTTCGATCCTCGCACTTTCTTAATCCAATTTGTGTCTCACTTAGTTTAGTGTTGCATTATTTGATGATTGTCCTCTTTAAAATCACTGAGGGAGCATTTTAGTGAGAGACGAGAAGCTCTTGAAACTTTGTCGTTCGTAACAGCAAAATCATTTGAATTTTGCAATCACAGCCTGAGGCTGGTACTGTAGACTCGTCCCAGTTAGTAGGTCTCCCAATTAGCGACGTTTTGCAATTTGTTCCAGCTGGAAGATGGGAATGGTGAGCCGGGGGTATTGATGAGCGCTCAGACCATCACTTCTGAGACAGTCTCCACCACCACAACCACTCAGATCACAAAGGTAGGGAGACACCATTGCTCCCCCATGTCAATGGTTCGATAAGCACTCCGAAACGCCGTCCTGTGCGAAGGCCGCTATGTGAATGCAAGTGTTGTTCGGTCGTGCAACAACAGACAAACATTACACTTGTTATAGCGCCTTTCATATCGGGAGGACGTCAGTGCTTCGGACAAGTTTGGGAATTTTGAAAGTACCTAGCAAGACTGGCAGAATTTCAGTTGTGTTTTTTTTCACATCTTTTTGCAGACTGTAAAGGGTGGAATTTCAGAAACCAGAATTGAGAAGCGAATTGTAATCACAGGTGATGCAGATGTTGACCATGATCAGGTGACTGTTGCTTCACAGCTGCTACTCTAGGTTTTTAGGCAAACACAGATCAGTGAGTATGTCTCCTTAGTTTATCTGGTGATAGATTAAAATTGGTCATTCACTTACTTCATGGCTGTTTTTATTGGGACATTGCAGTGTGCAAATTGGTTGGTGCATTTGCCTACAAAATAGTCACTACACTTCATAGTAAAATCCTCTGAGAAGCTCTTTGACACGTCTTGAAAGGAATATTACATTATACTAATAATAATGATACTACTAATATAATGTTAATTAAATTACATGGGGGTGAAATTACTCGTTTGATGCTTAAAATAGTTGCATTGCTCAAATCCTATTTAATAGGTGAATATCCTGTAGTAAGATGAGTTTTAAAAAAAGTTGATTGGTTTTTATATCATCAAGAAATTAAATATGCCTACAATATCCAGGCATACTTAAGGTAGAAATTAATAACCATATTTGTTCACCTTTTCACAGGCTTTGGCACAAGCCATCAAAGAAGCCAAAGAACAGCATCCTGACATGTCCGTGACTAAGGTGGTGGTGCATCAAGAGACCGAAATAGCTCAAGAGGAATGAGACGCAGTAAGGTTTTATTTCAGTGTCCTTTCGCTTATACTTACTGTTCTATTTGTGCAACAGATGTTGTCGTAAAAGTCTGTGGGATTGGTGAAGGGTTGCAGAAAAGGTGCATTTACATGGAATTTGGATTTATTGTCATCTGAAGATCTGAATAATTAGATTTTAGGCAGCGCTTGGACCGAGATTCTCTGGCAACATTGACATGCCTCATTCCCTCACTGAGCTGTTGAAGCACAATTTCTGATGTTCACAGTGAACAGCAGAGACCTGTAGCTGAGTCACGTGGTGCAATACATGGTGTTGCAGAGGTGGCGAGATACAGAGTCCCGCCAACTACTAATTAATTGCCCTGCCCTCCATCCCTCCCGGCTCGGTTCCAAATCCCTGACTGTCCAGCGCCTTGGACGTCCTCCTGTCATAAAAAGCGCTATACAAATGTAATTTGTTGTTGTGTTTCCCCACAGTGTGTTCTCAGTTGCAGATGTGTGCTTGGAATGGGTTGGGAGGATGGGGTGGGAAAGGGAATGAAGCAGTTACTGAGCAAAGGCCAGTTCTCTCCCTAGCGAGGGAGGGGGGGCGGGGGTGCTGGGGTGGGGGGGAGGGAAGAGAACCATTAGGCAACTCTCCTGCACCACCCACTTCAGGCAACAGAGACAGAGCTCAAGATTCGGGTCAGCCTTGTCTCTGAGATCAGAATCTGCTTTAGTGATTTAAGCACAAGAGGAGAATGTTTGGACTTAAAAAGCCAATTATGGTTCAGAGCTAAAATAGCTGTGGAATGTTTGAGGATCAAGTTGGACAGAATATAATTTATTGCCTTTTTTTTTTGCTCAGCCCACTGTGTGCTAATGTGTTTTTCTCATTATTTCTTTTACAGAGATGGAAAAATTGCAGAGAGAAATTTTGCCTCCCCCATCTCCGCCACACCCTCAAACCCCACTGCTTGACCATGCAACAGAGGATTGATTTTTTTTTTGAAGAAATAACTTTTTAGGATTTGACCACTGCGTTCTTGGCAAATTCAGCACCCGTTTGATAACCACAGCAAGTCTTATAAAATGGAGCCAACAGCACAAAGTACATTTTACAAAACGAGCAAAAGGGGTCAAAGTCGATGTGCAGTCTATTACTCTCGTTTTCTCCTGTGTTTTTTTTAATACACTGGAAAACATTCTCTTTGATAGTTTTGTAAGCTCCGTACCTTTTTAAGCTATTTTCAGCACCACACACCCCCCCCAAATTGGATTGAGAAAACTGTCTAGCCATCCGATTATTTTTTTTTCCCCACTGTCTGTTTTGTGCGGAGGGGGGTGGGGGAGAAGGAGAGGTGTTCAGAGTAAAAGTGTTTGATAGTTAGGATGCAAATAGTTTGTAAAAAGAGTTTGGGGGTGGTGGGAGAGAAAGAGAAAGGAGGAGGGGGCGCGGGGTCTGTGGGAGAAAAAGACAAATTCCAGCAGAGTTGAATCATGAAACATTTTATACTGTGAACTAAAAGAGCTGTGAATATTTGTGAATTTTAGCATTTTAGCAGGAAGAACATTTGTGATCTGTCAGGAGTCTTTTTTTGCTTTTATTTTAAAAGCTGTTGTATCCTTTTTTTAACGAAACCGACTGTTTAAATTTGACATTCAGCATCAACTAGGTGACACTAGTGTGGCTGATTTTAGTGGGTGTTTGGTAAACTTATTTGCAACATAGAAAACTTTATATAAAAAAAACTCAATGTATCAAAGCAGAAAAAAAGCTTTTAAATTTTTATTCTATTTTTAAAAAGATAAAGCTATAAGAGAAAGGATACAACAGCTTTGATCTCGTCAGTAACTTGTCATAGAGCTTTGAAAAAAAAACGGCCAAAAAAAAAAAAGCACATTCGATTAAGTAGGGTTGGGACCATCAAACTGAATTAAGTTATACGGAATAAGTTATATAGGATCGCATTAGTATTTGTTTGAGACAAACGCTCAAAAGATATATTGCAAACCAATTAATTTGACCTTTGAAGACAGTATCATTAATAACCTTTCCTTTGATATGTATTATTTCGGTATAATTTTTTTTCTTACTGTCTACAGCACATAAAACCCAGCCTCAACGCAATAATCACAACTCTCTCGCTTTGGGCTTCAAACAACTGATTAGTTCATTACGAGACTCTGAAATACCTGCAGCCTATAAGCCGGGAGGGGGGGGGATTTTTTTTTCTTGCACATCGAAGCTCAGCATTCACCACCATCCAGTGACCTACAAAGAGTGTTCAGCGCTGCAAATCGATGTACATTTGCAACATTATGATCCCAACCCTATTTTCGAAAAGAGCTCAGTACTTATGATTCCATTTTCTAGATGTGAAATTCTACTGATTTGAAGGATTTTTTTTGTAAAGTTCTTAAGTACAGTAATTACATTGTATAGATTAGCAGTTTTAAAACCTCAGCATAAATTTTTCAGAATTTGGTGGAAAATATTAAAAAAACGCACCCAGAATTTGTAGATATTACTATTAGTGTGAAACTATTTCACTGTTGTGAGACTTCATTCACGCCATTAATCATGGTAAAAATTTGTAATAGAAAATGTAGTAGCATTGGGTAGCTGGAAGTGTTGACTGATATCTTGCTTCTATGGCTTTTTCAATACAGTTTTAAAAGAAATAAAAGTTTTTGATCATAAACTGACAGAGCGGAATTTCTGAATCTATTGCGACAGTCACTGTATGGCTTCCGATTTTTCTTAGTGTCTGATTTATAACTACTTTGTGACACTCCATTGCAACATGAGGGGTGGGGGGGGGTGCATTATCAGAGGGGCCAGCCTTTGGATAAGATGTTTAAACCAAGGACACATTTGTGGCTGTTTAGGTGGACATTAAAGATACCACAACCCTATTGGAAAAGAGAAGGAAGTCTCTCTTGGGGTCCTGACCAACAATCCCCCCACCAGATAAAATTCTGTTGAATTCCCATTAGTTTATTTTCCCGGGTTGTCAGAGGTGATGTGAGGTCTGAAACCAATCTTCTCTGCCCCTTCCTTGTAAAAGACACAATGGAGAAGAGGTAAGAAGCTTTGTCGCCAAGTTCTCAGTGATTTGGTACACTGCCGGAGTTGCAGTTCTAACAAGCGAAGCCTCAAAATTCACAGAATCTCTATTTCACCGATTCAAATCTTTGCAAACTTTTGCAGCACAATGTAAGACATTGTTGGACTTTACTTGAATTCTGTTTGTGAGTTTGTACGTCCAGTTCAAAAATTCACTGGCTACAAACCAATCAGCTGGGGTGGGGTGGAGTGGGATAGAATTCCTCGAGCCAACCAACAGTTGGTGCTAATTGCACACAGGTTTGGTGAAAGCACATAAAGCTAACTTCAAAGTTGAAAGGCAGAAAACAAAACAACATTGATGAGCTTAACTCATCCAACTTCACGATTTGTTTGGACTTTTCTGGTCTTTCGGACATGTCTTCATCGAAACTGGTAACCAGCCAATCCTAAGCCCACTGACTGCGTACAAACTAGCGTTCCAATAAATCTTTCATCATCTCTTTTCCCCTGGAGCGCATGAAGAGTTCAAGTTGAGAGTACCAGCAGACAGATGTTTACATTTACGTGCATTTAAAATATTTATGCAAGACGCAGCCTATCTGGACAGACAAAAGCAAAGAAGCGTTTTGAACTCGGGAAATATTCACCACATCCCAGTCACCAGCCAGGTTCCAAAAAACATTAGCAGATGTAAGCAACTCACTTGGAAGTCGTATTTAAGTTGTCGCTGTTGCCAAGAGGTGCGTGGGCTAACGCCCTATCCTTTTATGTCACGAGTTTACAGTCCAGACCAATGGAAAAAAAAGAACTTAGATGGTCGTAGCAAGTCTTGCCTCGTCTCGTTCTTAAATAATAATCCTTACATTTGGTATAGCGTCTTTCACGTCAGGAGGATTCCCAAAGCCTTGCACAAGGTATACTATAAAATGGAGTGACTATTTTGTGGGTGAACGTGACAGCCAATTTACGCACTGATGTCCCACAAACAGCCATGAAGTTATCAATCAATTTTCTTTGGGGTGGGGGGGGGGTGGTGGGGGATTGTTTGACGAGAACACTCTTTTAAAAATAGTGCCATGGGATCTTTAACAGCAACTGAACAGGCTCAAGGGGCCTTGGGTTCACGACTCATTCAAAGGACGGCACCTCCAACAATACATCACTCCTCCAGCACTGTCATCCTCAGATTTTCCTGGTCTGTATGGTTCAGCACCACATCACGGTGTGGGTCATTTACCCACCGAGTCCTGGGAGAGGGCTGCTATCTCATTTAAGGGCTTTTGATAGCTGCCCGCTGCGGACTGTTGTGCAAGAAACTAGCAGGAGATGTCAGGTATCTTTTTAATCACTGCAGCCGCGCTTATTAATTTTAAACAGATGGGCTTCTTTGTTCAGTGCTGAAATCCACATTGCATCTCTGCAGGAGCTGGTGCCTGGAGTCTTTCTCGGCCTGTAATTGGCATCGTTCTCTTTATTATTACAAGGTGCACGATGTGTACATTTGAGCTGTTCAAGACTTTTTCAAACAAAAAAAGAAAACAGATGCGCACACTAATTAATCACAGCCGTCAGGGCACGGTGTATATAATAGGAGCTCACTCACTGAAGGTTACTGTTGCAAAGAGATAATAATAATAATAATAATAATCCTTGCATTTGATGTAGCGCTTTTCACGTCGGGAGGACGTCCCGGAGCGCTTCACAGAACACACTGTAAAGTGAATTGACTGTATATTTGTGGGCGAACGCGGCAGCCAATTGCGCACAGCAATGTCCCACAAACATTTGTAGATTGAAAATGACCAATTTATTATTGTTTTTGGTTTTGGAGGGATTATTATTAGGCTCTGTGTGGAGTAAGGAAACTTGCCCAAGGTTTCGCCCTCTGCCTGGAATTGAACCCAGGTCTCTCGCTTGCAAAGCGAGTGCTCTAACCACTGAGCTACAGGACTCCACAAACCTGAAAACCTGAAACCTGATCAAGGCCTGAAAACAAATGCTATTTCTTCCTTCAGTGTTAGAAAGTGGGAGCTTCTCGGTAATTCGTCAGACTTGAGGAAATCACTGAGGTTACGGTTAAAACAACAGCATCTAAAATTTACTTTCACAGGGGAATATATAGGGATTATCCAAATAAGTCTCGGAATAACATCTCACAAGGGACTTTATAAGTGAGTTACAAGATGCGTAAAAGGGAGAGATAACCCCCAAATTATGCTTTCATACGATGCCAAGGCGAGGGAATGCCAGGCCAAGGTCAATGGTTGCGAAGGGCAAATTGGGGGCAGACAGATCAGCGTTTCTTAATACGGAAGTCGATCAATACCTGGAGTGGGTTACCTGGAAGGATGGTCAAGGCTGGAAGGGACACTGCGCTCATTTTAGAATCTGCTGGTTGCTCTAATTGGAAGATGTTTGGCGCTGGTTTTACTGGAAGGGTGAGATCAGGTGGAGTGAAAAGCACATTTTCATCTCTCCTTATGCCCCCCACACACACACACACTCACCCCTCATGATCTTTTAATGGAGAAAAAAAAAAAATCCCTTAACTGATCCGCCCTTTGCTGTTTATTTTTTTTAAAAAAATGTATTTTGGCCACTTGTTTGGCCTCTACAGGTCAGCTATCCTTTTGTTCTAACTTTTCGTTGCCATCAAATTTTCATTCCAGGGGTTGGGGGGGGGGGAAACTTAGAGAGATGCCACACAGGCCATCTTTCAAATGGGTTTCCTGGCCAACAATCCCCCAAATACAGAACGTCAGTCACTCACTCGATGGCCGCCTTTGCGACGCTGCTGTGTGAAAACTGGCTGCCGTGTTTCACCCACAAAATACACAGTCACTGCACTTTACAGCATATCCTGTAAAGCAATTTGAGACATCTCCAGGATGCTATATCGAAGGCAAAGATTACTACCATTAAACTCATCCAGTGTTTGACAGTCGCTCCCGTCTGTTTCCACAAATAACTTTTTGAGTCCCATTTCTTATCAGTTTTAATATTATGCACTTCACGTGGGTTTGTTCCTTTATCAAGACCTGGGAGACTGCACCAGTCTGGATCGCACATTTTTGTTTGACTTGTGGTTGACTTCGATTCAGAGTAGAACTCGATTCCAAGCCCCTTAATTGCTTGTCCCTTCTCCAATTCCTGATTTAAATACACGTCGTCGATGCTTCAAAATTTGCTTCTCCATTTGCCAGATGAAATTAACAGATTCCAAGGACAAAGATTCCTAATTAACATTAACCTTTACGTTAATGTGCCTTTCCAAGCAATACAGTGTGTGTGTGTGTGTGTGTATATATATATATATATACACACACTGATATATCTCATGCTGTATGACCAGCAAGTTATTTCAGGCTACAGAAAATGGTATTTAACCTTTTTAGGAGCAAGTATGGAAATGTAAGATGAACCGCAAGGAATGCCAACTCGGATAATGCAGAAAGAAAATGACCAAAAGTTGCCTCCAGTCAAACATTGCTGAAAAGCATCTGCAGCGAGTTAAGGGATTTTGGGCTAAATTCAAACCGAAAATTGCTACGAAATAGATGAGGCCGAACAGAACAGTGGAGTTAGGCCAATGAGTCATCAAAGTGTTATTTTATTTAGAAATGTTTAGCTCCATGTCAGGCTCGTATATAGCTGTGTTCTGACCTGTCTGGTGCAGTAAATAGATTACTGGGGTCTGAATACAATCAAGATTTTGGGTGATTGTCAACACTGCATTTAAATAGATCGATCATTCATTTTATAGCTGCTTGTTGGACATTGCCCACAAAACACACAGTCACTGCACTTTACATATCCTATGTCCTGTACAGATTAAGAGCTTTGAGAAGCTCTTCCAACTTGAAATGTAAGGTTATTATTGAAGCGCTTTTAGACCTCTTCCCGACGTGAAAAAAAAGCGCTGCATCAATGCAAATTGCATTGAAGTATTGCTTTGCTACTGGGTTTCTCTTTTAAAGGGATATTTGATCCCTTCAGCTCATCAGAGACTGCGAATGTCAAAATCCTGGGAACACTTTGTGATCTGCGCAATACCAAAAAAAAATCTGTTTTCCTGGTGAGGGATGTCAGATTGGGAAGGTCACAATTCTCTGATCTGAGCTCCAATGCGAATAACAAACACTCCGTGATCAAGTGAGATACGCTCAGACGGAAGGTAAAACTCCCACAGTAATGTTTCAAACCCCAACTTTGGAATACAGAGCTCTCTACCACCGCCCACAACAAATTACATGTGTACAGCGCCTTTCATGTCGAGAGGATGTCCCAAGGCGCTGGACAGTCAGGGATTTGGACCCAAGCTGGAGGTTGGGATCAGGAGGGGTGGAAGGCAGAGGTAGGAGGGTGACCGAAGGCAAATGGTCAAATTGGAGGGTCTTGAGATGGGCCTTGAAGGGCCTTTGATAATGTACCAAAACCCAAATTGCACTAGTTTTACATCTGAATCACTAACTTCCTCATTGTGCTCTACTACTTGATTAACTAATCGTTGAGACGTCTAGAAGACGTGAAAAGCACTATATCAAATGCAAGGATTATTAACATTATTACTATTATTATATAGTCTGGTCAGGTCACAGTCGGTCACGAGTAAATTCACCTGACTAATGGATCAGACGCCTGACTGAGCGTGAATTTCATTTCTTGAAACCAAAGATACGAGCGTGTTTTCTGTACATTCTTGATCTGAAACATGTCCAGCTGTTTACTTCAACAAAAATGCCTGCAGTCTCGCTCTACTATAAATAGCTGATGTTTTGGAAATTTAAAGATATTTGGCCTGGCTATTAAAGATGCAAAGTTTCCACCACAGAGGACTTGGAACATTTCTCTGGCCAGAGGATGGTAGAGGAAAGGCGGCACACGACTTTCTCAAACTTTAAGATTAAAAGTGATTGAGCATTTGGTACAAAAATGCCCCTAACTATCGCAGCCCGTTCAGCTGATTAAGCTTTTCGGTGGAACAAACCACCCACCTAAGAACTAACATTTCCTAGAACAGGAAGAGCTTTCTTTCTTTCCACAGGGAGGGGGGGGTTAATCGGAAGCTCTTGGGCTCTGTCGGGACTCGGAGATAATGATTATTGCCAATTAAAATAACACTGCACAAGCAAATATTTCTTGCCTCTTGTTCCCTCCAGTTGGTGCAGTAACTTGCTTTCGCATTGAAACCGCTCGACAATATGTTTTGTTAATTACTCTCCCCCCCACGCACACCCGATCCAAACCGAATTCCTCGTCCAACTAAGATTTCCCAAATGGCAAAATAACTTCCTCTTCACTTGCACTGCACACTGTTCCTGAACAATTCACGTGACACAGGCACCATATTCACACAGTGAAGGACAACACAAAATCGCCATAAAACAGTACAACACGGAAAAAGGCCCATTCAGCCCAACAAAGCCACATCAGTGTTTATACTCCACACAAACCTCCACCCCTCATAGGAACAGGAGGAGGCCATTCAGCCCCTCGAGCCTGTTCCACCATTCTATTAGATCATGGCTGATCTGGACCTCAACTCGAGTTACCTGCCTTTGCTCCACATCGCACCTATTCACGTCTCCCTCTTGATAAGAAGCCCGGCTTGATTTCGCATCAAATGTACAAATTATAATCATTTCTGACCATTTGTTTATCTTCTCAACTCACTGAATAAAGTAAACTGTGGCGCACACATTATTTTCCCCCCTGCCAACAAAAAAAAACTGGCTGCAAAAAAAAAAAAATCATTTGCGCTTTGTTACGAAACTCAATCCAACAATAACATTTCTTGACAAACTCGTGCATTTATCAGTACCCGGTGGTGGCAACAAAGCAGCAATGGAATTAGTCAACTGAAAAACGCCTTCCATTGCCTGTGTTCGGTTTGACAACTACAAGCGCTTTGATTGACAGTGGACAGTCCTGTTGTGCAATGGACGGAACATTATATCCTCGGTTTTGTTTGGTCAGCCACGTGCCCATTGCTCTGCTTACAGGGCACCCAAACCAGACTCGAGAGTTCCACATGTTCGTTGCTCCCCCCCCTACCCATGGAGATTCCCAGTGTCTGGAATGGAATATGCACTCTCTCCTTCCAGAGGATAATAGGTGCAAGTTGCCAAGATCTGGGAACCCCCAGAGTGTGTGGTGTAAATTGTTGGGAGTTTAACGGTCTGGCAAGCTTCCGATTGCCTGACAAGATAGGGTTACCCCAACCGTTAGGGTTTAACTTGCAGGATTACCAGGAACTGAGTGATAAGAATCCCTGCTCCCAGTCTGCCCCTCGGACAATAAATTACCAGTTTGTTGCATCTTCTTATAAATATGTTACATTCAATATTCTCATCCCTGTATTTTCTCACCGTACTTACATCCAAACAAAGCAGCACAATCTCCCAGCTCTTTCAGTCGAAATCTCACATCAAGTGGCTCGATTGCACTGTTTATCCCAGTCCTCGTGATTTTTCTCTCCTCCATTTTATGAGCTCCAGTCGCTGGAAGATGTGGGAGAACAATCTGGAATAGATTTGCTTTACCGTGTATTTTTCTGAACAATGGTGACAAACAACTTTACTGGGAGAAACTGACTGCCAGTGACTCTACTGAAGGATGCTCGCTGCCTGCAGAGAGGGGGGGGGGGGGGGAAAGAATGACAAATGCACCTGTATAATTGCACATGGACAGCTGCTGAGAACTAAAACCAGAAAAAGCTGGGCACACGCACACACCCACACAGAGCAATCAATCAGCCACTGATTGAGAAAGACCCTTCAGGTGAGAATCATCTAAACTGGAACGATTGGGTTGGAGAGATGCCTTTAGGGGAGTGCGAGTGTCTGATAAGTCTTTATCTTACTGATTTCTCCTCCCCATTATGTTTCTAAACAGCCCTGTATGTGCAGCTCCTAGTTTCAGTGTTTGACAATCTGTTAACAATCCGGTTGAATGCCTCTTTGTGGTTTGGTTGGTTGGTGGTTTCCAATGTTTAACTTTGCTCTAATGTCTGTTTTTGTGGTCATCTCCTGCGTGTCTCTTACTTCCTCTTCCATCCCTCTCTATAAACACAACCCCTTCCTCTATAACACAGCCCCTACACTCAACTATTCTGGCTCCAAAGGGTGTTATCTGAAACATTTGCCTGTGTTTTGTCTTTGCCGATTATAATAATAATCCTTGCATTTGATCAAACGCCTTATCGCGTCATTCAGACGTCTCAGAGCGTTTCACAGGCTACACTGCAACGTGGAGTGACAGTATTTTGATAGACTGGTCGGTCGTGCTTTTCCACGAGCACTCCTTTCCCCTTTAATCGGAAAGATACCCTCAGTTTCCACTCGAGTACGCCTGGGTTTAATTAACACCGAACCTTGACTCACGAGCAATCTGAACCCCCAGATCGAATGCGATAGATGATAGACAAACAGCCTGGTGTTTGCTGAGACATGAAAGACATGGAGTAAAATATGGAACCCTTTATGATTTGCTTGAACAACCATATTGGGAGTATTGCCAACTGACTGACTGATTCCATCTTTCTCTAATCTGCCGCGAGACAGTAAATCAGTGTAACCACTAATCCATAAACCAAAGACCTTTCCATTGTGAACAATGTGGCCCTGAATGACTTTGGATTTGCTCTGCTCTCCTGTGATTTTGGGCTCGCTTCCCAGTCTGGCGTGAGCTGACATGACATGAACTGATCTGGGTTAAGTGCTCAAACGGGAATTGTTTGTGGGCAGCATGTTCTTGCCTTCGAGGAAGGTGAGCCTTTGGGAAGAGGGTGCCCACTGCCATCTGTCTCACAGCACGGAACTCACCGCAGTGTGAACCCTCTCGAAAAGGAATCGAGGCCTGTTAGGAGTGAGTGTGTCACCAGGAAGCAATAATAATAATGATAATAAAAATAATAATAATCCTTGCATTTGATGTAGCGCCTTATCACGTCATTGCGACGTCTCAAAGCGCTTCGCAGAACCTGCTGTGAAGCGGAGTGACCGTGAATTTTGTGGGCGAAACGCGGCAGCCGATTGCGCGCGGCAGTGTCCGAAAACAGTCGTGCATTGAGAGTGACCGATTCATCTCCCGACGACCTCGTCCTCTTGTCCTGAGCCGAAGGGAATTCCCCCAATCGCCGAGCCTTTCACAGAACGAACGCGTTACATTTCTAATCTCGCCTCCGATCGCCGAGAGTCACTGTCAGTCCTGCAAATCCCCTCTGACGTTCTGTTCCTCCCTTGCCCACTCGGGCTCCGTCTCTTCGATCAAACTGTCTGCTGAACCCTCCCGGTTTTCCAGTTTCAGGTACTTGGCTTCGTTGCTCCTGTCCAGCCGAGGCCAGCTGCGGTTTTTGCCGTCCTCTCTCTCCACGCTCACTTTGTTTCTGTCCCTTCCGAGGTCGATAGAGTTGGCGTGTCCGCAAGCGATCGGCAGGTGAAAGTCCGAGCCGCACTCCTTCCTGACCCGACCCGGGGACAAGAACCTCCCGATAAACCTGGTGGAAAATGACTTGTTCCGCAAACAGTAACCGGCCTGGGCCAATATTCCGGATACGTCTCCCGCACTCCGGATGCTGCCGGACCTGATGTAGCCGTGGTTTTGCCAGAGCTTTAGGTCCTCGGTAGAACTGGCTGCTTCCCTCTGGTCTGGTTCCACGTCCGACATCGGATCGGAGGCACTGGGAGTGTCGACGATGACGCAGTTGTTGAGTTTGATGACCGGTAAAACAGCGACGGGCGTGGAGACCCCAGGGTCAGCCCCGCCGGTCAGGAACGCGCTGAGGTTTCTCTCGCTGGAGTTGCAGGAGTCGGACTGAAGGCTGTGGAGGGAGAGGGAGGGGGAAGGCCTCTTGTGATAGACCAGCTGGGTGGTGGTTTGGTGTCTGACGGGCATGTCGGCGTCTGCCCACTGACCCGTGCCGCTCGAGTCTGAGTGACCGTGCGCCGCGCAGAGCGCTCTCTCCCCCGCGCAGCACTGCTCGAAGCATCTGAAACCAGCGTCGACGGAAAGCGTCCCGAGACCCGGTTCCATCTCCTTGCGTTCTCCGTCGGAGAGCACCATGGCCGCGGAATACATGTTCCTCTGGATAATCAGTTTGGTCTCCCTGTCCCGGTTCTCGTGGAGGATCGTGTTGGCGCAGATAAACACAAACAGCCCTATTCCCATGATCAAGGGGCCAATCAATTTCAGTTTCTCGGTCTTCAACCCGGATTGGGCTTGGGACTTTACTGCCACTTCGTTGGGCACTTTGGAATGATTGGCGATGGTCCTGGGGAACTTTTTGTGTGGCCAGTAGCCCACCACAGCGATGGCAATCCCCACCGTGACTATGAAGACACCCAGAACAATGAAGAAGCCAGAGGGAGAACGCATCCTCAGCCTCCCTTTGGTCTCTTCCTCACGTGGCTCCGAATCTTCCGGACCCGGTTCTTTAAGAGACAAAGGGCTGCCTGGCCGAGGACTGGAGCTGTCTTGGCTCATCATGGATCGGTCTTCCTCACACGTCACGGCCGTCGTCATGTTTCGTTGGTTTCAATTGCCCTTGAACAAAGGAGAGAGAAAAAAATATATAGCAAAGAGGCGGGTGCTTTAACGAAAAGAACACTGCCCAAAAGAAATCCATACCCGGAGCTCGATTCACGTAACATGTTCTCTTCTTGTTCTATTTACGCGACATTTTCGGAGTGTCCAGAATTTGACCAACGCATAAACACAGCATTAGTTTTGACCCCTTCTTTTGCGACTTTCTTGTTAAGAGCTTCAAACCTAATGCTGAATTTTACAATCTGCCAATCCTGGGCACTCTGAAACATTAGAGTGAATTCTGCACGGAATAATAATAATAATCCTTGCATTTGACACAGCGGCTTATCATGTCGTCAAGACGTCTCAAAGCGCTGCTGTAAAGAGTGACTGTATATTTTGTGGGCGAAATGCGGCAGCCAATTGTGCACAGCAGTGTCCCGCAAACAGTGGGATTGGGTGGACCAAATTATTATTCCTCCCCCGCCACAGGTGCGATGTATTTTTATCCAACTTCTGTCCACCTATTTTTATTGAATGATTGCAAGATGAAATATAACAAATTGGACGACTCCTTTAAGAAATAGTGCAACCAAAGTAAAATGTCAACTCGACCCGTTTCGATTCTAAACGTTACCACATTTGAGGCTCGATTAATACGCTTCTCTTACTCATGTGGTCTCGAGAGCTCACTCGGGCTGGTTCGGTCTCCACATCCAGTCTGCATTCCTGACCCGGTGTCAAAATCTGACAGGCGCGTTGGGAACAACCTCTGCTCAGCTGAGGGTCAAAGGACTCCTTATTCACCCATAAAACCAAGGCAGGCAAAGCCAAGCACCGGCTTGGCAAGCAAATGGAACAGGCTATTCATGCCTTCCCCCTGTTGCGAGGCCCACTATCGTGCGTGACTATTGTCCAGGAATGCAGCGTTCAACGCTGTGCTGCCAAACGGTGCTATCAACGGCAAAGCTTTACGGTTTTAGCCGGTTAGACTCCAGCGGTTACCCAAAACACACCGTGGCATCCCCAAGCCTTGGCTCTCACCAACCTGCGCCTAATACTTTCCAGAATTAGTTAAACGGGATGTGTCCCTCTGGGGAGAGAGAGAGAGCGCATTCCATTCCAACGATCTATCTCTGGAATTTCCATGTGTAGGTGGGATGCCTGGGATTCTCAGCTGGGGTTAAGCAACGGTGATGGGTTTCCTCATGTGTCAGACACCCGGTTGACCGCATGCTGTGCCTGATTTGTAATGAGAAGGGGAATTAATCAATCGGTGCTCGACTGTAAGTGAAATAAAAATTGGAAAATGCGAAAAACGCTGGAATTGAAACTGGTCTGGTACGAAATCTGCATTCGCAAGATTACTAAAACATTCACTGATGATTCTTACATCCAGGCGACTGCGCCTGTCTGACATCCGGTGAGTTGCAACCACGGGAATTGGAATATTGAAATGTTTCCCACGATTGTGGGTATGATAAGTATGGCGCCTGCTTCCCACGGTTACTAAAATTTCCGCAGTGAGTCGGAAAACTTATTTAGCGGGACGCCTTGAAAAACAAACCTTTGTTAGCGGCGATCAAACAGCCCAAACCCAGGCGGCAAATTGTCGCGTTCAGCACAAAAAGTTGAAAGGAGCAGTTTTGTTTGATAATGCTGCGCCCAAAATAATCATTGCTAATGGGCGCAATTAGTTATTAGGAGGCAAAATGGGTTGCAGATGTGCTCGGAGCACTGCGGGAGACCTGATGTCCTGGTAAAAGAGTTTGGTTTTAATGAAAAAGCATTCACGTTTCAGAATTGGAAGCCAAATGTTTAAGAGCCTCATTTTGTCAAGGGCTAATCGACTTTTTAATGCTTGCACAACCTTTCTGTTCTCATCCATCAGTGATCTCTCTTTCCTCACCCTCCGTCATGTCATGCTGTTCCCTAAAAGGGTACGACAGAAGCTATCGTGTTAATGAAACGCTTACAGGCTGAAGCAGGGACATATCAGGGGAGGAGGGGGTACCTCGTCTCCGATTTCCCCCTTCTACAAAGCATTTCACGGGATATACTGGCACGTGGTGAGACGGTGTAGTTTGGGAGCCAAATGGTCGGAGACCACATCTGCCTGTGCGGGTGTTAAAGATCCTGTGGCACTATTCGAAAAGAGAAGGGCGTTTCTCTCTCTCTCGGTTTCCTCGCCAACAAACCACCCCCCCCCCCCCGCCCGCCAAATAAAATTGGTCACTCACTCCATGGGTGTTTGTGGGACGTGGCTAACCGGCTACCACATTTGCTCACAAAACACACAGCGGCTACACTTTACAGTATATCCTATGAAGCGCTTTGGGACGCAATACTGACACGAGAGACGCTGTGTCAAATGCAAGGATTACATATTATTAAGTCTAAGGCTACCCCAGAATAATGGAAAATAATGAAATTCAGCCTTAATTTGGAAGCTGGTTTTCCGAAGTACTTAAAGAGACGGAACTGAAGAATTTGCCTTTAGGACAAGTTGCTCTCCTGTGCTAAGAATAGGTGGGACTTTGAATCTCACGAGTCTACTGATCTGAGACATTATGTACCAGAAGCCAAAGAAAATCAATTGAATCAAAGCACAGCTATTCATTCCATTGATTCACATTTTTAGTAACTTTCATTAAATCCCCACCCTTTGGGTATCAAAGGGAGCGGTAATTGGTTATCGTTAATTAAACATAAATATCACGGAGTTGGTTTGTAACGCAGGGCAGAGCGACACAATGCACACAAAGGTGGGTATTCACCTATTAAGATTCAAGCCTTTCGGTGCAAATGAAGGACCATGCCACCATGTGTCACGGGCTGACTGCTCCCCTCACATTATAAACAAAAAGGGGCCGTTTAAGTATGAATAACCCTCTTCAATCGCATAGTCTGGGGGCGGTGAGAGTGCTCGCACATTGCCCACAGCTGTGATGCTCATTATATCGCTCGGGAGGTGTTCCTGGTACCAGCATTTGATCCAGTGAGAGTGCTGACCCATGCTTATCAATTTGACAACGTATTGTTACGAACCACAGAAAGTCGCTGGTCTTTGCCCTGCCTGTGTAATTACGCTTATTGTTCATGCCTATTCCACCTGAGAGTGCTCTCCGGTGCTCATCTGGCTCCATGGCAACACAGCTGGCGACACACCTGGCCAGGGCGACTGGCACCGAGTAAAATAACCCCCTTCCAAAAATAAATTTGGTAACTCCACGGCTGTTTGTGGGACGCCGCTGTGCGCAATTTGGCTGCCGGGTTTCGCTCACAAATTATACAGTCAATTCACTTTACAGTATATTCCGTGAAGCGCTTTTGAGACGTCTCGACGATGTGATACGGCGCTGTATCAAATGCGAAGATTATTATTATTAAAACCTTTATCGTGGAGTCCCCATCACCTGAGCCAGTTAGGTTGAGAGAGAGTCCTCAGACATTTCTGATGACCGTTCAGCCTGATATAAGAGGTGTGGGCAGCACAAAGCTGAACCGGCCAAATAAGTGTGAGCAACAGAAACTTTCAGAAAGGCCCAGATTCCCTCTTCAGATAGTAATAATCTAATCTAATAACAATCCCGGCATTTGGTACAGCGCTTTATCACGTCATTGGGACATCTCAAAGAGCTTCACAGAATATACTGTCAAGTGAATTAATCAAAATCCGCGTCCTCTTGGTTTCAAGGTGAGTTCTAACCAGTACGTAACAGGACAAGAATCCTTGCATTCCGGTACAATGCCTCATCAATAGTCTCCAATAGTCCAAGACAACATTAAAATCCGTTACCTACGTCTGTGCTACAAATACGCAGTCATTACACCTGATAGCAAATTGCCTTTTAAGCACACATTAACCAGTTTCATCATTAAAGACCCGATTACAATTATTGATTGTTATTATGATTATTATGATCATTTTACGCCTGGAAAGCTGCTTTCCATTCCCACTGCTTTTAATTACCGCACCAAATTAAAGGGGGAATTAAATAGCGATTTGGCAAGTAAATTGACTACAACCACTAGAAATTGAGTAGCGTGGATGGTTTCATCTAACGACAAGATGGGCAGAAAGATGGCAAAACATCCTTTGTGGTCTGGGGCAATGCCCAGAGACACAGAAACGTACAGCACAGAAGAAGACCCTTCGGTCCATCGTGTCTACGAGCGAAAGCGATCGTTTCAGTTCCATTTTTACCTGCCCTTTCTCCCCCGCAGCTTATAATAACAACAATAATAATCCTTGCATTTGATATAGCGCCTCATCACGTCGTTCAGACGTCTCAAAGCGCTTCACGGTTTACTCCTTTCTTATGATGTAACTGGAGCGAGGAGACAGATGTTACCCACCTTCTCATCTGTCCTTCTGGACATTTTCACTGTGGATCCTGAACAGGTGGGCTGTAGTGGGGGCAAAAGAGAAAAAGATGGGGTCAGATCACTGGGGACTTCAAAGCACTACTACTTTTTTTTTGCAGGGTGGGGGCAGAAATCCCCCAAACAAAACACACACACACACACACACGCACTCAAAAAAGGAGTTAAGAATCCAAACCTCACTCAGGACACTTATGTTCAAGGGAACAGCAGAGATTGTATAGAGAGTGTAGTTTGGAGGAGTGAGTTACCACTGAGCTCAGGCGCTGTCCTGACACCAGACTCTTCCCAATTCCACCAGCACTGAATTCAACAGCTCAGACTACAGGGGCTGTCTGTCTGTCTGTCTGACTGTCTGTCTGTCTGTCTGTCTGTCTGTCTGACTGTCTGTCTGACTGTCTGTCTGTCTGTCTGTCTGTCTGACTGTCTGTCTGTCTGTCTGACTCACACACTCTGCTCTTATTGTTCTTTAGCAGCAAGAACAGCAGAGAAACCAAGGGGAGACAAGGTTAGTGCCAAAGCCCACAACACAACACACACTCAGAGACACACACACACACACTCACACACACTCACTCACTCACAGAGACACACACACTCACACACACATTCACAGACACTCTCACTCACACACACACACACACACACACTCACAGGCACAGAGACACACACACTCACTCACACACATTCACTGACACTCACAGAGACACACACACACTCACACAGAGACACACACACACACACACTCACTCACACACACATTCACAGACACTCTCACTCACACACACAGACACTCACAGGCACAGAGACACACACACTCACTCACACACATTCACTGACACTCACTCACAGACACACACACACATTCACAGACACACTCACTCACACACACAGACACACACTCACAGGCACAGAGACACATACACTCACTCACACACATTCACTGACATTCACTCACACACTCACAGAGACACACTCACACTCACAGAGACACACACTCACACACACACATTCACAGACACTCACTCACACACACACAGACACACACACTTACAGGCATAACACAGACAGACACACACACAGACAGAGAGACACACTCACACAGACACACACACACACACTCACAGAAACACACACACACACCCACAGAGCTCACTCTGCGTTGGGGCACAGAGAGTAGATGGACGATGCAATGTGCAGTGGCACTGTTTAGCGCAGATTGTCCACTCTCTGCTCCAACAATATTCTTTTAACAGCCTATTGCCACTCACTCACTCACTCACTCTCACACTCACTCACTCACTCACACACTCAGTCACTCACACACTCACACTCACTCACCCACTCTGTGTCCACTCTCCTCCACATCCGACAAGACAACAAAACAGCTGAGCTGCCAAACTCTCTCTCTCTCTCTCTCTCTCTGTGCCTCTCACCTTCTCTCTCTCCAGGGTTGGGGTTATTGCTCTCTTGGCTGTGCCTTTCCCCTTCTCTCTCTCTCTCTCTCTGTATCCCTCTCTCTCTCTCTCTCTATCCCTCTCTCTCTCTCTCTCTATCCCTCTCTCTCTCTCTCTCTATCCCTCTCTCTCTGTATCCCTCTCTCTCTATCCCTCTCTCTCTCTATCCCACCCCCAGGATCCACACTGCAAATCCCACCTCCCAAGTGTCAATCGTTGCATAGAAATAATCACCAACCACTGTCTCTCTCTGTCTCTCTCTCTCTCACTTCCCCACCTCTTTTGTGTAAAGTACAGTGTTTCCTGGTGGGATTTAAACCACACTCTCTCTCTCTCTCTCTCCTTCCCTCCCTCCTTCCCTCTCTCCTTCCTTCCCTCTCTCTCTCTCTGATCTGATGAGGGTTGGAAGAGACTAGTTTGATGCTCCTGTTTCTCTCTCTCTCTCTCTCTCTATCTCTCTTTGGGTGGGAATGTGGGGATGTGTTGGAGGGGGGGAAAGGAGGGGGAAAGAAATGGACCAGACAGGAAACTGACTGTGGGATGTCAATCACAGGGTGAAGTTGGCCTCCCATGGGTTCAGGGGCAAACCCCCTCTTTACTGACTTCCTGTGTGTGTGTGTGTCCATCTCTGTCAAGAGTTGCTTTTCGTCCCATCTCAACGCACCAAAATCTTCTCCTTCCTTCCTCCCATCTCGAAAGTTTCTCTCCCCCCCCACTCCCCCCCCCCTCCCACCCACCCCAAATTCACCTCTCGCCCGTCCGCCCTCTCTCTCTCTCTCTCTCTCGCTCTCGGTGGCTAAATGGTGCCTCTTTCAAGTTCCGATCTGGCAAGATTGTCCTTTCCCCTTTGCACGACTGCCCCAACTTTTCTCCTTCGTTTGAAAAAAAAACCGAATAAAATTGCTCTCTCGCTCGCTCCACTCTCTCTCTCTCTCCGTGGTCGTTCGTGGGACGCAAATTGAGTGCCGAGTATCGCCCACCGAATGCCCGGTCGAGCCACTTTGTATCCTGTGAAGCGCTTTGAGACGTCTGCACCAATGCGATGAGGCGCTATGTCAAATGCAAGGATTATTATTTGTATTATTATTATTTTTAAGCTTCCTCCACTGCCTTTTTACTCGAGGGCTCCCTCCCTCTGGCTGGCACGAGTGCTGAAACCATCGCGTTAAGTGGACTTGTCTTTTTTTTTAATCCTGGACCGAACACTCAAGTTGTTCAACTGCCACGACCGACACAAATCAGTGAGCTTTGCTGTAATGCACACACGTTGCCGGCTTTGTTAATTGCGATTAAGTTTCAGGTAATTTTGCAGGTTGGAAGTTTGAGGGGGGGGGGGGGGCAGCAACCTTATTGATTTAGGGATTATGATAGGTGACCCTATTGCTGACCCTACAAAAAAAAGGCCGACAAATCTCAAAGCAAACGACAACAGAACTACTCAACCGACACAGAGAGAGAGAGAGATCACCACGGAAATGAGCCTATCTTCGCTCTGTGGAAAAATATCATCATCCTTTTCCCGAATCGATAGCGCTGGACCTTTAAAGAAATGGATGGCTTGCCAACCACCCTCGCTGCTCAGGGAGAATTCCAAGGGAATTGGTTTGACTGTCTAGACACACACGTAATCAGTGTGTGATTTTTGTTTCGCAAAGAAATTGGCTGCGTTGTAAATCTCCCTGGATCTCCTGGGTCGATTGTGATCAATGAGCTACCAAGACACTGGAATGTGCTCTATTATCCCAAATGTCACTGCTTCGTTTCACTCATTCAACCTGGACTTCGGTGTCTCTCTCTCTCTCTCTCTCTCTCTCTCTCTGCCGGTGGTTTTCTGTCGCCTTTCGGATTTAGTTCCAGAGAGAGAGAGAGAGAGAGAAGAAAAACTATCGTTGCTTTTTAACGAAAAAATTAACATTTGGCTTTTTAGTCGACTTTTCCTGTAACTGATGCAGTTCAAATCGTTGATTCTGATCAGTGCTCCCCACTTCTCTGTCCCAATTTAGTCCCCCACCCAACGCCCCCCACCCACCCTCTTTCGGTTTTATCCTCAATGTTAAGGTTCACTTGTCCATGGGATGTTTCCATCGCAAATTACCAGTTGCCCACTGAAGTGTGTGTGTGGGCGGGGGGGGGGGGGTGGAGGAAGCGAGAGAAATTACACCCAGGGCTAGATTTACTTATGTAGCATTTCAGAGCATTTGCCCAAATTCTTAAATACTGCCTCATTTCAAAGGCGTTTTTCTATCCTTTTCTCTTAAGAAAACCGGCTTCAAAGTTAAGAGATCGGATTCAATAATTTACCCACTTCTATGCACTATGAAATCCTACCGAGAGTAAATCTCGACCCGCGTGCAATTCCAACCGGTCGTGTTCTGTACGTATTTCATTGTGTTATTTATTTTATATTCACGTACGGTTTCTCTGAAGTGTGGAGTCTATCTCCCATCAACCCGGTTTATATCCAAAGCGCTTTGAGACGTCCTTCCGACAAGAAAGGCAATAAGCAAACGTTAAAATGCAGTACAATTCTATTGTATATTCCCCTCCTGATCCAAATTCATCCTCAAAAATCAAAGTAAAGCACTGCTCATCTCAATGTGTTTCCATATATACATAACGCAGCATTGCTGACGTTGCTAAGCTGCCACTTGTGCTTCCAAAAAACACCAGGACTCTTATTAAAACAACATTCAGATTCACTTCCAATCAATTGCACTTTGTAGAGAGCACTTTGAAGCATTCATTTTCAGGTGAAAGGTGCTGTATAAATACATATTATGATGATCAATCTACTTATGAAAAATTTCTGCCGGCAACAGTATGTCGGGTAACCAGATTTGAGAGGATGACGTTTTGTCCTTGGGAACCCTTTTAACGGACTATCTTATTGATTTGTGGCTCCAGCTGGCTCCATTTATAATGTCCTCTGCAAGAGCACAGGGTGTAAAATCTGAATGCAATGTATTTTGATTCATTAGTGGGTGTTCGAAAAGAACATTGGATTGAATAAACAAATTAAAAAGTTATAAGCGCACCGAATCTGCAAATTAATTTAATCTGGTGAATTTAGTCTCTCTCTCTCTCTCTTTCTCTCCCCCCCACACCCACACGCCCCCATCACCACAGGCAATCAACCACATGTACAGCTAAGAGGCAATTCAGTCAGGTGAGGTCAATACTGTTACTTGGGGTCCAAGTCATTATATTAATTGAAACCTTATATTGAACATGCATTAGCCACTTTTAATCCACTTTTGCTGCCTTTGTAAAACCGTGGCTCAAGGTCTGGTTCTGCACTCAGGGGCTCAGATGACTGTCCTGCATACCTACAATACGTAATAATAATAATCCTTGCATTTGATGTGACGCCTTATCACGTCTTCGAGACGTCTCAAAGCGCTTTGCAGAAGATACTGTAAAGTGAAGTGACTGTATATTTTGTGGATGAAATATATATATATAATAGATATGTACGTATCTATTACATATCTATTGGCTGCCGCGATTCGCCCACTTTACAGTATTTTCTGTAAAGCGCTTTTAGACGATGCAATGACACGATAAGGCACCATATCAAATGCAAGGAGTATTATTATTAATATCCTACGTGAAGGGCACGATATAAATGCAAGTTCCCATGATTTGCTGTTGTTTTTCATCGAGTATTCAACTTCCCATCTGTTAATGCTGTAACGCTGCCAAACACCTTCCCAGTGTGTGAGAGGACAGGTGGGGATGGTGAGTTGGTGGTGGGGGGGGGGGGGGGGCGGGAAGGTAAAAAGAAACTAGCTTCTAAAAATAAATAGGCTTTTTGACCTTATCTCACACAACATCTGCTGGATGTTTGGAATGCCGTTGGCTTGGCCATCCTATCCTCCTTGCCCTTGAGTAAGAATTCCTTAGTCAACAGAAGTTGGTCTTTGATTTTATTTTAAAATGTTCAAGTGCACTACACTGTTTAGCTTGGATCTTTTCTTTCCCTTTCGCTAGCTTAGTGCTCCGCTCCCCGGCGGTGGAAGTTCCTCAGGGGCTCGCTCGCCCAGTCCGCAGAGATCAATGGGTTTTAAAATTGATGAGCTTACCCGTAGCTTTAAGAGAGGCTCCAGCTTTGAAGGGTAAAAGCTGTGAGGATCTCCCGAGTGATAGCCGTGGGAGAGCGAGACAAAGGTCACTGGCCGTGAGTCTGGCTTCTGTGTCCAGCTGAGCAATGCTGCTGCCACCAGGAACATAATAATAATAATCCTTGCATTTGATATACCGCCTCAAAGCGCTTCACAGGATATACTGCAAGTGAATTGAAACGTGAGAGATACCACACCTTCTGGGTTTGGGTATTAGTCAAGGCAGTGGAAACTTTCACCTGCGCACTGAGCGATAGCAATGACCAGACACTAGACCCTTCACCTCCCCCCCCACCCCTCCCTTGTCTCCTTCAAGATCCGACTCAAGACTTTCCTCTTCGACCTCACCTTCCACCCCTACCCCCTTGCTCTCCGCCCCTCTCGACTCCAAGCCCTATCTCAGGTGCAAACCCTTCACTGTCCAGTGCCACGGGATGTTCTCCTAACGTGACAGGCGGCTATATCAATGTCATTTGTCGTGGCTGTTGACGGTGTGTATTCGATACGGTGCCTTTCAAGTCGGGAGGAGGTCTCAAAGCGTTTCACAGGATTCACTGTAAAATGTAGCAACTGTGTGTGTTTTATTATTAATAATAATTTGGTATAGCACCTTTCATGACAGTATGCCTCAAAGCACTTCATAGGACAAACTGTAAAGAGATGTGACTTTGTATGTGGGCGAATGCAGCAGCCGATTTGCACACAGCGACGTCCCACAAACAGCTTTGGAGGCAAACGATTTTACTAGGATTTGTATCAACAAATGGTAATTCAGGAATGGGTTGGATTTCAGCTATTTTAGGGGCCCAAGAATTTCAGGCCCTAGAATTTCTATCGAACCTGGTTTGACATCATGTTAATAATAATAATAATAATAATCCTTGCATTTGATATAGCGCTTTTCACGTCTTCTCGACGTCCCAAAGCGCTTCACAGAATATACTGTAAAGTGAGTTGACTGTATAACTTGTGGGCGAACGCGGCAGCCAATTGCGCACAGCAGCGTCTGTCCCACAAACAGTCGTGGATCGAAAATGGCCGATTTTATTATCGTTTTTTTTTGGGTTCAATGTGCATCAGTCCTAGAATGAGACCAGAAGGCGCAATGAAAAGGAACTGACACAGTACAGCATTAGATTAGGTCAGGACGGGTTTAGTTCACTTGTGCAATTTAATGATTGATCTGTTTCGGAGAAAGCTTCAATTATATAATGTTACTGTAGTGTCTGAATTGTTACAAAGGCTGGGTAGGTAGGTTAAGTAAGGTAGATAGGTAGACATCACTTTTCATCACTGGGATAATGGTCACTTTGCAACCTCCTATCCCTCCCTCCACTTCTTAATTCACATTTTCTCTCTCTCCCTCCGCTCTGTAAATTTGTTTGGCGACAGAGACGATTCAAACCAATGTCACAGCTCCCTGTTTGGCGTGCGAGAGGGTGGGGGTGAGGAAGGGGAAACCGGACAGGGAAGAGAGACTTTATTTCCAGGAGAGAAGCCCAAATTCCCGAATATCTGTCCGGAAGACTGGTGGAATGTGGATATCGGAAGACATCAGAAGAAAGCAAAAAAAAAAAAAATATATCAGAATAAGTTTCCCTGAATAAAGTTCTGAATAAAGTTTGGATTGTTTTTTTTAAAAAAAAGTTGACGTATCCCAAACCATCAATAACCAGCGTTTAAAAAAAGAGACGTATACACACACACACGCGCGCGCGCACACACACACACACACACCACAGAAACGAGTTGTACTTTGGGATGATTCCCTCGTGTCCCGCAAAATGTCTTCTTCACTTGGATACGGACGTGATGTGGTCACCACCACTTCCAAACCGTCCGTTGCAAATTTCGGTTCAGGTCTTAATTCAGCGGAAGGAAGAAGCAATGGCTGAAGGTTAGACCTTGATCCAGTTTGCCAGCACGTGTGCTACAAGTCAGTCTTTCCTGTCCCCCACGTTAGTAGACGTTCGATTCATTCTCTTCTGCGTTTTTGAACATGACGATGGAATTGTAGATTTTCAGCGCGGGCCCCAGTTTGATGCTCAGGATTTTGACCATGTCCATCTGCGTCAGCAGCAAAAAGGCTTCACCATCGATCTGCTGTTTGTGTCCAAAGAACACCCCACCACCACCAACCCCCCCCCACCACCACACACAAAAGAAAAGAGGCAACAGTTAGCGGGTGGCTGTCGATATAATAATCCTTCCGTTTGACACAGCGCCTTATCAACTCTTCGAGACTTCTCAAAGCGCTTCGCAGAATATGCTGTAAAGTGAATTGACTGTAGATTTTGTGGGGCAAACCGTAGCAAATACTGACATAAATCTGAATGGGGCCAGGAAATTCTGTCTGAATAAACACATCACAGAGTAGCGCGCAGGGCGCTGCGAATGGAACAAGAATTCTAATTTCTTGCCATCGAGCTGCTCCAGTGGAAAATTCTTATATTCTTACACTAACCCCAACACCACCCCCATCTGCCCGGCCACCCCACCCACACGCAGTTTGCAGTAATTTTATAAGAATCGGCGACATCTACTGTTCACTTAGATCTGGCGCAAAATGGGTGTGTGTGGATTTCTGAAAGGGTGAACAGGCAAATAACCCGCGGACAGACCCAGAAACCATTTAACAGGAGATTGCAAACCGAAAGCAACGTTGCGGCTTCAACCCAAACCGAGGTAAAGCTCACCTCCTCTCTGAAAACCAAGGCTTGATCTTTACACCCCGGTAAACTCTGTACGAAGATGGCGACCTGTGAAATTCGGACACTCTGTTAGGATCCTGGCAAAGTGCGATATGTTTCTTTACTTTATAATTAAAAGGGTTGCGGGATTCAAACCCCGTTAGCAGTTGGAAGGTAGCACCCCCACATCAGAGCTGATAGTGCAGGGTGACACTATAAGCTCCAGCATATTGCTGTAGGGGGTGGGTGGGCTTTGGCGAGAGACGCTAGAGGAGTCATCCTTCGGGGTAAGACGTTAAAAACCGAGCTCCCCGTGTGTCCCCCCCCGGTCAGGTGGATAATAATAATAATAATCACTGCATTTGTAATGGCGCCTTATCACACGGTTGGCACATCTCAAAGCGCTTCATAGAACAGATTGTAAAGTGGATTGTGTCTTGTGGGCGAAACGCGGCAGCCAATTGCGCACAGCAATGTCCCCGCAAACAGTCGTGGATTGAGTGATCCGCATTTTTTATTTTTTTATTTTTTTTTGCTACTCACAAAAGAGAAAGGCGAGTTTCTCCTGGGCCAGAAATTCACCGGGCGAAGCAGCCGTTCACTTCCCAGGACCCTCTCGCCCCGTCAAAATTTCTTACCTCCTCCACGGACCACTTTGCCACTCTCCTGGCAGTGTGGCCGGCCACCTCGGGAAGCAGTTTGCTGTGCTGTTCCCAGCGGAGTTGCAGGCGATGCTGTGTAGGCAGGGGAGACACGGAAGACATGAAAACCGACTGATGAAGGGCTTGCTGGAGGCTGGGGTCACTGTCTGCGGAGGAGGAGGAAGAGGAGGAGGAGGAAAGACGATTAAAAATAAAAATAAAAATAATAATCACATTTGTTGGCAGGGGACCCGCTCAATGGTATCCAAACCACGTATCAGAAATTCAAAGGGCCATATATTTATTTATATACTTACATCAATTATTTCTAGTTTAAATTATAATAACCTTAATGATAAGTAATCTTCGGGATTGATACAGCGCCTTATTGAGATGCGCTTCACAGGATATACTGTACAAACTGCCGCGACTGTGGGTATTTTGTGGCGAGGGTTTAATTGTCGAGAGTCTCAGTAACCTGGAGTTTCTTGTAGTCTACTCAACCTTCCTTCTTCTTCTTTCACGATTTGTAACTTCAGGTACTTTGGTGGACGTCCAGCCCTGGGTACAATGGATGGATCAGATCATTATAATAATAATAATCCTTGCATTTGATACAGCGCCTTTTCACGTCGTGGAGACGTCTCAAAGCGCTTCACAGGATACACTGTAAAGTGGATTGAGTGCGTATTTTGTAGGCGAAATGCAGCAGCCAGTGTCCCACAAACAGCCATGGAATTGAGCGACAGATTTTATTTAGGGGACTGTCGGTCAGGACACGGGGAGAGAGAAACTCTCTTCTCTTTTCAAATAGCGCAGTGAGATCTTTTAACGTCCACCTGAACGGGACCTCAGTTTAACGTCTCACCCGAAGGCTGGATGAGACTTTAACCCGAGTTCCACTAGAGGGAGTGAAAAACAGGAGGGGGGGGGGGGGGGGGTAAGGAAAGAATGGAGAAATCCTGATTTACTTTCTGTGCTTGATTTTGCCGTCAACGAACACTTGAGGTTTTCTGGTCGGCGCTGCTACAGAATACTCTTCTCCACCCCCGTTTGTCAGCCTGTTCTCTGTGGCGACAGGTTCCATTAGGTGCGGTGGCTCATTCCAGTTTCCAATTCCGTTCTCTGCATCTTTTCTGAGGAGGTAGAGAAAGGGGAGATGAGAGGAGGGGGGTGTGGGGGGGTGGGGGTGGGGAGAGAGAGAGAGAGAGAGAGAGAGAGAGAGAGAGAGAGAGAGAGAGAGAGAAAGAGAGAGACGGGGGACAGGTAGAAAAGGATTTTCTTTATTCAATTGAACAGAAAGAGGTGACTAAAAGCGCGGTCGAAAAGAAAGGAGGAGAGACTCGGGGTGGGGGGTGGGGGGGGGGGGCGGGGAATGAAATCACCACTTTCATTTTCTTTAGTGGGGACAAACTTCCAACAGAAAGTAAAGTTTGCCAGAAATCAGAGAGCGCGATGTGTGGTTGGAATTCCGCCCCCCAGTTCACCGGCTTACACTCACTTGAGCTGCGGAGATTCCTCGGGGGGCTCTGGAGTGGCTGAGCCAGGGGTCTCGGCTCCAATCTTCCTTAGCTTCTGAGCGCCTGAGACCGGAGACTGTCTCTCGCCGCTTAAGCGGTCTGGCAGGACTGTTTCTTTGTTTAGGTTGATCTCCGAGTACGGACAGCTAATCAGCCTGAAAAGAGACCAAACCATTGAAATAAACACTATCTATCTCTCTCTCTCTCTCTCTCTCTCTCTCTGTCTGTCTGTCTCTCTCTCTCTCTCTCTCTGTCTCTCTCTCTGTCTCTCTCTCTGTATGTATTAGCTGTAACATTCACAATAATCCTATCCTTATGAACCATGCACGCACACGAGGGGCAGAAACCGAAGAGAGAGCCCACATGGAAAGAAGCCCAGAGTCCCATCAAGTCCACTCTTGGGATATTCAATTCTATTCCGATTGCCACCCATTTGCACTCCGCCTGTCTTCAGATCGCACCTGAAGACTCCCTCTTTCACTGTGTCTACAGTCACCACCTCCCTCTCTCCCCGGCTTGGCGTCAGGCTCCCCCACAGTTAAGCGCTCCAAGAAGCAACCGCACGTGGAGGGGGCTGTATAAATGCAAGTTGTTGTTGTACACCTCTCTCCCTCTCTCCTGTACCACCAGATTCTTTCTCCAGCAGCCGTGAGCGGTCGACCTCACACCTGGCGTTAAAAATTGGAACAATCCTCGGAAGGTCTTAAAGAGTTTTAAAAGAGGGCCGGGCGTTGCGAAGCACCTGTCACGTACGTGTAATGTGCAGCATATCTGGCTCCTTTGATGTGTCCTATTCCCTTACAGCCTGGCGTAGGACAGCCTCCTTGTACTGGAGTGACCAGATCAGCGGGACCTGGAGTGGGGAGGGAACAGGGAGACCACACACACACACACACACACACACCACACACACACACCACACACACCACACACACACACACACCACACACACACACACACAATACACCACAACACACAGACACACACATACAGACACACACATACAGACACACATACACCACACCACACACACACACACACCACACACATACCACACACACAGCGGTGTTAGTTTGCAGCTATTGTCTTTACTTTCTTAAGAAAATATAAAATTCAAAAACCTCAGCCGCCCGGGGAACTTTGTAACGGGGAAAATAACGGAAGTGTAATAATCCTTGCATTTGACACAGCGCCTTTTCGAGACGTCTCGAGGCGCTTCACGCAATACCCCGCAAAGTGCAGTGACTCTAGTGTAATTTACGGGCGCCAGCGGCGTCCCGCCAACGGCCACGGGTTTGTGCGACCGCGTTTAGCTTTCAAGTGAAAGGGGGAAAGCGCAGGCCAAAGGGGGAACGCAGCACGGGAAACCGAACGCGCAACGAGGCGACTTCTTCCCAACTTACTCAGCGGGGTTTGTAGCGGGTGCCCGGTTTTCGCACACCACCCGATGGGGTGGATGTCGGGACTGTCCGAGTCTAGCCAGTAATCGTAGTCGTGGCTCCACCCGTCCAAATGGATCTGAAACACCACCAAACGCCACCGTCAGCAACGGCCTGAACTTAAGTGGCGCTCTTCTCGCGCGCGTTGCAGAGTCCTCAGGAGAGTCTCGTTCGACCCGTTTAGGACAGCGCGCGCGACGCGGTAACTAGCCTTGCGTCAAAAGCACGTCCTTTCGCGCTGTCAATTCACTTTACGGCGAAGTGTCCTGCGAAGCGCTTTGAGACGTCTCGAAGACCCTGATCAGGCGCGGTGTCAAATGCGAGGATTAGTATTGATGTCGAAGTGTAAAGCGTTCCCGACTGTGTCAGCCACCGCGACAGGCAGCGAGCTCACAGCAATGCCCCACAAACACCCAGGGAGTGAGTCGACGCTGACATCAGGGGGACTGGCAGCCAGGACACCCAGAGATACTGGTTGAGCTAAAACCGGACCAGGATAATTTAGTACCTTTATTCTGTGATCCTCTGTGTCTACAACAGTCGCGGCTCTTATCAGCATGGGATTCCTCTTGTCAACGGCTTCCAACTTCATGTTCAACTGAAAGCCATGTAGCGGACGCTAGGGGATATAATAATAATAAAAATAACAAGTCAAAATAATAATTCTTGTATTTGACGGAGCGCCTTATCACGTAGTTGAGACGTCGCAAAGCACTTCGCAGGATATATTGTAAAGCGGATTGATTGTATTTTACGGGCAAAGCACGGCAGCCAATTGCGCAAAGTGATGTCTCACAAACAGCCGTGAAATGAATGACCAAATTTATTGGGTGGGGGGGGGCGGAGGGAGGGATTTTTGGCCAGGACTCCGGGGAGGAAACTCCCTTCTCCTTTAGAACAGCGTCGCGGGAATCTTTGAGGCCTCTTTTGAAGGATGGTGCTCCCGACATCGCAGTGCTCCCCCACCCCCATCCTCAACGCTGCATTGGAGAGTGAGCCCAGACTATATCAGAGTCCCAACGAGCGGGTGGGGGGTGGGGGGGGGGGGGTGGGTGGGCTTGAACCCACAAACTTCCGACTGGAGGGTGAGAGGAGGGGAGGGGGCGAGAGCGTGACAGACCTGGAGCCAATGCTATAACGGGACGCAATAAAACGTTCTTATTGAACTTCACTCCGCCCGAGAGGTAAACCGAGGGCGTTTGTCAACTCGTCCGTATAGACCTACCAGTTTGAAAGCTCTGGCCGGCGCTGCCTGTGACCCTGCGACTTCCAGGTATTTCTCCCAGACGAAGGCTTTGGAATCTTTGTACTCTGCAACAAGGTGAGAGCTGACATTACAACAGAGACTTGGCATTCGTACAGCGCACCTCACGGGAGGGCAGCATCTCGAAGTGTTTAACGGTGGCAGAGGTTGACGCCGAGCGAGAGAGGGAGAGAGCGAGAGAAGTGGGGGTGGGGGTGGGGGAGGTGAACCCTGGCACGTTCGAACAGAAAGGTCTTCGGGTGTGATCCTGCGTAGCAAGGAAGGAAGTCAAGGCACAGGGATTAAAGGAAAGAGTTCCAGAGTTAATCGGTAATGAACAGTAATGGAAACTTCTCCACGTTTGACTTGAGTTGACAGTTCATTCTTTTGGGGCGGGGTGGCTGTTGTCGTGGGGGGGGTGGGGGGTGTGTGTCTGACACACGTGGTAACCCATCACCGTGCTTAAGAGTATCCAAATCGAACTGAGATACTCTTTAAAATGTGTTTCCTGGCTGACCAGAAGAGAGAAAAAAAAAGATGTACCCAAATTGCGATGAGTTAATATTTTTTGCTTGAAATGTTTTCTTTCGAACGCAATTTGCCGAGGGGGTGAGTGACGCAGACACTAACCAGGCGGCGTTGTAAGAGTCAAACCAAGCTTCTGGCATGATCCGACCGGCCGGATATATGGACTGCTCGCATCGCACCTAAAAAAAAATGAGAAAAAAAATGGTCACGACAGAGAACTCCCAAAATAATAATAGTAATAATAATAATAATAATAATGCGCACGTTTCCTCACAAACAGTCGTGGACTGAGCGACCATATTTTTTATTTGGGGATATTCCACGGGGTGCGAAGGTGTTGCAAACCCGACCCAGCGAGCTGCGTGGGAGCGCGGAACGTGCTCGCCATACCTCACGAACACCCCGAGTTATAAGAGAGACAAATAATGAGCCCATCCAAAGCTCCGGTGGTACGTACGGACTCACCTGAGCCTGTGTAGCCCTTCACCAAAGTCAATGACTTTACAGAGCAGTTTCAATTAAATAGCCCACCTCGTGTTTCGCTGCTTTAAAGTGAAATCTAGTTAATTTCCCGCCACCCCCCCACACCCTCCACTCCTTGCCCACACCCTCCAGTCTAACTGACGACCGATTTTACAGCAGCAAAACATCAACGAAGCTAATTTAAACAATTAATGACGGAGCCAGCGGATTTCACCCACTTGAACCGTGTCGCTGCCCTTCTAAACTCGAGACATATCCGTGCAAGTCCGGCCGGCCCGCGCGCAGGCGAATCGTGATTAATAGCCGAGTGTTTGGATAGTGGTAGAGGCTTGTCAGGGAGAAGACGCACGGTTATTGCAAAGCCCCAATAACAACACTCCGGACAGCTCACCAGTAGTCATAGCCATCGTCCCAGTTGTCAAAGTGAATCAACAACCGATTGTCCACCATGTCAGCGATGGTGGACACGCAGATCAGGGAAGGATTCTTCTTATCCACTGCCTCTAGCTTCATCCCCACTCGGAAACCGGATGGGGTAATCGGCTGTGAACAACAACAACAACTTGCATTAACTTACATTATGTCGCGCCTTTCAGGTGCTCGGGGGCTGCGCAAAAAGGGAAAGAGGACTAGCCCACGTTTGGTTGGACCACTTCGCTTGGAGACGCTCACCGTGTTCAAGGACTTGAAGAGGGTTTTGGACGCTGCTTGAGCTTTGCAGGACTTCAGGTAGGAGGCGCTGTCCTTGTAACCTGTCGATTAGCAAAAACAACAAAAGAAATCATTCGTCAGCAAAGCACGCGAGCGAAGAGAGAGAGAGAGTGAGAGCTTAGAGGAGGGGAGGTATGGGAGAGGTTTGGATGACGGCAAAGCTTTGGCCCATGGGATCTTGACCCTTTCACAGTTCCCACCGTTCAATCGATACAGCATCAAACTCTCTTCTTAAACAAGTCCAGCGTCCTGACCTCGACAGCCCTTCCTTCCCTGAGGACCCGCTCCCGCCGGTGCTCATCCTCGATGTGAAACAAATGCTTCGGTTGTCTGTCCCAAACGTGCCCTTTCCCAACCCAGAACTCATACCTAACCTCTCGCTTTTATTTAGGGATACAAATTCCATTTAGCATTATAATAATAATAATAATAATAATCCTTGCATTTGATATAACGCCTTATCGGGCCGTTGAGACGTCTCAACTCGAGGCACTTTTGCAGGATACACTGTAAAGTGGTTTTGACTGTGTATTTTGTAGGTGAAACGCGGTGCAATGGTTTTGGCTCCCGAGCACCATCCAGTGACCTCTCCTGGAAAGTGCAGGGGCTTGAAATTTCACCTCGTCTTAGCCTACAAGTCTTAAACCTCGAGAGAATAATAATCCTTGAATTTGATCGCAAACAATCACACGAAAATCCGATCTTATTTTGGAAGCCGACTCTTTTTCTTTTGCTCTTTGAAATATAACCGCAGAACTGCAGAAAAACGCAGCTGCCCGCCAACCTATCACAATAAAAATAAATACAATAATCCTTGCATTAGATATGGCGCCTTATCACGTCGTTGAGACGTCTCAAAGCGCTTCGCAGGATCGACTGTAAAGCGGATTGGCTGTATATTTTGTGGGCGAAACGCGGCAGCAATTTGCGCACAGCAGCGACCCCACAAATAGTCGTGGATTGATTGATCAATTTTTTTTTGAGGGTCTAATGCCCTCGGGAAGCGTTCCGCCATTCAGCGAACAACCACTTTCCTACATACTGCTAGCTAAACAGGGGGGTGTGGAGTAAAGAAACTTGCCTAAGGTTTCGCCCGCCCGGGAATCAAACCCGGATCCTCTACGCTACAGGACTCCTACAGGAATCCAGGAGCGAAGGTAAGTTTTCTCCCCCACCAATACCGCACCACCGCATTCAATTTGAATTAAAAGAAAAGGTTGCGTAGGTTAACGCTAGGTCTTGGGCTCGTTAAACAAGCTGCGAGTTTCCCCTCTCGGTCAAACCGCCCGCCAATATTCAGCATCTTGGCTCAGCGAAGTGAAAAGCAGTATAACCGAAGGAAAGCGACAAAAGCTGTGTCGTTGAAGCTCAGACAGGTTTGCAGGTACCTTTTGGAAGGTGGAGTTTGCGACTGGTTTTTTCACACCACCCGTACGGATGGATATCGGGAGAGTCTGCGTTCAGCCAGAAGTCGTAGCATTCCGAGTAGCCGTCGAAATGCAGCCTTATCCTGTATCCTTGCACCTGCGCACACCATTACGTTGTTAGCCGCCGAACGACAACCACATACTTGTTTAAACGTTTCAACGTGCTTTATGGAGGAGGGAGTGGGAGAGGGAGCATGTGGGCGTGTAGGAGACTAGGTGCCATTAATCCTTGGTGCACATCGGGTGCCAATCCCTGACTGTCCAGCACCAAGGGACGTCCTCCCGACACAAAAGGCGCTAGACAAATGTGAATTGTTGTTGTTAGTGAGGTAGATTTATTTCAGAAGGGATTTTGGCAGCGGAGAGGAAGGAGGGGAGGCAGAGGGATTTAAGGGACCTCACCTCAGCCACACTCAGGACACAAAACATCGAGGGATGTTCAGGATCGATCCCCTCCAGCCTCATACCCACTTTAAACCCGTTGCGGCTCTGTGGAAACGACTGGCACTGGAAACACAAAGGAACAATTTCATAGTTTATAATAATAATAATCCTCGCATTTGATACAGCGCCATATCACATCTTCGAGACGTCTCAAAGCGCTTCACAGAATATACTGTAAAGCGAATTGACCGTATATTTGTGGGCGAAACGCGGCAGCCAATTGCGCACAGCAATGTCCCACAAACAGACACGGATTGAGTGACCGAGTTAGTATTATTTTTGAAGGGATCATTAACCCCGGAAAATCAATCCGCCAATCGATTAACAACCGATCCACCGATCGTTCCTATTTACTGCTCGGTAAACAGAGGCGTGTGGGGTAAGGAAACTTGCCCAACGTTTCGACCTGCCGGGGAATCGAACCCGGGTCCTCTCGCTTACGAGACGAGCGCTTTAACCACTGAGCTACAGGAGGCTCCACATTTCTTTGTGACAGAAAAGTAACTCCTCGCCCAACACACCTCGTTATAACAACCACCGACGTTTCGACGAGGAAAACGATACGAACGGGATGGGGGGAGGGGGGGGGGATGATAAAAGCCACGCCGGAATTCTCGGAACCCCAGAGTTTCCACAAATTAGAGGCAGGAAATTCTTACGTTGGCCGCAGAACTCGTCGTAAAGGTAAAGCTCAAAAGAAAACCAGCGCGAGAGCAGTTGCGACTTACAGACGTACGTACCTCTTTGAAGAGTTTGATGGGAGCAGCTTGCGTTCGCTCCTCCTCCAGGTAGGAAGCCCAGTTCCAGGCTTTTTTCTTGCCAGGGACGGCGAGAGCTAATCGGGATACAGAACCAGGACAGGTCAACTTCCAGCCCGGAAAACATTCCCGGATCGGGACAGCAACAGCTCTCATCTCGAGCTGAAATGATCGCTCCCCCCCACCCCATCCGCGCTGAAAACTACTAGCCACGAGATAGCGTGGGTTTCAACGGTCGCAGATGAAACAAAACAACAGCAGGTGAGGAGCCTTGTTACTCTTTGTGAACCAACGCGAACCGAGAGAGCAAGACGTCAGCACAAAAGCTGAACCGTAGACATGACCCTGTATAACACCGTCCGGCAGCACATCACTGCAGCTCCGACGGTGAAGCAACAACAACAAAAATTACATTTGTGTGGCCCCTTTCATGTTGGAAGGACATCCCAAGGCACAGGACCATTCAGCTCCTACCCACATTGCTTCACGTGGAGGTCAAGGACAGGGAATTTTCTGAATTAACTTACCTTGTTTCAATAGTTTAGGTGCTCTACGGCCTCGGGTTTGATGGTCCTGGGCTCCTTTGGGCTTCACCTTAATGTCCTCCAGAAGTTCCTGTACATACAATCAGCAATGTTAAAGCTCACGAGCAGACTGTCTGGCCTATCAAGTCCTACGCTGGTCCTCGCTCTTCCCCTCCTCATATTTATACCGTTTTCCTCTTTAAAATGTTCAGCCATTTCCCTTTTAAATGCCGTCGAGGTCTGAGCTTCCAGGTCAATAATAATCCTTGCATTCGAATCAGCGCCTTATCATCTCGTCGAGACGTCTCAAAGCGCTTCACAGGATACACTGATCCACAGGACACAAAGGTGGAGTGACTGTATATTGTGGGCGAATGCGGCAACCAATTAGCACGCGATGTCCCACAAACAGCTATTAAGACATTGACAGATTAATCGTCCGTTAATCGTTTACCTCAAGCCTGTGCAAGGGCCCTTGCTGTGTGTAAGATACACAGTCACTACACCTGACAGCAGTCTCTCCGAGAAGATGTTCGAGATGTTTTTTGAAGCCTGCAGTGCAGCAAATGTACGGATTTTTTTATTTCCCGCCCTCCAGGGGCTAAACTCAAAAGGTCAGCAGTTGCGAAGCTCCGGTTATAAACCCCCAAAAAAGGGAAAAAAATCAAGAGCTTGTGACAGAAACTCCACATGGGGGTTACCTCATCCTCCTCGTCCTCAAAATCGTCCTCCACCCAGTCCAGGAGCAGCTTCCGTTTCTTTCGGAGTCGTTTCGTGAATCTGCCGCCCTCTTCGTTCACGTCCACGGGATCGGACTTGTTGCTGCTTTCAATCAATCACACGACGATGAAGCGAGCGACGGCAACAACTTGTGTTTAGATCGCGCCCTTCTCGCGGGGTAGGGTCCCCGGAACGAGCGGCCATCGGCGGCAACGTCCGAAAGCACTCAACCTACCCCCCCACTCCCCGCCCTCCCACTGTAACAAGACACCGAGACACAACACACGCCCCAGAATTCTCCTCAAGTGCTTCTTAATTAATGTCTAACATTGATCCAACAACATCCTGCATTGATGCAGTGCCCCTTCACACGGGGAAAACGTCTTAAGAGCGTTTCATCGCTCCGGTTCCACCCATCAGAAATTGAGCGACTGCATGCGATGATCTAACCGGTAAGCAATAAATCCTGCGAAGCGCTTTTATGGATGTTTTGATACGATTGATAGGGAGTTTTGTCAAAGGTAAGGGCTGTCGCAAGAATGGCAAACCAACAGCAGGAGGGACTGCTTGAGCTGAATGGCCTGTTTCGTGATGTTCTAGTCTATGAATACGTCTTACAGGCTAATAGCAGAAAGCGCGCACTACGAAATAAAACCAACATTTGATATCACTTGCTCGTTTTCCAATACTGTTTAAAAATACCTTTGCAGTTATTGCAAATGAGCTGAACTGTCACATCGAACGGGATAATTGTACGTGGAATCAGCGGGCAACTTATACAATGTCGGAAAATGTATAATAAAATCCAGGGGGTTACATCCTAGCCAACTGAGTCACTCCGCACAGCAAATAGTGCACGAGATTTCCTCGACCGGAGAAACCGCGTGCACAAAAACTCAATTTGTTTTACTCACTTGGACAGTTCCAGTTTCACAGCCATCGGCGTCTGTCCCTTGGAACTGGAGAAAGACAGTTTGAAAGAGGAACCGTTTGTTAATAATAATAATAATAATCATAATCCTTGCATTTGATACAGCGCCTTATCACACTGTCGGCGCGTCTCAAAGTGCTTCACAGGATATACTGTAAAGTGGAGTTGCTGTGAATTTGATGGGCGAAACGCGGGGGCCAGTCTCGCACGGCAATGTCCCACAAACAGTCACGGAGCCGGCAACTGATTTTATTTCGAGGGATTGTCGGCTACGACACCAGGTGAGAGAAACTCCCTTCTCCCTTCTCTTAGCGCCGCGGGATCGTTAACATCGACCCGAACGGGTAGACCGGACCTCGGCTTAACGCCTCATCCGGCACTGAACGTAATGTAACGGCGCTGAAGGGAATAAGGAGCGGGGACTGATACAGCGAACGAAGGGTGTAGTAGTACGTACCTTTCTTTGTGCTTGTTTGCACAGGTCTCGCTGCAGAACCTGCCCATGTGGCTGAAGTTCTCAATGGTGCCGTATTGGCCGCAGTTTTCGCAGCAGTAAATCCCGTCCATGCTGGGCTCGTCCTCGTCTTGCAACCCTAGCGTTTCAAGAACTCGGCTGTTAAAAGGCTCGCCCACGCCCACCGGCTACACGTCACGTCTGGCTGGGTTATGAATCAACCCCCGAGCCTTAGGAGTAATTGCGAGTGGCGGAAGCTTTTTATTGCGGCCAGCCGGAAACCGAACACATGCGGAGACCCATCACCGCGCTCAAGAGGATCCAAACCAAACCGAATAATAATAGTAATAATTATTGTTATTTATTATTATTAACCAAACCGAGAATTCCAGATATCCCACCTACACATGGAAATGCCAGAAATAGATTGTTGGAATGGAATGCGTTTTCTCTCTCTCTCTCTCTCTCTCTCTTGCTCCCCTGGAGGGACGGACGCATCCTTATTACCTAATCCAGGAAAGTATTCGGCTTAAGTTGGCCCAGAGTTAGGGTTAGGGTTAGGAAGCCAAAGGGAAAGTTTCTGCAAAAGGTACCTTTCAAAGGTGCAGCTCTGCTCCCAGCTTTCAAGAGGTTGTCTTTCTTGTTTTCTATCTCCGCATCAGTGATGATTTCCAGGGTGTTGAACTCTGTCATTCGGAACTGACTCACAAGAAAACAACATTGTGTGGATTACAGACATGCATTTATAATTACTCACTGTGTATACAGTGTGCAAACAGCATACTCTAAACACTGCAAATAGTTAGTCAGTCAAAACCCCACACCTCCCCTATTGTACACCACATTCTGCCTCAGGTTATTAAGACTGAAGTTAACTTGTCAGGACTGGGTGCTTAATACCAGACCCCGTGTTAGGGATACAATACTGTGCTTGCTCTCAAGACACGTAGTCACTCCACTCTAAATTATATCCTGCGAAGCACTTTGGGACATCCTCCCAACATGAAAAGCGCTGTACTAAATGTAAGGGTTATTATTATTAGAAATACAAGTTGGTGGTGTTGTGGTTAAACAGTAGAAACACTAAGAATGTGAATCGCCGCATGAACAATGTTAGAAAAATATAGATGTTCATTAAACATCAAATCCCTCCCAGTACTAGCTGGGTGCCCGAGCTGGCGATGGGGGCCGAGGGAGTGGGGAGGGGAAAGAATACCAATAGTAGTCAAAGAGTTGGGCCTTGAGGCGTGTCTTGAACGAGGTGAGGGAGGGAGATTGTGGCTTCCAAGGACTTCTTTATTCAGTTAAGATGGAGATTGTCACACATGGGTTTGCACTGACTGGTCTACAATATTCTTAATTCAAAGGGGGGTCGTGGCGGGGGGGAAACACTAACTAAGGCCCCTTAATGCAATACAGATTCCTGACCCGCCAGCCTCTCGTTGGAGCCTTACCTTCAGGTTGCTGCCGGGCAGAGTGGCAATTCCGTCCCTCCATTCCATGGCACTGACCAGATCAAAGTCCTGCCCTTGAGCGGGTGTCATGTTGCCCTCTTTCGATGTATGTTGTTCCATTGTATTCTCTCAAGTGGATGTACTGCGTTGAAAAATAATAATCAATCTACAAACATAACTCAGCGAAGCTATAACATAAGGAAATAAAACTACCGTTTTGCCCCGTTGAACTCCTTTGCCAGACAAAGACCTCAACGCGGGTTGATTAAACCCCTTCCAAGATGCCAGAGACAGGTAAGGGGATTTGGGTTGTGATACAGTGCAGAGGACACAGTTATCCTGCTCTGTATTAGCAGCCAGGCTCCTCTGCTGGAAAGTACGTGACTGACATTGGGCAAGGATTCGGGCTCCCCTGTGGACAAATAACGAGTAATAAATAAGCGTGACGATCAGGAAAGAAGCGTGACACATGAGGAATGACCACTTGGGCCAGAGAGCATCCGGTGTGTACATACAACCTGACACACAAAACCTGCAAAGAGAGAAGAACGGGGAATGGAGCGCAGCCCTAAATCACCCTCGTCGTAAAATCTGCGGCGACATTACTCCGAAACAACAAAATCACGGCCTTGTACAACATTGAAACAATGTACTTTCAGCTGCACGTTCAACTGTTATTAGTTCTGCTTTCACTTGAGGCTACAGTACAGATGGCGGAGAGAGAGAAAGAGACAGACAGACAGGGGGTGAGCGAGTTCAAGAGAGTCATCAAATATTAAGGTTCACATGAACCTCACAAATTGTGTTCAGTCATCCGAAATCTCATCAAATTAAACACTCAACACTCGGCTCTGCAGTTCCAATAACCACAGACCCATTCTGATACCACGTTGGAATCTACAGCACCATCCAAGCCTTTTCATTTCACGTCTCATACACACCGGAAAAGCCAAGAGGAAAACAGCAATTGCAAGACAAAAAAAAAAAAGACCAGGATCCATCTAGTTTACCTCCTAGCATCCTGATAGTCTCATGCTACAGTAGTGGCGATTGGCTTTCCTCCTCTACATCAACAGCAGTACCTTGGTACCCTCCAGCATTTAAGTGGCAGCCTGGCTCAGTTGGAATTAGAATTAGAAGCTTGTGGGTTCAAGCCCCATGTCAGGACTTTGAATTGACAGTCTCAGCTGATGCTCAGCTGAGGCGAGGCGAGGGGTGGGGTGGGGGGGGAAGAGAGGCACTTCGGGTTACTCCATCAGAGATGGAGACCTTCAGATGAGACATTAACTGACTGCTGTACAGGTGCAAGTTAAAAGATCCTGTGGCACTATTGGAAAAGGGAAGGGAGTTTCTCCTGGTGCCTGCCCTGACCGCCAATCCCCCGGGTACAATGGGTCATCAGTTCATGGCTGTTTGTGGGGCAACGCTGAGCACAAATTGGCTGCCTCGTTTGCTTAAAAAATACCCCTATTCCAAGGGATCTTGAAAGCCCAACCGAACAAGGACCCCAGTTTAACGTCTCAAGAGAACAGGAGTGGGTTTCCCCCAATGATCCTCCAGATAAATTAGTCGTTCACCTCTTGGCTGTTGGCGAAACTTCGCTGCGGCAAGTGGCTGCTGCGTTCGCCTACAAAAAAACTCAATCACACCATTTCTGGCAGCGTTTTCTTTTGCAGCGCACCGAGAAACTTCAACACGTTAAGTCACTTCTCCGACTGTCCGCTAATTCGCTTTAACCGCAGATGACACCTCTGCCAAAGAAAACATGGCTCATCAAAGCAAATTTAATTTACGCTGCAAAGAAAAACATCTCTTGCATTCGACACGACGCCAAATCACGTCAAAACTTCTCAAGTGGGTAAACGGTGTGTCACGCAGTCACTGAGGGTTTTTTTTTTAAACTCCATCCAAACCCCCCCACCACACAATAAAAAAAAACACACAGCAGCGGATTTGATTTGCGCACAGCGACGCCGCAAAAAAGCAGCCAACGGGTTGCGTCCGCCTTTGACGTCGGGTCTTCTTATGTCGTCGGGACGTCTCGAACGGCTTCGCGGGACACGGCAAGGACCGGACCTCGGGTCAACGGCTCAAACTGGGGCTTGAACCCCACGACCCGCTTGACTCAGAGAGAGAGAGAGAGAGGTACAAAACTGTTGTCCAGGACACAGGGAGGAACTCCCTGGAGACAGTGGGACAAGTTCCTTCTCTCCCCCTCTGAAGCCTATGTTATTGCTGTGATTGTGACCCCAAAAGGGGACAATATTCCTGCAGTGGGGGACGTGTTCTCGCACATCACTGGGGGGGGGGAATGGACCCTTGAAAAGCGTCGACGACCACAGGGAGTCGCTCTTAACACGTCTCAAATTCAACCAACACCCGACCAGAAAAATTCTCCTTATTTTAATAATAATAATAACAACAACAACACATTATTTCCCTGATTTAGAGAAAAATCAGTGGATTTTTTTTTAAATAAATTAACCCAAAATCCTCCCCCCCCCCCCACTCCCCCCACTCCCTCCCACAAAAACATATCTCCACTCAATTAACACCATTTAAATCTGCATTTCTCTTTCAAAGGAATAGATACATTTTTTTTTGAGTTCGAATCAAATCAAAATCACAACAAAAACACTGGGAACAAAAATATCAAAAAATCTCAAGTTGTTCCGAAAACAACCATCACCACATCATATACATCTCTACTGTGTTACAAAACTCTCTTGTTATATAAATCCACATATGTGTTTTAATAAACATCTCAATTCAAAAAAAATAAACTTTTTTAGGGGGTTATTTCACCCCAAAAACAATAACAAAACGCTAAAACCAGTTCCAGGCAATACCAGGGAATAAATCCCCTGTTTTTTCTTAAGTATAAAGATAGATACATATGTTTTTTATACACACACACATAGAGAGAGAGAGAGGAGAGAGAGAGAGAGAATTTTTTTAAGTAAATAAATACAAATAAAGGGACACTAACGTTGGGGGACAATGAAGAAATTCTCCTTTGCAGTGAAATCCTTGGGGTTGTTTGTCTTGTTATTTCTCTCTCTCTCTCTTCGACCCCTTGAAACAAACAAATAAAAAAAAAAGGGGAGAAAAAAAAATGTTATTTTTTTTTGTGCATCTCTATAGGAGAGATTTTTTTTGTGCAGAGAGAATTTTTTTTTATTTTGTGGTTCAAAGAGTTTTAAGACTCTAATGCACAAAATGGCGGAAGAAGCAAAGGTCCTAAAAAAAATAGCACATTGACAATTCCCCCCCCCCCAAAAAAAAACTTTTTCTTTCCTTTTTTTTCTCTTTCTCTCCCTCCTTTTTCACTGTCATTTTTATTTCACTCCCCCCCTCCCTCCCTCCCCAAACTCACAGCCACTTAAGATCATCCCCCCCCCACCACCCCCCCCAAAAAAACTCCCCCAACAATTCCCCCTCCTCTCCCCCTTCCCCCCCCCCCACACATCTCTTAATAAAATTAGAATTTTTTAATATTATTACCTCTCTATATTATCCACACACACGTTTTTACTGTCTTTTTAAAGGAAAAACTCCATCCAAGACGTTTATTTGCCATTCAATTCTTTTTTCTCTCTGTTTCCTGTGTTTTGCTTCCCCCCCAAACCACCCAAAAAAAGTTATTTTATCATTTTTGTTAAAAAAATAGCCTTTTCAAACCCCCCCCCAAAAAAAACACAAGAAAACACCCCCACACACACCCAGAGACACCTCATCCCTTCCAGATCTGAATGCATCAATAAAATGATTCCAACGTTGAAAGACAGACAGAGAGAGAAAGAAAGTTTTGCCAAAAAAAAATCATTTGCAAGTAAAATAAGTTGAAAAAATAGTGCTTTTTTTTGGGTGAAAAAAAGGGAAAAAAACACACACACTGACACACACACACACACACACACAGAGACACACACACACACGAGTTAAAAAAAAACAGTTGCAAATAATTTCAGAGTGTAACTAAAAGTTTCCAAGAAGAAGAGAAAGAGAGAGAGAGAGAAGGGAAGAAAAAATACTTTGAAAAGAAAATTGCTGCAACAATTTCTTGCTACAACCTGAACCCAAAGCAAAGAGAGAGACAGAGAGAAGGGAAAGTGATCAAATAATACTTTGTTTCTCTCTCTCTTTCCTCTCTCTCTCTCTCTGTCTCTGTCTCTCTCCTTTTTTTTCTCTCTCTCTCTCTCCCTCTCTTTAATTATAAACGCACCTTTTTCTTTTTCCCCCAAATAATTCTCTCTCTCTCTCTCTCTCTTGTCACAGGAGTCAACGCATGCTCTTCTCACCCATAGGTGAAGCACACACACACACACACACACCCCCCAACTTTTTTTTGTGTTGGTGGAAACTTTTTATTTGGTGGGGAATCGATGGATCAATCAATCAATCAATCAAGCTCCCCAATCATTGCACACCCCCTCGCCTTTCTTTTACCTCTTTGCCTCGGTTCGCTTCCTTCCGCTGATCTCGCAAGGCTGACTCTGCCCCCAAAAAAAAGCACACCCTTTACTGTGTCTGTCTGTCTGTCCGTGTGTGTGTGTACGTGTGTACGTGTGTGTGTGTGTGTAAAAAAATATAATACATCCAATTCTTCGTCCCTAACGCAACATTTTCCGTTAACGCGCACTCTCCCCCCCACCCCGCAAACACAAAAGGAATTATACTGCACAACTATACTGCATACAATCGTACAGTACAGTATGATTCAGTATAGATATGCAGTATATACCGTGCAGTATAATTCCTTGCGTGTGCGCGCGCGCGTGTGCGTGTTTGTGTTTGTGTGTGGGGGAGTGTTGTGTTAATGGCAAGTTTTGCATTAGGGATAAATTCCCCTAAATTGTTATCCCTCTCGTTCCCCGGACGCTTTGACTTAGTAGCTCTGTCTTGAACTTATTTTTTGTTGGCGTTGTTGCTGTGAGCATGCGTGTGTGTGCGTGTGTGTGTGTGTGTGCGTGTGTGCGCGCGCGTGTGCCTTTGCAATGTCCTCTCGCCGTGAAAGGCACAAAAAGCTATACAAATGTAATTTGCTGTTGTGCTGCTGCGTTTCTTGTTCCAAAGTTTATAATTTGTAAAACTGAATGAACCGCAAGTGTTCATTTCACTGCTCTCTCTTTCCGTCTCTCTCTCTCTCTCCTCTCAATATTTCAGCCCAAAAGTATAAACGAGGACGATGGGACTGCTGTGTAGAAAAAATATAAAGTATAAAAAAAATTACGAACAGTCACGTTGTGTGCGTTCAGCCACACTTAAAAATGATTGGTTTCTGAAAAAGCGTCGCGGCTAATATTTTCATTCCGTTTTCAAGGTGCAAACTTATTTTTTTTATTTACAAAAAGACACAAACACGGCCCCACACAATGCTGTTTTATTTGCTGCTCAAATAACTGATCCCGGGGGTGATTTGGCTGAACCGAAATAAAATAAGATTCTTAACGCAAAGGCAGTTCCTTTCTCCCGGTGTCCTGGCCAGCAATCCTCCAGATAAATTTGTCCGTGGGACATTGCTGTGTGCGCAAAACAGGCTGGCGCGTTCACCTACAAAATACAGTCACTACACTTCACAGCGAAATCCTGCGATGTGCTCTGAGATATCCTCTTTCACTATAAAATGTGCTCTATTAAATGCCAGCAGTCTAATCAATCACATCGAAACCTACTGCTCTCTATCTGTCACTGGGCATTGATCCACTTTCAAGGCGATGAGCAGCGAGACCTCCGGCTGGTTCTCCCCTCCCTGAATACTGAGACCAATTGTAGCGCCTCCATTGCTGCCCTGATTGAAACCGATCAAAACAGCACAACGCTGGACTTGGTACCGTACAGCACAGCTATTCACTGATATAGGCTCGTGGGCCACGGTGAGGGCTTTCATCCACTGATAATTAAAGCACGGTACATTGACCACAATTCAGCACACGTCTGTGCAATGGTTGAAGTGAAAAATCATTAGGAGCCAATTGAACTCATAGTTATTGTAGCGCAGAACGGTAGATATAATGCTTACGTACCACATTCAAAGACAATTTGCAGTTAGAAAATAATGGTTATATTATTTGATTCTTACAGACATGACCGAGGATATCACACACAGTGGATAAGCTGTTAACTGACCTTAAAAATGTACAAATTAGCCTCTTTTACCACGAGCCATCAAGGTGACCACAGGTGACCTCCTCGCTTTAGGATCTTTCTAGGTTATGTTTAAGAGATTTTGCATGAATCATTTACTCAATAACATTATACTGCCCACAATTATACTGCACATTGTTTTCTGGATCAAAAGAGGAGCTAAAACCAGCAACAATTTCATGTCATTGGTGAGACACTACTGTATAGTTTACACGCACGTCAACATCATCCATCCGCCTTCCCATGAAGCTATTATATCCTCAAAAAAGATTGAATATTCAGGTGGTGTATGATTTTAAAACAAATGGGGGGGGGAATTGGATATTGCTGTTGCAAATGTCTGGGGTCCACGCAAATAAAAGATTTCACCGCTTGCTCACAGGCACCCATGGCTATTGTCTCGAAGTAATGATTAATGACTGGCCTGCTCAACCCTCACAACGCCTTTTACGAGCACATACTTAATCAAACACGTCAAGCAATGTTGATCGCGCACTTCTAGAGTCTGAGCCAGACCAGTCATTGCCATTCAATCTGCCTCTCTGAGATTTCCAAACTAGTAGCAGTAACGGCCAGAACGCTTTCATAAGAACATAAGAAATGCGAGACGGAAAAAAGACCAAGGTCTTTTTAGTTCTCCATCTAGTTCGTCCTCCAGCTTCCTGGCGGTTGCATGCACATATGTCCCAAACTACCTGTACTATGTCCCATAATGTTATTTCCTAAAACAAAACTATCTAATCTGTGATTCAAGGCATCAACATTTCTTGTTTCAACCGTCTCCTGAGAGAGCCTGTTCCACAATGTCAGTGCAGCTTGGCATCACTGTTGATTGTCCAGGGGAGAAGCAAAGTCTAGCGGAGGTCAATATTATTGGTAGCTTTGGTGCTGGAGATCAAGAGACTCCTGCAAACATGAGGGACAAGTTAATCTAGCCAGGTTGAAAAAAAGTCAAGGCACCCACACACTTTTTCCCGTAATATCTTAATGCAAGTATCCATCTCCTTGTTAAACGTCTCAATTATTGAAGTATCTAATTTACTTTGTTCAAAATTGATATTGCGAATATTGTTCTTCTAATAAACATGAAATAAAAGTTAGCAAATCCTCTCTTCTACCCCCATCCCCTCCTCTTTGTGTAGCCTGGTTGACGGTTGACAACTTTTCCTTGTGCTGATATCAGTGGGTTTAGGCCTTGTGATCTTCTGCAGACTCTTCAGGATTTGTCTACTGAAGCCAAATGTACCTTTGATAGATGTTTCCCCCATTGTTGGGCCATTTATTGAACTCATCTTAAGCCTTTAGTTTGGAACACTGCATTGATTGATGGATACTTCTGGCTATTACAGTGGCCGTGTGGGATTAAACCTTGGGTTTTGAACCCAAACTTTAAATGTGATCACATATTTTTTACATGACCTCATACGTCAACAGATATCTCTCTTTGCTCCCCCCAAAATCGTGTTTTATTCTTCTAGCTTTTGGTCTCCGCTGCTTATTGCAAGTGTTAATACTTCATTCGAAAATTCACCAAACCAATTTTCACAAGCAAACTCATTTGCATCACTTCGACCTCAATGTGATTGCATGGTTAAATTAGTTGGGAGTAAAATCTATTGCTTTGGGCCAAGTGCGGAAAATGCAGCATTAGCATTTTAATAGTAATTGTGCATATCATGTCTTCAGCTGAATTATTAACAAAAAATGTCAGTGTTTGCAGCAAAATCTGCTGCATAATCTTCCCCCCAAATGTATACTACTTTGAATCTATAATCTGTAGTTATTTAATTTACGTTAGAGAATTGGCACTTACCTGCCAAAGCTGTTACATTTCAACGATGAGAAATTGTTTTCTCTGAATCTTTCATAATAATTGTTCTCTCCTGTCAGGAACATACAACCTGCAGAGTGCCGTGTACACAGTAAAAAAAAAATAATTGCGTGTAGAATCCTCTGGACGTGATGTTAATCCAAGGTCCCGTCTGCCTAATTGGGTGAACGCTAAAGATTCCATCGTGTTCATTTGCAAAAAAAAATGAAAGAAGTTTCTCCCGCTGTCCTGGTCAACAATCCCCCAAATAAAATAGATGATTCCCTTAAAGCCTCGTGCCGTATTAAAATTGGCTGCTGCGTTTGCCTACACAGTACACAGTCACTGCTACCCTTTACCGTATATTCGGTAACGCGCTTTGATATAGCCTCTTGACATGATAGACACTATATCAAAGTAAGTATTATTACTATCGTCCGCTGAAATATAATTTGTGTGATTGTATCTCGTGCCACATCCAAACTTGAGGGAAAGAGTTATCTGAGCACAAATACCAAATATTTAATGTAGGTCCACATCCAAGCCTCAAATCCAACTCGAGTAGTTAAGCTTTCTTGCGATCAAATCTGCTCTTTTTTTTTCCGCTTAGTTCCTTTTTCTTTCTCTCTTCACTTATTTTTATGCTTCAGTTTTTTATTCTTTCCCAAATATGAATTTAGGCCCGTGAGTGACTTTCCCCTGCTTAGAAAAGGTTTCACTCACACTATTTGCATTTATCATTCTTCAGATGATGAAATGGCAAATTGAAATTCTATATTAAAGATTCCTCTAGTGAGATCTACGCTTTCCATTTCTATCTTCCGCTCCTTTTCACAACTCACTTTACAGAGGTCGAATGCATATTTGAAATTCCCTTTAGATCATTTTTAGTCTGCCCTTTCTTCAATGAATGCGACTCTGTTCTTTGAAAACCGAAAGATAACTTTGGTGCACGTTTCTTTCATAACTTCCTGATAACTATCACATGTGAAGGCTCCACCTGTTCACCTCATTATTCCAACTAAAAATTCCTTTTAAGTTAACATTGAATGGAACTTCCAACTGTCGTTTTTTTTTTTAAGCCTCAAATGACTTGACGTGTCATTAACTTGCCCCCAAAATTCTCTCTCGGCGACAGAAGTTCAAAAGCTGAACGAACACGTTCTCAAAATACGGTAAATATCTACTTAACAATATCTACAACAATATCGGTTGTCGTGCACGTTGCTCTGTGACGTCTCGTAGCCAGTTCCGTCCACATCCTACTCTATGAAAGCAGAGGTATATTTGAAAATCCTTGGAAGATTATAACATGAGGCATTTGTCATCACTGTCTGCTGCACTTAAAGACACACAGGCTGATGAGAGCAAGTTCCACTTCAATTAACTTCAAATTCAGGTTACTTTTCATTGTACAATGTTCAATGGCAACATATTTTGATTAAGGACAATCCATATTCTTTGCAGGCTTCGCGCTCAGATTAAATGCGCTTCAGTGGTTGCTGTGGAAAAGGATCTCTTACAATCAGCAATTGCCACTTTTGAGGCTACGGTAATTCCCTTCAAAGACCAATTTTCTTATTTTAATGGACAATCAAAATCTGATATAGGCTGAAGAATAATTAGATATGTCCAAATAGTAATTTTCGTTCGAAAATCCCAGCTGTCCTATGAAGGATACATGAACTAACTTTCTACGTACAGTGACATTCTATCTTCTATTTCATTTAGAAATCAAAATGAAAACCTCTTCCTCCTTCCTTCACTGTTTCTTCATTGTAGCATCCGTATATTAGATAATATATTCCGTGAAGCGCTTTCAGATGTCTTGAAAACGCGATGAGGCGCTATATCAAATGCAAGATTATTATTATCATTCATTTTACTGTTGTATGTTCCATCAACTTGAAAAAAACAAATTTAAGAATGTAGATTCTCTTCCCAAAAATAAGGCGTGGGCTGTGAGATGGATTAAGTGTCCTTCCACTCTCTCCCTCTCTAAATACATTTCTCTCCTCTCCCCCCACTCCCGTGCCCCCATTTAAAATTAATATGAATTTTCTTTCTTCAAATTCATTCAGCCTCATGCTCACAAACCGAAGGCATGAGGTGCATTGAGCGATATTCAGATATGTCGATATCAGTTATTTTTATTTACGCATCCGTGTTTGGGTCTCTTTTGCTGCAAACATCTGCATCAATCTGCGTTTAAAGCAGCTGTTTAAAATCTGTAATATGTACAAACCATCCACCGACATTGATTAAAAAGCCACTGCCACAATATTAATAGAGTGGGAAGTAAATTGAGCTGCTTGTTTGGGGTGTCCAAAACAGTTTCAAGATTGATAAGAACTAAACTGAAGGACTCTGCTGAATGAACAATCCAATTATAGCCTTTCCGCAGCACATTTCCCAGAAGAGTCACTTAACAGACTGCCGTGGAGATTTCAAACCGGCTTTCCATTTATCAGGACAGGTCTTTGAAGATGATTGTGTTTGGGATCTTCTTCGATTTGCAAATCTTATACTTGCAAGACAAAATGACTTGCATTAAAAAACAGCTCGCTGGAAAATTTATAGTTTGGCGCTCGACAAATGGCGCAGTCTACAAACCACTCAAATGTAGAAAAGTCATTATTACAAAAGCCCAGAATTGGACAGGACAACAACTAACAGTCTCAATGTACCCTCCCACCGCACCCCCAGTGTATTAACCCAGTTACCGAAGCTTTTAGAAGCAAGATTTTTGAGTGAATTGGGACAAACATACTCCTCCGTGTACTCAATAACTATAGATTTTCTTGCCGTAAAGAAGCAATTCTTCCTCTCCTCGGGCATTAACCCACGCTCCAGTGTGTTTCCATGGTTGGCAACAGCTCCTTTCAAGTCCTTCACCCCAGAGATCACTCGTCACGTGTTGACAAGCTATTCCACTGCTTGAATCGATCAATCTTCTGGGGTCTTACGATTATTCATGTAGCAAGAGCCATGCCAATTGGAAACACATAACTAAATCCATCACATATTGGTTCCCAAGCGTACACATTCAGAACAATGTAATGCAGTGATTTGCGGCATATTCCAACACTGAGCGTGTGATTCTTGAACCACCAGTGTTAACTGAAGTGGGAAATGCAAACTGTAAACTGCCAAAGCTGCAAAATGGAAAACCGTGGCGTCGAATGACCTCAGGTCATGAGTACACCAACTTGCAAGGAAAAGGCGATGTCTAATACCGACCGACTTGCCGTTAAGAAAAGGCAACGTGTTACCTGGATCAAACGCAACAAACGGACCAAAACTGGTCTCAGGACACTTTTGAGTCCAGCCCAGAAAAAAAATATCCTTATGTGTTTAATGAAATACTCACAAATAATCAGCAGAGGATGGGAAGAAAAGGGAATTATAAAAGCCTGAGTAAGCAATGGCGGGGGAGAGATCGCGGCTGTGGCAGCGTAGCGAGCTGCCTAACGACTACAAGCAACATCGACGAATAGTCACTCCAGGTCCCCCAGGGTAAGAATCTTGATTGAACCGAGCCCTGGATCATCTTCCGCGGTTTTATAACTGTTGCAACCGTTGTTTTGATTAATAATAATTATCTAGTTTACTATATTTTGTCTCTATTCAAATACTTTACCTCAGGGTGAACAATTGGAACGGGTTGAGGACTAAACACCCTCGCCACAAAACCCTACAAAATTTATCACTGCACTTTTGCACCAAGTAAAAATCTGGCAGCCATGTTTGTGTGTCCTCAGAATTGGGTTGAAAAGGCTGTGATTAATTCCGAAGGCTTAAGTTTTTAGCCTCAGTAACTGTTTTCAAATTTAAGATGGTGCAGAAATTTGGATAATTCTTAAAACTCAGTCTTAGTTTAAACATCTAATCGGTGTCTTCTATAGGTCCCACTCTCTCCCTGGTTGAATCTTTCCTGACATTTACTATCCAGAATTGCTGAAACAAGAAAGAGTACAGCTGTAATGAGCAAAGCAAATCATTCCAAATTTTCCAGGCAGACATTTATTCACATTTTATTAAACCAATCCAAAAAAAAACATGCGGTAGCCAGATGAAAAAAAAATACAAGCAGAAATTCAGGCAAAGAGCTTTTTTTGTTTCACAACTGAGGGCAGAGGGGAGGGAAATATTTCTACATTCTGATTACATGGAATTGGCAAATTTTACATTATGCTAAACATTTTGGCTATGAAGTCCACAACATCAGAAAGATTCTTTTTTTAAAAAAATGATCAATACAGATGGAAAACGTTTAAGACTTCATCATACATATCTGACAACACCAGCAGTGATGGGCACTTGCCTCTGCTTATAGCATACCTACACACGAGTCCTCCTTCTGACAGTATATGCCCATCATAAACTTTAATTTAACACTAAATACATCCTTTCTATTTTGAAAAATGTACAGCATCAGTGTCTATTGTTTGTGTTATCTGTGGTACAGCTAACAGACCTGCCAGATAAAAATCTGTTAAAGGTTTTCGTATAAAATGTAGAACATAAGAAATTTAGGACTTTGAGCGGGACCTTGACCTAGACACTGATCTAGAAGGTGAGCGCGACTTTGAATGTGATCTGGCTTTAGAGTTGGACTTTGGCCTGGAATGAGTCGGAGATTTGACATTCAATGGGGACAATGACCTAGACCTAGACCGAGATATACAGCTGGGTTCTGTCTGCTCCTTCACACCCGATTCTCCATCCATTTGATCTTCTTCACCTTTGTTTCTTTTTTCACTGTCTCCGACTTCACATCAGGTTCATCCTTTTCTTTTGATCTGGACCTAGATCTAGATTCTTTATCTTCACCCTCATTCTTTCTTTTTTTACTCTTACTGGAACCTCTAGTTTTGCTTCCATGCTTGTGTTTTTTGCTTTTCCCACCTTTGCTGTGGCTCCTGCTCCGACTCCTGCTCCGGCTCCTACTCCTCTTCTTCCCCTTTCTTTCCTGGCTCTTACTTCGGCTCCTACTCTTGCTCTTGTCCTTGCTCCTAACTTTGCTATTGGCAGGACTGCCACTGCGGCTTCGACTCTTACTCTTCTCTTTGCTTCTACTTCTGTTAACCCTCTTTTCCCCATCGTTATTCCTAATTTTGTCTCGACTAAGACTCCTCTCTTTCTCCCCATTTTCATTTCGTTTCTCAACCTTTATTTCTGCACTGTTGTCTCTAATCTTCTCTACACTCTTGCTTCTGCTCTTAGTTTTCGGTTCACTGCCACTCCTACTCCTGCCTCGGATTTTCTTCTCTTTGCTTCTACTCTGGCTTGGGTTCTTGTTCTTGCTCGCACTCCGACTTTTGCTTCTGCTGCGACTTTTGCTTCTAGAGTGTGAACGCGACCTGTAATGAGGCAAAGAGAAACTTGTCAAAAAAAGGATTCAACTGCAAAGATCAAACAAAATTCACAAATATACGCACAAAGCTGTAATCCGCAAAACCAATTTATATTTTGACTGCTTTGAAAGAGGCACACGCCACACAAAGTCACATAAATAGCAACATTCACACAAGAAAAACACAATAGTAGTTTCATCCTCTTCCTTGCGATGGCAAAATTTGTCTCAGACATCTATAAAATGAATCCCCTCCTCCCAATTTAGCACATCAACACAAGTGTTGGAACATTACAGCAAGATGAAGCACAGACCTGGATCGGGATCGACTGCTCTTGCTGCTTCTACTGTGGCTTCGGCTCTTATGAGAACGGTTTCTGCTTGGTGAGCGAGACCTAGATTTTTGACAGACGGGGTCAGGAAAAATGCCGATTAATAGATCATCTGCACATTTAAACCACCTTGACCAACACCGACAAGTTTAAAATTAAGACCAATCCATTAGAATGAAATTTGATCATTTTAGAACTAGAAAAGATACCGCCTGCACTTCCAGTACTCTTCAGGCAAACCGCCCTGTTTGGCGATTTTGCAATCTCGTCGAAAGAAAGTACCATCACTTTTTGATAGATTTGGATTTATGTCACTAGACTGAGCACTGCATTTCGTTAAAGGTTCTGAGTTTCCATAAATGAGCAAACCAATAAAAAATTAGCAACAACTGCTCATTCCGAGAACAAATTTGAATATTTATCCCAAGGTACCTTGAATGACTCCGGCTCCTGGAATATGAGCGTCGTCGTCTCGATGAAGGCCTGTCCTCAATCAGTCGAATTTTTCTGCCATTAACCTCTGACCCATCTAGTTTTTCAAGAGCTCTTTTCATGTCAGAATAAGACTTAAATTCAATCACACCTTCATTCTTTCTTCCTTTATGTGCATCTGCATATGTCACTTCTCCTGCTTGACGCATATAATCCTACACAAAGAATAAAATGGCATATAAATTTTCATTGTTAACCTTTACTGATTTTCCCTTCTCTACTGTATTTTCGCTTCAAAAATTCAACAGAATCTTTTTACATTTATACGAATAAACTTTAGCCACAGATCTCATAGCCTCATTATAGACTTATAAAAATGATTACAAGACTTACTATAAAACAAGGTAGAAAACGAATCTAGTAAAGTACACAATACTGGTTTGTTCTTATAACAATCCCTACTGATTCTGTAGAACATGATATTGTATGCAAAAAGCTCAGATGCATTACAGTACAATTTCAATTTCCATAAAATAAGCAAACCAAAAATCTCATCTGAATAATACTGCATTACATTCTATTAATGTCAGCCCAGCTCCAGGCCTCAATTCGGACTATGTGCTGTTTTTCACTGATTTTTTTTTCTTTCAGCGATTTTTCTTTTGTGGGATATGTTCAATAGAAATTGACACCTAATCCTAATTGGACCAGACAATAATATCACCTTCCGCCAACCCTGACATCTCAAATCCCACCTGGCAGCACGGGAACTTCTCCTCTCCGGCAACAACAATAAAATTACATTTATTGAGCGCCTTTCACATCAATATATTGCAACCAGCAATATCCCTACCTAATACCAGCGATCAAGTCTGAAATTGTCAAAACTAAACAAAGTAAATTAAATCTTGCGTTGCATCAACCAGTGATCTGACTTCTAGCCTTCAACACTCCATGTATATGATAAATAATAATCCTTGCATTTGATATAGCGGTTTTCACGTCTTCGACGTCTCAAAGCGTTTCACAGAATAGACTGTAAAATGAATTGACCATATATTTGTGGGTGAAATTTGTGGGATATATATTTTAAAAATAAGTTTAGGTCACCTACCTCCTCCCACTTATAATGATTGCACAAAAGACATGCACATGTCTGCTGGGAACCCTCCAAAGTTACAATGGCATTTTATTCAGTAAGATATCTGAATTTTTCAAAACATGCTTTCATTTGAATATAATTAGATGATTTTTACTTGGATCAGACAGTTTTGAGTTAACATTTAAGCAACATAAAAATTGTCAAGTCTTAAAAAAGGGTACAACTAGCACACGGAAGAAATAAAATGCACACCTCCAGTATGGAACAGGAATTTAGGATGTTTCTTATCCTGGCTACAAAACAAATTTTAAGGCACAAGACTAAATATGCAATTTTGAAAGCTTCCTCTTCATGAGAAGGGAATTTTAAAGTGAAAATTCAATATCAGTCATTAAACATCACAAACCTTTAAATCTTGCCAGCTGCACCGACTAGATAAATTCTCCACAACAAGTCTATATTCAGTACGAGTAGGTGGCCCATAACGGTCTCTGCCAGTTCTTCTATAACCATAACCACCTTTAAGGTGACAGGTAAACACAATAATAATATTTTAGGTACTGCACCTCAGCAAAATGGGATTTTAATGCCTTCTAATAAAACTACAATAATAAAAATTACATACACAATAAACGTACAAAGATTAACATTTCACCCTTCCCACAAAAGCTAGACTATCAGAACTGTTAACACTACAAAATTAACATTACGTCCCACCCTCATAAAATAGACTATTAAAATTTACAAGAAAACTATAAATGCAAAAACAATATTACTTCCATTTTATATACATTATATTTTAATATAATCTGAAAAAATTACACAAACATGCATAAATTACATGAAAAGTGATAATGATTTGATAAAGTAACCAAGCCACTAAACCAGTTACCATCTATACTTACGGTGAACAATGGTTTTCAGAATATCTGACATGAAAAAGATTTTCAGGCACCTATTTTCAGTTTTATCACATCTGCCTCTAACCCTTGGGGTCCTCACCACCCAGGTCTAATGGCAAAAGTAGCAGTCATCACATGGCTTCCTTAAGGTCAGCCAAAGGTCTTAGGTCTTAGGTCTTAGAGCCACTCATGGAAAGGTAACCCAAGGCCAGCAAATGGAACAGGCAGTCATCTTAGCCTCAAAGGACTCTTTTAATTAAAACATTGAGGTCTTCGTTAAGACTATTGTATCAACAATCACAATGAAAACAGCGATTCAATTAAGTTTTAAATGAGTTATAATAAAACAAACATAAATCAAATTATGAACATTAGGGTATAATTGAACACTAAATACAAAATTTGAAAAGATGTAGTTGCTATGTGCAAAGGTTTAAAGTTGTAAGTTACAAAATGTAAATTGCGACTAGTTATTCTACATGAAATTGTAATTTTACTTTTTTTAACATTAAACACTTTCAAATTATGACATATAATGTATAAATGCTTACTGCGCTGAGAGCTGTAACCACCGTCCCTCCGAGGACCTCTAGCATGTTCAACGATTACTCTTTCACCACAAAGTTCTTTACCATTCAGTTCATAAACTGCATCATCTGCATCTCGTGGATCATCAAACTCAACAAAGCCATATCTATAAGCAAGAAAATATCAGGTTAAATTTGAATCACTTTCTATCGCAAACACAATCCTGAGGAAGGTGTGAAAGTTATTGAATGATGTAACACACTACATGGTGTAAGGTTCTGAGTAACAAAGTTGTAAAGCTTAAGAGTAGAACTACTGCATGGGTTCTCAGGCCTTACAGAAACCTACATATAACAAATTATTCCTAAACAGTTAATGATCAACAACAAATATAAATTTGACTTGTAGAGTTCATTTTACACCAGTAAAATCTATCCTTCTAACAAACCTCAACTTCTGTTCTTAATCCACCTGCATCCCCAGAACATATGCTGAATATTCTAGTTTTACAGGTTCAATGTATGATGAAGCCACAATTCAGATGATAATTTAAAATATATATGCAGGCAGAATCTGCAAATGATATGGCCTTATTAACTATTAAATATTAAGCATTGCAAGTTTTAATTTTTGATTATAGACTGAATCTATTTCAAAATTCACTCAATAGATCTGATGTTACAAGTCTTCTGTAAAACATAATTTTGCTTAAAGATATTAAGATTGCATCCTAAATATGGAAGAGGGCGACCCAGAAGTCCCTTCCAAAAGAATTGGATTTTTAATGCAATTGCACTTATAGAAAGCTTTAAAATAGCTAAGGTGCTTTTAGTGAATGTTAAACACAAATAAGGAAAGCCACAGGACCAATAGAAAAGCAGCTGCATTCTCTGAATTTGTTCCGATACTTCACATGGCATTGGGCTGTTTTCGGCAATCATGCTGAAAGCAAGAATGTAATATTAATTCGCCGCATTAAAATTAAATGTACAGGATACCAATTGCATGAGTGCACATATTTAATAACAAAGGAAATGCAGCTGCCTGCTGAAATAAATATTCATATAGTAAGTGCAACAAAAACTGCCAAGAGCACTTCAAATGGCTGTTTAAAAGATAAGGTTGGTAATTGAATAAGTTACCAACATTTATTTTAATTCATGGTTTCTGGGGGCAACAAAATGTTAAAGGTAGTAGTTTATAATTGCTGTATAACTGGTCAGCCCTTTTTAAGGTAGGCTGATGATTACCATCATTAAAATCAACAACAAACCATTTTCAAATTACTGAAACCAAATCAAATCTACATCAATAAAAGGTACTGAGATGCATGTAGGCTTACCTCTTATATAAATTCAATCAGGGCAAATTCAAACAACAAAGTGATAGCAGCCCTAGGTTCAGTGAATTTATATGAAAAAGGGGAAGTCTTAAATGCTGAAATCATATAAACATCGTACAGCTATTACTACCTTGCAACAGTTTTTACTAACTCTGAAGTTTTACCAAATCTAGAGTTGATAATGTGGCACAGGTTAGATTCACATAATAATAACTTGTATTTATGTTAAAATTGTTTCCACAAAGCCCTGCCAAAATTATTCTTTTAGATCTATTATCATCCCTAGAATGGCACACATGAAATCTTTGTGTGAAAATGGTAGGGTTGTTGTTTTCATTTCATGTACTACAAACAGCACAAACTGTAGAAGTAGTCAAAAACAGCATGACTTTTTGAAGATAAAACTTGAAAAATTGTGAAGATTAATTATATTTGGTTAAATATTTTCTGAGCAAATAAACATTAGCTACGATTTGTACACAAAACATTGTGCATTACCTACTGGAACGATGCCTTCCTTAGAGAATGTAATTAAAAATCTCACTATTGAAGCTGTACATTACATTCCAGAACATTCTTATTTATCACTGCCAATTTCAATTCATTCCAATCTGATAGTACAGTGGACGTTATAACAGAAAATGGTTATGAACGTCAGAAAAAAATATTACTTAGAACATCTGCTTTTTAACATAATAAATTGTATTTGAGAATACGAAGAATTCCAATACTTCATCACCTTAAACCCAGTTGTTTGTAACCATACATTTATAAGTATGATACTTGCACTGAATGTTCAACTGTACTTACTGTTGAAGTGCAAAAATAGACTTGGGTGTTCAAATGGATTTCAAACATCTGGTCTTCAGATTGTGGGTCCATGAGGAACTGAAAAGTTCATTGGAGCACACTGATTCTAACTTCAGTAACAGATGCTCCAGAATCTTTTAAACATTATGTTGTGAAGTAGGGTTGCAAACTAGTACCCTGCATTCTCAAACAGTTTGGATAATAATAAATAGCATGAGTAATCAGACAAGAGGACAGCAATAGTTTTCAAATAATGTGCCAATGGACAATGACAGTGTTGTGTCGCAAAGTGAGCTTAGAAAGATTTTCACAGAAATTTTTGTCCTTCCCTTTTTTCATATCACATTTATTAAACATTGTACGTGAAGTTTGACTTAACAATAACAATCCTCGCATTTGATACAGTGGCTTATCACTTTATCGTGACATCTCAAAGTGCTTCAAAGGAAATATTGTAAGTGGACTGACAGTGTAATTTGTGGGTGAAACGCAGCAACCAGTTGTGCACGGCAATGTCCCATTGCTGTGCACAACTTTGGCTTAAAATATTTTCCATGATCCGCGTTTATACTTTAGAGCTGAAGTCTATAAAAATTTAGGACCTTATAAAAATCTCAAAAGCTATAACAACTCAAATACAATTTTTCCATTTTTCAGTGATGTGAAAATAAAATTGTTGCTAGAAATTGCTCTAGTTTTGTTACATCAAAAATGTCTATAAATCACATCTTAGATTACATTCTCCTAGAGTAAATTTACAAACTGCACCAGCACTTCATTGAAAATCAATTTAACAGAACTGGCTAACTGGAATTGAAACAGTAATATGTGATTGGAGATTCCAGATGCATTATCCTTAACCACTGATAAGTATATTTGGCTGCATCAATCTTCAGCAATTCTAAAAGTGCTCAGCCAATGAAAAACTTTGGGCAAAGCTTGACACAAGTCAGCTGGGTGCGAGCTAAAAAAGTGCAAACGTGCAGCTTAGAAAGCGCAGCTTCCCTGTGGATTACTGCATGTGTTTTTTATGGATACTTTTAATTAGAAATCACGTCATGAACACAGAGAGAGAGAAAGGGGGAAAAGAGGATATGTCTTTTTCACAAGTTATGCTGAGGAACCGTATAAATCAACTGGATACAAGTTTTAACCAATATTTGAGAGAAAAAGATATATTGACATTTCAAGTGTGATCTGTTCTTTTTTTGAGCAACTCAAATTTCAGGCAGCTGCTTCCCATTTCAGGTCTTTTTCTCTCTCACTTTGCTACCATATTGCAAGGAGGCAATAGATTCGCACTGCCGCATGGGCCATTAAATATAAAATAAGTTTGTTCGGTGTATGCATACACGGAGGGAGTTTTCTTTCAGCAAGAGGGATATCTATCATTGATTGGGGTGGGGGGGAAGAGGGGGCTGGGGGAGTGAACGGGCACGGTTGTGGGAGGAGCGAGTGAACGTGGGAGGAGAGAGAGAGTGAACAGGCGAGGGTATGAGGCGGGGGCAAGAGTGCCAGTGAGCGAGGAGGAATGAGTGAATGAAGATGTGTGTGTGGATGAATGAGTGGAGTGAGAGCGTACGTGTGTGTATGGGGGGGGGGAACGGAATCAGCATGTGTGTGTGTGGGTGGGGGGGAGGAGGGAAGAATAAATGGTGAGTGTGTGGGGGGGGATAGAGAGAGAGAGTGAATCAGTGAGAGTATGTGAAGTGGGGTGAGTTAATATGCGAGTAAGTGAAGGTGTGCAGGGAGGAGGAGGGCGAGTTGAAGATGTGTGTGTGGGGGGGGGAGGAGAGAGAGAGTGAATGAGTCAGGATGTGTGTGTGTGTGGGGGGGGGGGGGAGAGAGAGAGAGCGAATGAGTCAGGATGTGTGTGTGTGGGGGGGGGGAGAGAGCGAATGAGTCAGGATGTGTGTGTGGGGGGGGGGGGGAGAGAGTGAGTGGGGAGGTGGTGTGGAGAAAGGAGAGGGGGGGGGGGGAGGTGGAAGGTGAGCGCGCGTGCGCAGTGGCCACCTGGCCAGTTTGGCGCGCGCGTGTGACGCACTCGCCTGTGATGGTGATGATAGGGTTGAGGGGGGGGGGACAAAAGGAGCAAACAAACCCGAGACCCCCCACCCCACCCACTATACCCGAGAGGGGGGGGGGGGGGGTCTGAGTCCCCCCCCACCCCCCAAAAAAAACGCAACAGTGACGGGGAGCTGCCGTCTTGCCCTGACCGGGCGGTTGAGGCGATTCTAGGCCTGAGAGCCAGCGAGGGTCAACCGCCGGCGCCATTTTCTTTTCTCTCTCTCTCTCTCTCTCCCTCTCTATCTATCTATCCTCCTTCCTCCCCTCTCCCCCCGCACACCCCTTCCTCCTCCTCCTCGCACTCACCCGTTCTTTATGTCCACCTCCAGGATTTTACCGTAACCTTTGAAGAATCGCTCCACGTCCCTCTCCCGGGCCTGGTAGCTCAGTCTGCCGATGTAGACCCGCGGCATCCTCCTCCTCCTCCTCTCCTCCTCCTTCTTCTTCTTCTCCTCCTCCTCTCCTCGCTGCGGCTTTTGTTGTCGTTGCTGCTCCTCTCAGGGCCGCCGCCTCCTCCTCCTCCTCACTCCCTCACGTCGCTCGAGCTCCTGCCTCACGCTCGCTCGCGCTCTCCGCCGCGTGCGTCAGCGACGTAACCGACGCCGCCGCGCGTGCGGCGCTGACCCCCCCCCCCCTTCTCTCGTCACGTGACACGTTGCCAGCTGAGGGGGAGGAGTCACAACCTCATCATCAACCACAACAACAACAACAACAACATTGCATTTGGGCAATGATAATATAATAATCATAATAATCATAATAATAATAATAATAATTCCTGCATCTGCTGCAGCAGATCTCGCCGCCGGGACGTCTCACAGCGCTTCGCTGGAGTAGTACACTGGATGGCGGAGCGGACCGACTGTCACGTTTCGTGGGCGCCTTCCGCGTCCGGGAGGGCGCCCCCAACCCTTCTCGTTCCGCCCACGCCGCCCGCAGGTCCCGTGAAGCGCTTTGGGACGCCTGGAGGGCGTGAGGAGGCGCGCTCGTGCAATCCGAGGATTACTATCTCTCTGCCTCCACCCTCGACTCTGGGACTAATAATAATGATAATAATAATAATAATAATAATAATAATCCTTGCATTTGAAATAGCGCTTTTCACGTCTTCCCGACGTCTCAAAGCGCTTCACGGAATACACTGTAAAGTGAATTGACCGTATATTTGAGGGCGAAGCGCGGCAGCCAATTGCGCACAGCAGTGTCACACAAGCGGTTGTGGATTGAAAATGACTAACTTATTATCGTTTTGTTTTGGAGGGATTATTATTGGGACAACTGCTGTCCTGATTGTCAGACGTCAGGTCCTGGATGAGAGCTGACTTTCATATAAATGGCTGATTCACTTCCTGGAAATGTAAAATGACAATTAATTGTAAAGTGCTTTGGGGTATTTGATTGCTTTCGGCGCAATAACAAACCAGGATGAGTGTTATTAGTTTGCGCTTATATATCGCCTGTCTGGTAGGAGAACTTCAAAGTACTTCACTTGACTGGCATGAGACACAGAGCAAGTGGTGAAGGAAAACAGAAACAGGAGGAGATCATTCAGCCGATCAACTCTGTTCTAGGGAGGAACAGGGTAAGTGAAAGGTGTCCAGAGGGATGAGGTATATTTTTAGAAGGGTTCTCAAGATGAAGAAAGAAGGTGTGAGGTGAAGGGATTTTGGAAGCGAGTTCCAGATTGTAATAGAAGTAGCACTGATAATCTGAAAAATTGACCGTCAATTGCAGTAATGTATATTCAATTCACTCCAAATGATTGGCACTTGTTAGGTCTGGTGTTTCACAGCTTTAAAAATTCAGCAGTGAAAAACTTGGAATGTCGGATGTACTTTCAAACCTGCCGAATGTCACTCATAATAAATGACACTCATTTGCGTTGAAAGTGCAACCCACTATATTTTGATATGTGTCACTCTTTCATAAGGAAATCGCCATCGGTTGAAATGGGTTTGAAATCTATCATTCTTACCAATCATAAAATGACTGCGAAATTTCCCTGACGTTGACAGCTCTGTAATTTATTTTAATGCATCTACCTCTGAAAAAAGGAAGCACATGGGTTTGCGAGCACATGTGTTCAGCGCCTGACAATCATAAATTGCAGCCTTAACACCCCACCCAATGCGGACCGGTCTTTGTGAATATAGAAAAAATAATTGGTGTCTGGGAGCAATACTGTCAACATTTGAGAAATGGTTGGAGTGGCGATCATGAGCAGTAAGATAGATGTACCTTAGAAGTTCCATTTGGACACATAGAGAAACTGGGTATATTTTTACGAGTGACATCCATTAAATCGGCTTACAATTTGTAAAACAAAATGAGCAATTATTAGTCTCCGGTGAGTAATGGTTGGCAGAACTCGTAGCGACCTAATGGAAGGAAGTCAAATATCTTCCATTCAGAACAATGGATTGCTGGGCATCAGAAGCTGTCACCTTACCCCCAATATCAGTTGACTGCCTTGAAACCATTTCTTTGTGTCTGCTGAGCTGGGGCAGATTTATGATGCGCATCAATAACCAGGAAGTTATATGCGGTCTGAGTCCTGCTCTTTGGCACTGGGTCCCGTTGCAATGAAGCAGGACATTGAAGATTGTTGGCTTGGGATTGGAATAGAAGTTGTCAGAAATGTATTGATTGCCTCAGAGGTCAGTGGGAACACGTACTGATGTGAGAAAGATGGAGCCCAGAAACCATTAATCACGGTTTACTAAGAGAACAATTAGTCAGCTTGAAAACATACAGGAAGATGATGTGTCATGTAAGGGGTGACCCTAACGGACCATTTCTGATTTGAAAACTATCTCCTACCCCACTTCTATACAAAGGCGCTATACAAATATAATTTGTTGTTGTCCCCTCCACACGACTATTAGTGGGTGAGCCTTCAGCACCAAAATCTGGAAATTCACCCTTTTGCCTCTCAACGCCTATCTATCTGTCTTTGAAACCCACCTAAAAACCTACCTCTTTGATCACCCTTGTGGACGCCACCCCCTTCCTTATCTCCCCCGAGGTAGTTGAGAGGAATAACGATCCTTGCATTTGACATTGTGCTTTTTCACATCACTGGAACTTCTCAAACCCTTCGAAGGATCGACTGTAGAGCGTAGTGACTGTGTAATTGTACTTGAATGTGACAACTGATTTGTGCACAATAATGACTTGTCGTCTCAAGCCTTTTGGAACACTAATGGTTATTAATTGGCTTGCTGTGCACATTAAATAAAAAGCCCTGTTTGAAAAGTTTGTTCTCTGTGTGTTCTTTGGGAGCAAAACCTCTTTCCGTGTGGCATGATTCCCTCATTCCCCTCATCAGCGGTTACTGAATTATTGGCAGTCCGGAACAGCAGAGGGTAAAATTCCCGCTGACAGGCTAAAGCGAGTGGAATGGAAATTAATAATCCATTACAGTGCAAATTAAATGGCTCCTCTTGATTTCATAGGGATTCAGAACAAAGACTAAAGTGTGCAATCCATCATATTTCATGAAGAGCACTGCAGCAGGACGCACACATTCCCCAGCGAATCAGACCGTGAATGTGCCCTTGCTTTCACCTGGTTGACAGGTGGCGACTCAAAGCCTTGGTAAAGCTTTGTCACACCTTTGAGCTTTTCCCGGTCAACAAATAAAGGCTGAAATATACAAAAAAAAGTCTGTAATTCATCATTTTAGTTGACGTTTGGGAAAGAGGCGGAAAAATAATAATAATAATAGTAATTCTTGTATTTGTTAATAGCGCCTTATTATGCCCTTTGAAACTTCCCAAGCGCTTCACGGAATATATTGTAAAGTGGACTGACTATATTTTGTGGGTGAAACGTGACAGCCAATTGCGCACAGCCATGTCCTGCAAAAGTCATGAATTGAGTGAACAATTTTATTATTTTTTTGGAGGGATTATTATTCTTGGAAAAGCGATCTGCCAATCGAGTAACAACCGGGTTCCTAGTTACTACTAGGTAAACAGAGGCGTATGGAGTAGAGAAACTTGCCTAAGGTTTCGCCCCAGCCAGGAATCGAACACAGGTCCTCTCGCTAGCAAGGCAAGTGGGCTAATCACTACACAACAGGACTCCATAAATAAATGGACAACACGGGCTGTAGAAAAGTTTAAAGGTGTATTTATGCTTCTGGGTTAAAAATACCTGATAATTAATTTCCAGAACTCATGGTACTTCAACTCCCTGGATGTTATTGCCTTAGAACACGCTGCAGCCCATGCAGTAACCTATATATATCTTTTGGTTATTGCAATATTGTATTAAATATTTATTCTGCAATGATTTGAAATCTACCGTAGAAGACTGCACAATGTACCAACTTTTATTTGTGATTCATTTCTGAACGACCTGGTACAGGAATAATTATATCGATAAATACTACAGTATTTACATCATAATTCTGCCTGAGACTTTAATAACACGATTAAATCAGGAACGATCTAGCAAAAGATAAATAAAAGTGAAAACAATCCCTCCACACATGCTGGAAATCTGGAACAAAAGCTTAAATGAAAGAGAAATTAAAGTTTGAGGTGTGCCTCTCGATCAGTCGTAAGTACAGTAGCAGATTGGAAGAACTTTCTGTAGGACAGCACAGCAAGAGAGCAACACACCAAATACAGAGAAAAAGACATTAAAAAGCCATCAACCCGGGAACGAGAGATAAGCTAATGGGCCATTGATAGATTGTGAACCAGAGCCATTGGGTGGTTGATGCATCAAAACATTCACAGCGGAGACAGCGACAAGAGGTATGGGATGTGAGTAAGGCTGAGAGACGCAGGTTACACTAAAAAGCAGCAAAGTGGAGAAGCCGAAACTGGAGGGGGGACCGGGGGTGGAGCACCAAAGTATGGAAGCAGCTAAAGAGTAATTCTAACAGTGTCTTGAGAGTTTTTTTTTTCTGTCAACTGGGTGTCTGACCCCTTGCGGAAACCCATCACCGTGCTTAAGAGTATCCAAACCAAGCTGAGAATTTCGTGCATCCCACCTACACATGGTGATTCCAGAGATAGATTGCTGTTTCGTGAGGAAGTTGAAGGGATGGGAAGTAGGGCGGGCAAAATCAAAATCTTCTTGGTCAAATGAAAGGGGAGACAGTGTGGAGGGAAAAGGTCATTTCGGAAGGTAACATGCAAAAAAAAATGGAGATATCAGAGCAGGAGAGGGCTGGAAGAAAAGAATGATTGCCCAAGTTTGTGGGCAACCATTAATTGGACACTTGGTATGACAGGAACAAGCTCAGCTGTGATTTACCCTGATCCCCAGTCAAACAACCTGCCAGCACTCACAGTTCAGTATCACACATGAATATAGTTAATATAGACCTTAATCTAATATGGGTTTAATGAATGTTCTTATGCGCTTTATGAGGGGATGGAGATTAAGAACTAATTAAAGTAAAGGCAGAACTTCTTGCTTTAATTAAATTGAAGCCCTTTCTTCCAGTACAGATTCTGATGAAAACATTCATTACAACCATTAGTAGATAGGTGCTGACACAACTATTGAGCTGTGGCAGTTAAGCTTGTTATTAGAATGCTGACTTTTATCAGACATTTAATGCCAGCTCTCTCGCCGATAGGATTTACAAGACTTAATTCTCAGTCTTGATTGTAAATTAGAGGTAATTTGCAAGCAGTCACTTTGTATTGCTCCAGTTGCCTAAAGTTCAGGGGTTTAATTTGACGCTCAGCCTAATCTCTATAGCCCCACAAATGCTTCAAATCGATCATTCTTCTCCTGAAGTAATGTGGTTCTTTGACATCTATTTGCGCTGACCCCGCACTCTTTCCCTCTCAGTTTGATTTTCCAGTTGTCTCCCGCATTCACATCTCATCTACCGTGGCCCTATTTAAGTAAACGGCCTAAAGACCTTCCTCCTTGACCGACCGTGTCTACGGTCACCTCCCAGTGGCTCGGTGTCGTGCTCCGCCACTGTCAAGCACTCTGGGACGCTACCCTGAGTGAGGGGGAGCTATCAAAATGCAAGTTGTTGCTGTAAATCGTCCGACAGCGTCAATAATGGGCGCCTGTTGTGATGTCGGGTAGAGCATTCCAAAATCGAGCTCTCCAAGGAACACAAAGGGCAGGATCTGATTGTTGCGTGTGGAATCGGGTCTATTTTTTAAACCGCATTTATAATTCTATACACCTCCACAAGGTTCCTTTCCTCCGAGATATCTCAAGTCAATACTTGTCTAATCATTGCTCACAGCACATTCCTCTAACACCGGGCCGAGTTGATTTCAGTGGGAAACCAAGAAAAGATCAATAATAAGAGGACTGCAGTACATGACTGGAAAATGAGAGGACGTAAATATGGGATTTTGTACACAGGTACAAATTATGACTGGGTAAAGGTGAGTACTGGTAGAATTTATTTACAGCATTTAGTCTTTCATCTAAGGGTGGAAACTGAAATTGTCTTGATAAATGAGTCTCTGACTCATCAGAGTCTGTACCTCTGATAACCTGTTTTTCTAAATCGCCCTTTTTTAAAATTTTGTTTTACTTTATTTTAAACACCAAATGGTGTAAAGAAATAACCTTAACAAGGCAAGAGATGTCACCTAGAGATGGATGGACCGACATTGCTGGTCACTGGGCTGAAGGTCACTTTACACAAGGGAGTTTACATTCACAGTAATGTTAAAACTTAACACATATGATTTACACAATGAAGGACTGGTAAGAAGAGAGAGATTGGTGTGATAATTCGGCGAGTTTTTTTGAAAGAACAATCACATTGAATGCCAGTGATTGCTTGGTTAAATGAACATTTGCTTGGAGCTGTCTACCAAAATGATACGGATACTTTTATATAATATTGATGAGACCACAGTTGAAATCCAAGCTCCAGTTTCAGTAATTGACCTTATAAAAAGACAAGAGAGGGTTTGGAAAAAATCCAAAAGCCAACAAAAGTAGCTTTGGGCTTTACTTCATCAAGCCTCTGAAGAGAGCCTGAGAAAACTAAATCCATTTTCAGTGAGAAAAAAAACACTGACATGGAACATGATGAGATTCATAGCTTACAGAGCTTTGTGGAGTCCTGTAGCTCAGTGGTTAGATCACTCGCTTTGCAAGCGAGAGACCTGAGTTCAATTCCAGGCAGAGGGGGAAACCTTGGGCAAGTTTCCTTACTCCACACAGAGCCTAATAATAATACCTCCAAAACCCAAAACAATAATAAATTGGTCATTTTCAATCTACGACTGTTTGTGGGACATTGCTGTGCGCAATTGGCTGCCGCGTTCGCCCACAAATATACAGTCAATTCACTTTACAGTGTGTTCTGTGAAGCGCTTTTGGACGTCCTCCCGACGTGAAAAGCGCTATATCAAATGCAAGGATTATTATTATTATTACAGAGGGAATTCCTCATTTGCACATCTCCCAAGTTTCTCCTAGTGTCTTAGCCAACAATCCCCCACATAAAATTGGTTCACTCACTTCATGCCTGCTTAAGTATTAGCATTATATACAGTATTGAGAGCATTCACCCATTATTAATCATAATAATAATCCTTGTATTTGATATAGCATCTTATCATGTCATCGAGACGTCTCAAAGCGTTTCACAGTTAGCTTGTGCACAGCAGCGTCCCATAAACAGCCATGGAGTGATTGACTAAATTATTTTGAGGGATTTGTTGACCAGGACACTGAGAGAGAGAGAAACCCCCTTCTCTTTTTGAATAGTCCAATGGAATCTTTAACATCCGTCCACCTGAACAGTCAGATGGGACCTCGGTTTAACGTGTCGTCCGAAGAACGTCACCTCCAACAATGCAACACACCTCCAACATCTGCATTGGAGTGTCACCTCAGACTATGTGATTCCAAGTCCAAGTCCCAGTGTGGGGCTTGAACCCACAACCTTCTGACTCAGAGGCGAGAATCCTACGACTGTCACAACTAAAAAAGCTATTCTCAACTGCTTTGCAAAGAGAGTGTGCGCACACTGCTTTCAAAGGGCAATGAAACATGTCGGCAAAGGTTCAAAGAAGACTTTGAAGGACATCTTTAGAATCCCAGGACATGAGCTTTAAATTGGGAGGAAAGGGTCACAGAGATGAATGTGTCTTCTTTGGGAAAGAGATGGGGGAGGAGTGTGCATGATGTAGTCCAGACAGATTATAAATAAGTAATTTAAGCGACAGTAAGAGCGGGGATGGAGGGGTTAGGTTTAAGGTTACAAAGCAGATACTATACAATATTATGATTAAGCTTAGAAGAGTCCAAAGCTATCAGCTAACCTTTTACGTGGGGTAGCGTCGCAGAATGCTCTGCCTCCTCTACGGCAAAGTGAGATATCATGACAAACCACTAAAGTTATCGGCGCTGGTAACACACATAAGGGGGAAATTCATCCAACTGAGACTTTCGTTCTTATTGACACGCTCCCCATGTTGCCGGTGAACGTGTTTGGCTGCCGGGTTTCGCCCACAAAATACACGGTCAACCCACTTTACAAATAATACCCCGTGGGGCTCTTCGAGACGCGTCTCGACGACGTGCTAAGGCGCTGCATCAAATGCAAGGATTATTTTTACTATTATCATTTATCATTACAAACCCGCCGCCTTGGGACGTCCTCCCGACTTGAAAGGCGCTGTACAAATGTAATCTTGTCATTGTATTAGACCAGGAGAGAGAGAGAGAGAGAGAGACACACACACACACACACACGAGAGAGTGTGTGTGTGTGTGGAGGAGAAAAATATTGGTGAAAACATCTGACAAAGAAAAATAAAATAATAATTGGGAACTGAGAAATATTGAGGGGGTTGGTGAGAGAATTGGCTTCCCTGATTATTTCTCTCTGCTATCTGTCTGATCTGTGGTTGGCGCTGTTACTCTCCTTTGGGCTCTATAGTCAGAGAGAGAGAGAGAGGGAGAGAGAGGGAGAAGGAGAGAGGATCAGCACTGAGAGCTGGAGGGCAAAATAAAAGCCATTGGAAAAAAAATGAAGAGCCCTGGAATTCAATCCCATCTTCCAATCTAGGTGACATTTAGATGGCCTTTAAGGGCAGGATTGCAGGCACTAAGGTACAGTATATTTTGGGGGAGGGTTTAATTTTGTTTTGCACAAGATTATTTACCTTTCTATTTAATTCCTGCAACATGAGAATGGATTCCACACCAAATCCCTTGTTAATCCCCTCCTTGAGAAATGGAAGTGAATGTATGTGTGTGTGTGTGTGTATGTATATGTGTGTATATGTGTGAGTCCCTCTCTTTCTCTCTCTCATTTATCTTTGGTGAATCGAATATGCAATCATATCCAGTTTGAAAGTTGTCATCCTGCTTTGATGGTCCATTTGAATAGCTCTGGGGGTTAAAAAAAAATGCAATCAGGTCATTTCTGCAAAAGAATATATCATATTATATTATATATACATATATCTCTATATATCTATACACGTTAAGGGTTAGATCTGCCACAGAGATTGCAGCAAATTACAGTGTGTCGGTGTGAAATTGACGTGGAATAGACCTGACATGAAGTGAGTGCTGGCCAGTCACTATATAATATAAGAGCTGCCTTCATTCCCTTTAAATAGCTTGCAGATAGTGCAATCACCAAGATAGATTCCAGTGTCTCTGCAAGTGTGTTGCCTTGGCATTATTATTCAGAGATATAGAGAGGCTTTTTTTTTTGCAGATGTTTTCTATACACAGTATATACATATATATATATATATGCGCGCACACACAATTTAATATAAAATAAACAGCTGTTCAACTTTTCAACCTACCTGGGGTTGACAGTGGTTGGGAGCGAAAACAGAATATTTTTAATCAGTGTTTTGCAAAATTATTCATCTTAATGTAATCTTTTCTCCCCCCCACCCACCCACCCACTCACCCACCATGGGTTTATCTTGCAAAGATATTTTCGCCCACTGATCCAGAAACAGTTGGTGCGGGGGAGAGGGGATATCTGCCCAATTTTATGTTGATTGCAAAAACCCAACTGGACCTTGAAAGAGCGAGTGTCATCACTTCACTTTGTGCAAAGTAGGTGCCAAGGGCCTTTGCTCAAGTGACTGCTCGCCACAGAGCTATGGACGGCAAGCGATGTGGTTTTAGCTGGTTAGACGCCAGCAGTCACACCCCCAACGCACACTTTGGGGTCCCCAAGCCTTGGCTCTCGCCAACCTGCGCCTAAGACGTTCCGGAATTAGGTAAGCAGGCGACATCCCTCCAGGGAGAGAGAGAGAGAGCGCATTCCATTCCAACAAGCTATCTCTGGGATTTCCATGTGTAGGAACTCTCAAGTTTAGTTTGGATACCCTTATAATAATAATAATCCTTGCATTTGATATAGCGCTTTTCACGTCGGGAGGACGTCCCAAAGCGCTTCACAGAACACACTGTAAAGTGAATTGACTGTATATTTGTGGGCGAACGCGGCAGCCAATTGCGCACAGCAATGTCCCACAAACAGTCGTAGACTTCAGCGACGGTGATGGGTTTCCTCTTGTGTCAGACACCCGGCTGACCAAGTAACAATGACTGCACATACATAGGAGGAAATTGATTTTCTATCCAGACTGCATCCCCACCCACCCCCCTCCCCATTTCGCTGCCCCCTCCCCTTCCACTGTCCAAGGGCCAAATGGTGTTGATGGCCAGCAATGTGGGTTCCCATTGGGTACACTGTACAGAGTTGCCCTGTTATGCGCTGTCTGGGTTACTGGTTCACGCGCGAGCTGCCTCCTAACACAAAGTTACCTTAAATTAGGGATAGCAGGAAGCGATCTGTTGATGGGATCCTGGAATGTTACAGCACAGAACAGGTTGCCCAATGTCCGTCAAGCCAGAACTGCTGTTCTTCTCCACTTTTGAGTCACTCGATCTCTCCAATTGATGCTACAACACTACACATTAACCTTACAACTTAAAACACCGCCCCACAAAACATGTCGCCTGTTCATTATTTGCTCTGATGTATTTAATTGTGCCTCTAGAAACGACAGTGCTGTTACTTTAGGTGAAGGAAAGAAAACGTAATCTTGTCTCCCTCAAGGTTACGCCGTTCTGTTATTTGAAAAGATTTTTTTTAATGCTGGTTTTCAAACATGGCAATTTTATCCAAATTGCGAGGCAGCATTTTTCTAAAAGTGTTTCTTTTCAGGATTATCTAAGAAATGACAGTCTTTCACCAGTTCACTTAGCAATTCTGCACCCTTTACTTCACATCAAAGTCCGTAAGAAGAGGAGGGACGTAGTTGCCGAACATTTCAGCAACTGGAGCTCTCTGGACTTGTCAGTCGCTACATAAAATATCAAATTGAAGATTGCACCTTTAATCCAAATCTCACAGAAGGTTAAACTCCCCCAGAATAATACTTTAGCCTTTAGGATAGATAAATGCATGATCATGTCACATCACAGGCCAAACCTGGCATCTTCTGGGTCTCTTACCTCTTATTAAGTCTCTTATTAATCACATTAAGAGATGAACTTACAAACTGAGCTGTGTGTGCAATGAGGAGCTGTAGCTATTATTTTTATGAAGATGAAAAGGGAGGGGGACTGTGAAGCTGTACCCATCAAATACAATTACGCTTATACTGTTTAACACGACACATTATTCTTCTGATAGCCAAGGGTTACATGTACTGTTTGGTGCAACCGTAAATATAGACTTGCAGTTCTAGGCTTGAATCCTTGATGAGCAGTTGGCTCAGTCAACAGCATTCTTGCCCCTTGGGATTTTGAACCCACAGTCTAGGCTGGCACACCTAAGAGATTGCATAGTCTCATAGGAGATCCTGGACCAACATTGAATATTCCATCATATTTGAAAGGAAAAGAGAGTTTCTCCTGGTGTTGAAGGTAAATTATTTGTTCGCTTCGTGGCTATCTGTTGCTGTGTGTAAAAGTAGCTGCCCTGTTTTCCTACAAACAGCCAGTCACTACACTTGAAAGTAATTAGCCGCGATGCCCTTTGAGACGTTTCAACGTCTCACCGTTTTCAATCCACGACTGTTTGTGGGACATTGCTGTGCGCAATTGGCTGCCGCGTTCGCCCACAGATATACAGTCACTTCACTTTACAGTGTGTTCTGTGAAGCGCTTTGGGACGTCCTCCCGACGTGAAAAGCGCTATATCAAATGCAAGGATTATCATTATTATTATTCTGTGCTGCCATAATGCAGTGAGACTTGGATATGTAGAGCTCCTGTCACTAGGTCACACAGTTCAGTTTCACTTGATCAAGATAAAATGTGTTCCTGGATTTGCATTTTACAGACGGTGATCTTGAACCTGCTCTTATGTTTGCTGATTTTCTACACCCTCTATTACATGATTGGGAGTGTCTGCTTTGGTGCTTTCAGGTAAAATACACAATCTACAGACACTCCTGTTGATTTTACATACTGGAGTTAATGAGAGAATTCAAATATATTCATTGGATTCACGTCAACCTATTCAATTTCAGCTTTTCTGTTTCTTTTTTAAAAAAATTGTTTTCGGTCCTAAAAGTAAGCCACGTTCCTGACTCATTCCTTGACCAAGAGGGTGAGGATGTCACAGTCTAGGCTGACAGTCCAGTGCAGTGATGGGTGAAGTGCTGCATTTTCAGAAGCACCATCCTTTAGATGAAGCGTTAAACCTCTGCCTGACCGAGCGGACGTTAAAGATCCCCGGATAGTATTTGAAAAAGAGAAGGGGGTGGGAGTGTGGGGGGGAATGTTCTCTAATTCTCCTGGACAACAATCCCATACTTAAATGAATAAATAATACAATGAAAGAAGACATTTGACAGCAATTATCTGTGACATGCCTCTGGCATTGCCGGCATTATATCAAATGCATTATATCCCACTCAACATTTATTTGGCAGCTCTCCATTTTCATTTGACAACCTTTCTGTTTGATATCTTCTGTAACATTTTTTTTCATTACCTTTTAATCTTGCAGACTTGATTCATTTGATGGGTTAATTCCGTTTGACTTTAAAACACAAGCCACAAAGTCCAGTTCTAAATACCTAGGTAAGCAGCACATTTATTACTCAAGTTTAAGTCAGTGGAAAAGAGACGATTCTTAAAACACTTTTCCACCATTCAAGTGTCAGAATTGAAACTTACTGGAAGAATTATATATATATATAACGACTAGTTAACATTCCTTTTATCCTCCCTGCAAAAACGTCTGTCTAGCTTTCCTTCCTGCCCTTTACTTCCTTTTAACTTGTTCCCCTGTTTTTTGAACCCTTTAGTAATTTGCCTGGGTTAAATTTATCAATTGATTGTCATGTTCTTGAGACGATGCCAGCGCTGTTTGTACAATGCTCCGTGTGGAGCCAATTCACTGTGCACCTTCCTTGGGTGCATTACATTGGCAGTCCTACTGAGAGAGACAGAAAAGGCTGTTGCTTTGGGAAATCTTAGAACTAATTTAATTAAAAAAATACAGTATATAATGTGATGCATGAAAGGGACTCCTTAATTGACACAGTTGCATAGTGTTTGTTTTATTCAGTGTGTTACATTTTTGATATTCTCCCAATTTTGGGATGAGGGCGATTTACAGAACCTATTTTGATCGCTCTAGTGAACCTGCTGTCTATGGAGTTGACCTACTTTGCGAGTGGTTTGGCATTTGTTCCAGTGGTTAAGAACTGGGTGTGGGATTACGCAATCACAGTTACTCTTATCCACATCCTACTGAGCTCAGCAGGTGAGTGCACAAATGTAGGAGCAATTTCAGGAATTCAGCAACTTCACGAGTGAGTGAGTAATTAACACCTGGAACAGGTCTCCAGGAAGGTTGGTTGAGGCCAGGATCCAGGAGTCATTTAAGAAAGAATTCAATGTTGTGATAGGAGGACGGTAGAGTGAGAATTCTGGATTGAAGAGTCAACTTCACCTGAATCTCTATTTTTTAATGTAAGGAAGACAGAGAGAGAGAGAGAGAGAGAGAGAGGAGGAACAGCGACAAGAAACCCTGCAGCTAAATGAAATAAGCAAGAAGACCGCGGTCTATTATTTATTTAAGTTGAAACTCCCTTGCCAGCGCTGATGAAGTAGTTAGCCCTTGCTGAGCATCACCGCAACTGGGAGCAGTACATCAGAGGAGAGACAGAGGCTCAGCGCCGCGCTCCATCCCTCTGTCATGCCGCACGCTGTCTGTCTCTCAGCACGCTGGCTGGATTGAGAACTCCTCCAAAGGACGCTGGTGGCCGCCAATTTCCCTGCAGGTTCCTGTTCGAACCGCCGGATAAAAATACAGGCGGCAGCACAGACACAGCAGCTCCTTCTGTGCAGAACGGTTTTCGCTGTTTCTCCCACAAAAAATAGTCGATTCGCTTTACAGTATACCCTGTGAAGCGCTTAGAGGCGTATCAATGACGTGACAAGGCGCTATATCAAATGCAAGGATTATTATTATTTTATTATTATTATAAGCTTCTACATTAGAAATGGCCCTTTCTTTTGTTGAATTTGCAGTGATGGCTGAATTCCCTCTTGTCTGGCAATGGTGGATTGCTCTGGGTAAGTCCAACCTCATTTTGCCCAGATGTTCTGCAAAGGTTTGGGGGGGGTTTGCAGAATGCAACACAGAGGTTTGGGAGAGGGCATCTGCATTTTATCATCAAGTGAGGGTGGGTGAGGGGATATAATACATCAATAAATAGAAAAAAAGAATGCCATCTCTTATCATTTATAAATTATCAAGGAATTATGGGGCAAAAGCAGGTAATTGGAATTGAAATATAGATCAGTCACAATCTAACAGATTGGTGGAACAGCCTCAATGCTATGTTCCTATCAATTTCAGGAACCAGTATTTTTCTCACCTCGTTTTGCCCTTCAGGTTGCAATGCGGCCAATTTTACGCACTCAAGTGCAAGTTAAAGGGTAATGGACAGCTCTCGGTGCTAAGATAAGATGGTAATGAAATTGAGAGACATACACGACCCCTATAAACCACACGAGCAAAGCGTGGCGAGTTTTATCTGCTGAACCCCTCGGTCAAGTTGCTGTCTTGTAATTCGCTGAGAAATAGCGGCTGTCCTCTGACATAAAGGTTATGAATGTTCCTTATGGTAATCGCTCCCTTCTCCTTCCCTGTTGCGTCTCCACACTTTCATTTCCATTTCAAGCCGACTGCGACAGAAGACTTATAGGATTATGAATTTTATGAGGTGGGAATCTGAAGGAATATTGAATTTGTAGCACTTGAAGTGCAGTCTCACCAAACTATTTTGGACAGAGAATTTGTTTAAAAATAAGACGTAACATTCTCGCTAATAGTGCCAGTAATTAGCATTGTGTAATTATTTGACCTCAATGAGCACACGTTGTGTTTTTTTACCTTTCGCTGCAGGTTTGGGCTTACTGTTGATGATAGGTAATGGCCATTTAATTGCACACTTCATTTGCCAGAAAGACCCGAGTTATCCCTCAAACAGCTTCTGAGAGAACAGATCAAGCCAATTTCAAGCTTGGCAGCAAGAACGAAAGCATCGCGACTTTAAATCATACGGACAAATTATATTATATCTGGAACAATTTTATAAAGGGTGGAATCAAAAATAAAAAGACTCCGGTGCGCCCTTCTTTGGAAAATAATCGCTTTGTAATTCTATTAACCTCTCCAGTTACCAGACAAGCTGGAAATTGTGGACCTTATGAGTGAGACTGCCCCAGACTCGCCAAGTCCACCATCAGCACAAAAGTGACAAGAATTTCAGGGAGGGCTCCATGTTCAGGGGAACTTTAAAACTTGTTGTGTACAAGATCTTCTTTCTCCTCAACCCTTCCCTAGCATTGAAACTTCCCGGGACACCACCACCTCCTTTTGTTTGAAGGGAAGTCACCTGCAAAGCGTCCCAGAGTAGAAGAACCCTGAAGCTCGAACAAGGAACCAACATGTCAAATAAATTGGGAGCGCTGTTTGTTGTGGTTGGGTCCGGGCTTCATGCTGCCTTGCCGTGTGAATCACTGTAACAATGTTTATGTCAAGAACAAGCCAGAGCGAAAGCTCATTTACATTGGGTTTTTCCAATATGTAACAAGAGTGGCTGTAAAGAGAGATTACGTTCACTAATAGTAAAGAAATACTGATTTGTCTACTGGGTTTTTAAAAAATATATATTTCATATAACGTCTGCCAAGCATGTGTTTTGTGATTAAATTTCAATAATAAATACACAGGAGTGGAAGGTATTTAATTAACCGAGGAGCCCTTCTTAATCCACGATATCCTTGTAATATAATACTATACGGGCTGGTTATACACCAGTTGCAAGATTGATGCAGAAATAACTCCGGGGGGAGTGGGTCCTAAAGGTTAATATAGTTTACTGGGAAAGTTTAACACTTAACTTAAAAAATACTGCACATTTTGTCAATTTCATGCCCATTTATACTGAGATCTATTTTATTTATATTATATATGTAATGTTCTTTTAATCTCTCCTGATCCAATTTGTTATGAGCTAGCATTGAATATGATGCTGCAGACATGCCAGGGTTCAAATGAATTCTGCTTTTATATAAGAATATCCCCCTCAAGTCACAGATTTTATTGGAATGTCCTGCTTTAATACACTCGGGTGTGTTGACAGCCACTGCTCTCCAAACCCTTCCTGTTTACTGAGATCTTCTTTCTCATCAACATTATATGTGGGCTAGTAATTTTGGCTTTTATTTGACCTGAAGGCACACTTTGTTGACTTTGCAATAAAATACCACAGAACCACAGGAGACGAGGACACAGACAGCTAATTCGACAACCCCATGGTTCACCATTGACGTCAGGCTTGCAGCACTTGTGTTTTAGACTCAATTACTTTAAAGCGTCCAAAAAGACATTTAGTCTTAATTCACTTGCGCAATTTGAGAGCTATGTGTTTTAATTGCCTCCACGTTTGTTGACGAGAATTAAATGTAATTGTGAATGTTCTTGCTTCCCTCGATAGCTGAGCCGATGGTGAAGCATTTCAGCGTGCCCAGCCCAGATCCAAACCACATGCAGAGTTCCGAATGAGTCCCAGCTTGCGGGGGGGGGGGGGGGGGTGTGTGGCGGTGGTGGGGGGGAAATGTTGGGAAGTCCAGTAAGCTGGGAGATAGCATAGTTAAGCCTGGACGTAATGAAAGCCTGGATGAGGGTCTCGGCGGCTTGAGGGGAGAGGTATAGGCGGAAGCGAGCAATGTTGTGCAGGTGGGGGGGGGGGGGGGTGTGTGGGGGAGGCCAAATGGGTCAAGGCACGGACGTGGGGTTTAAAGGACAGTAGAGGGTCAAACAAGACACCAAGGTTCTGTACCGGCTCATTGAGGTGGAGAGTGCATCCATGATTAGGTGAGGAGGCGCTCACGGGAGAGCAGGAGCGCCTCTGTCTTGATCGACATTCAAGTGGAGAAAGTTGTCTCATTAACGGGAGCGTATTAAAGAGTACTTGGGCATTAATGAAGTCTTAACATAGAGAAACACAAAGAACAATGATGCGACATTTCACTTATTATTGGAAGCACACATCGCTGGTGTTACATCACTCAGGCCGTACCCCTCCTCCCCCCACTCTGAGCAACTTCTGATTTCGTTACAAAGCGCAAATTTCAGCTCTGAAAGTTTTCTGGTTCAAAGTGTGCACAAGAGTACAGCCAATTCCAGAACAGCCTTGCTCTGACGGAAGAAATTAAAAATGAACAGATGTTTAGAAACGGCAAGGACAGAAGCTATTCGGTCTGTACTTATATATGGAATGGCTTCACGAATTGCAATCAACATTATTTCTCCCCGCCACCCCCCCCGTACAGGATTATTTATCGGAAGACCGCTTGCCTTTTCAGTTGAGAAAGTAACCTGAAGAATTATTAGTTAGAAACGCCTTAACAGTTAAGACAAGAGACAACAAGCGCAGCGACATGCCGTCCGGCGTGAAGGGCGTTATATAAATGCAAGCTGTTGTAGTTGTTGACAACACATCCAGCTGGTCTCCTTCCACATCGCGAGCTGTAAATCACGGTTGCGTCCCAGAGAGCAACGCAATCGGTTGCTTTGCTTTGAGTTGGCTGCTCTGCTGCCGACTAAATCCTGTGCCTCCCGACGTGACGAGGCGGTTACACCAAATAATTGACAACTCTGTGTCTACACAGGCCGCAAAAGTACATTTGTCGATTAGTGTGAGTTTACGGTCCAACGCCCAGGCAGACAATGAGTGATGGTGCAATTTACTTCTTCGTCACGAGGCATAAGACCACTTGCACTTGAACAGAGCATTCCCATCTAAAATTACAGCGCTACATCTGGACAAGTCAACATGACAGACCTCAGTCAAGAAAGAGGTTGGCGGTGGGAGAGTGAAAGAAACCGAGAGAGACAGAGACGGAGAACGAGAGAAAGAATAGCGATCCAAATCTAATCTTGTTTAGTAGGTCAAGTTTCAGTTCAACGGTAGTTGGGTTGAGCTCCCTATTTAATATCAGTGACATGCTGGGAATGATGAATTCCCACAGACAGAACACGTTCTAAAAGTTTAGAGTATCATTTTTCTTATTCTCAGTCGCGGACTGAAAGTGTTGTCCTTTGAGGAGATGCTTGGAATCTAGTCACAGTTCCATTAACCACATGGGCTTTCAAGCAGTACTGACACTATCGTGTAGAATTCCCCAACCAGGAAAGTCACTGACTTGACCATATGTAATCTGGATTTTCCCGACTGACCATTGTGACCCTGTGGACACACATACGCGCAGCATATTCTGGTAGGGTCACTGCTTCACAATCGGACATCTATAAAGGCACGTGGTCAATAGCCTTGAGTCCATTATCTTCAATTTTGAAGTCATGCAGAACTTCAGAAAACCCCTGCGTTTGCGAGCGAGTCTTCTGTAAGAACTGCGGAATACTGGTTTTCAAAATCAGGATTTACTTTAAGGATTTCCCCATATTCTGCAAAGTTACATTGTGAAGCAATAAAACGACAATTTCACATTCGCCCACAAATATACAGTCAATTCTCTTCACAGTCCATTCTGTGAAGCGCTTTGAGATGTCGAGAAGATGTGAAAAGCTCTATATCAAATGCAAGGATTATTATTATTATATTACTATTACAGCACCTTTCACATTAGTAGGGCATCTCTACGTGCTTTACAAAACAGCTGATTGGGAGCTTGAGCTGGGGGTTGGGGGAAGCTGAAGAAGTTAAGAGTGGGGGTGAAAAAGATGTGCAAAAGTGCTATTAAATAGAACTGCCTTAAGATGGGCTTTAAAGATGGAGCAGGATAGAGTGAGGAGGGAGATCCAGAGAGCAGGATGGATTAAAGCTCATCCACTGATGGTCTTCAGGTTAAACCCATCAGAAATTTCAGAGCAAGCTGGGGATGTATAGACCCCAAAGCTAATTCTCCAAATGGCGAGCTCGTGATCTCAGTCACATCATGGGGGTGGGGGGGGCGAAGAATGGCCCGAACACTCACAACTCGTGCACCAAGGAAACAGCTCATAAGTCTCTCCGGCTTGCCGGCAATAAATATGCAAGGGGAAATAAAATAAGCGGCGACACATACCAGAAGAAAAAGCAATATATATGTAAATAAAACTATTTGGTTTCCCTGCTGGATGAATTTAACAGTAGGCGCCAAAGCTCCCACACCCACTGAGTAAATTACAGCGCAACTGCTAGAGATTCCACGCAAAACTATCCCTGCAATTCTGATGTGCCAACACTGAGTGAGGAAGAGAGATATAACCCCTTCTTTCCAGTTGAGGAAGTTAAAAGAGGCTACGCTTGATAAATGTACTGATGACAATAGCGGCGAATAATGATTTGTAAAATTATACCCACTTTTTATTTGGTAATGCATTTCTAAAGAATTTTCACCTGCCCCATCCCTTTTTCTTACTTAGATGCACTTCAGAAAGTGCCAGCTGTCCTCCGCTACCTCGCATAGTGCCCAATTTACACATTGAGCTGAAGTGCCGAGTAGAGGAATCATTTCACCTGAAATTAATCCGTTTGAAGCAGAATTTAAGATACCTTTTGAGTTCCCGTTCCTTTTTGTTTTCAGTAATAGGGCTAGACCACCGCAGAACTCCAATATAAATCAGAGAAAAGATCTGATCAATCTAGTTTCTGCAATTCCCCCTCATTGGACTCAAATCCAGTGCCCATGAGACTGTGTCCAAGTAGAACCAAAAAAAAAATGCCTGGAGGAAAGGGATGAAATTGAAAGAGAAAAAAATTGCCATACAAAGCAGGAAGAAAACAGATTTGAACTATGCTGACTTAGCGGCTAGTAGCCAGAGAAGCAATGCTGTGATCGACCCCAGTGCTCCAGGGCTAAAGGGGGGGATGGGGGGAGAAAAACAACCAGGACTCTCATTCCTGCCCTTCATCGAGTCAATTCAGTTGTGCCACACACAGCTGGATATTTTGGCTTACAAAATAATCACCACTCATCGAAAATCAAACTAGAGACTGAGATTGGACGGACTGGGCTCACCAGTAGGAATGATTGTCTGTCTTGAGAGCAAAGCTCATGATTTGTCATTCTGCAAGAGATTATTGACAGTTCACATGATTAAGATCTGTTTGGTGCCAATGAAGGGCTTGGTGGCAGCCTCCAGGGCGACTCGATAGTCCTGCAGTGGGACTTCAGTGCACGCTGGTGCCGTCAGCTTCCCTGCACGAATTAGGTCGCAAAGCTCCGTGATCATCTTCAGAAGTTTGCTCGGCTCTGTTGAAACAAAGGTCAACATTGTTGTTGTAGTTTAAATGTTAAGAATTCCAGAGAGAGAAGAAAAGGATTGAAGCATGAGCATATGAGAATATGATGCTGAGCCTCGGTCAGACATCGAGGGTAAAAAAATAGGCACACACGGTATGAAAGAGCTTTTTGTCCCCGTGAAACACTAGAATATGTTTTTAAAAAAAAGCTACAACATACATTTCTACCCATACATACAATTTCTGTCAAAGTAGCTTCAAGAAGGGCTTTATTGATTGAGATGAATTAGAACTGAAATTAATGTTCTCATGGAGACAAAAGCAGCAGCCAATCTGCACCCAACAACTCCCTGCACACAACCATGAGCCATTGATGTTGATGTATTTAGTGATATGCTCATAAATAGTGCTTGCATTGAAAATAACTTCAGTAAAATCCGTTATTCCCTGTTAGCGCCTTGGGACGTCCTCCAAGGACGTGAAAGGTGCTACATAAATGCAATTTGTCGGTGGTGTTGTCAGCCCCAGCCCCATCCTCAACAACTCACAGCAACTGTGCGGCTACGATAAAAAAAAATTATTAAAATGTGTCTGAAGTATTTTTGCAAGATTATGCAGTCTTATGATGTTGCCAGACCGCAATCTCTGTCTCCAATCTGCACTATATATAGGGGTTGCAAAGAGTTCATAAATAGATGGTGCAATTGCTGGATGATGCACAGTAATCACACAGCTCTGCTTTTGTGAAGTCTACAGCTCCGAGAACACTACTGGAGATGAGACTCTGACGTTACAAACAAGGTGACCCATTTCTCCTCCACTAATGATGCAAAATGATGCCTCTTTCTCAAAAGCACTTTTTAAGTTTGATAAATCTTTGTAACCCAACCTCACATTCAGCCAGTCTACCTGTGCAGTGCCAGACTTCAAACTCAAAATTCACTCACCGTGTATGTTGTCTTGCTTCCAGCGGGTGACCCAGAATCCACGGATTTTAATATCTTTGAAGATAAGCGCACTCTAAAGACAAGAAAGGTGCAAAGCATTAAAATACTACATCCTGAGGCAATATTAAACACAAGTAGTGTGTATTCCCCCCGAAACTCTAGCTCACCATAACAATAATCCTTGCACTTGACATAGCACCTTATCACGACAAAGTGCTTCATAGAATATACTGCAAAGTGGATTGACGGTGAATTTTGTGGGAGAAACGCAGCAGCCAATTATGCACAGCAGCGTCCAGCAAACAGACATGGGGGCTTGAACCCACAACCTTCTGACTCAGAGTACTTCCACTGCACCAGGCTATTTGTAACCCCAAATCTGCACCATCCAGCAGATTAGAATAAAAGTTTATAAGTGAATTGGCTGCCAGTTGCTCTCTAAAACTTTTAACTTCATCAAAACAATCGTGGGAAGCTAGCAGAATTTAGTCAAGACAGCACTTTGCACGACACTGAAAAGGTCAGTGCTTGAATAGTTCAATTTCAAACGTATTAAAACGATGTTAAGTATAAATCCTCTCCTCGCCTGCTACTCAGTCTTCCTTTATTGATCAAAGGAACGGCTTTGACATTTCACTCTGGAACAGCATATGAAAATAACAGCAGCAATTTGTTTTCCAACCAGCTGTATCAAAAATACTGCTTCAATAAAATTCACCTCTGTGAGACATATCTAGCGAATTTACCTTCCGAGCATCAGTGATACTCAAGGTCTTTAGCTCCAAAGTGAACCCGAGTAGACAATAAAAGAATGCACTGCAGGTGTTAACTGGATGTATTTATTGTATAGATATAAGCCAGGAAATAACAGTCAGTGTAGTCGACTGGCATTTATCGTTCAACAAACTTGCAGGCTTTCTGTACTCTCGCAGTGCAACGCTGCGAAGCATGTACTGCATGGAGGCTGATAGCAAGTTGCTGACATACAAAACTGACCCAGAACAAATTGTTGAGAGCCTCACAAATCTAACACATCTGCTCCAGGCACTTGGCACTCATTGCCTTCATTTCGAAATAAACCAGGGAAATGGAAGGTTGATAAACAGACAAACGGTGGGGGGGGGGGGGGGGGGGGGGGGGGGGGGGGGGGGGGGGGGGGGAATGATGGCCGGGGATGGAAAAACGTCCCATTATGAATACAGCAACTTCAATAAGACTAAAACGAGGATTTTTAACTGCATTGCAGCAGAATGCAAGTGTTTTCCACACAGACTACTGAGGAAATATCTCCAGGATACTGTAGTCCAGATGAATAAATCTCTGAATTAGATTGTGGCAACTGGTCCCTATGTTCAGCGTCTCTGAAATCTGTTAAGAGTCTGGACATGTGTAACCAGTGTCAGTGTCACCCCTGGGTGCCTGCACAAAGCATGGATGTGAAGAATGAGGGCAGCGACTCGTCCTGGATGAGTGCTATGCTTGCTCATGAAAACAACTGACTAATGATGTTAAAAATCTCTCGAGCAGAAATGTATTGATGGAGTTGAAGCAGTGAAAATGCAGTGAGATGAGAAGCACGCTTAGCCATGCCTAGGCACTGAAAACACATCATCATTTTCCTCAATATCTGTTTCCCCGATTTTCGAAAAACGTCATGGAAACCAAGAACCATTTCAGCCATCGAGAAAGAGCTTTACCCTTTCTCAGCCATAATACTGCAGTTGAGTGACTTGACTAAAACAGCGAGAGCTGTGCTGCTTGGTGGCACTCACCAGGAGCTGAGGACTCTTTGTTTCTTCACTTAGGATTTATGAGCAACCAGAGAATTCATACCTAAGACCTGTCACTCCATTCAATGTAGAACCTTTGCAGGTACTGACTCAGCTTCACTGAGCCTCACAAATATAAGCTTCTCACATCAGTCCGTCCATTATCGGAAGCTTGAGATTTGGTTACAGAGTTGTAATTTACTTTTTTTCTCGAAATGTTCACAATGTTCAACAGTAGGTTTAGGGTGACATTGGTAGGATCATGTGATTCACAGAAAGATATTAGAATCTTTTTTCTTGTGATCAAAGAAGGATTGCAGCCTGACTGATGAAGGGTATTACAAGCTCCTTTTTGCAGCTGATTACAGCGTTATTAACTGTGCAGAATATATTATGAAGCAAAAGCCATAAGAGTATAATATATGCAAAAGCCATAAGAGTCTTGAGAAGCACTCAGCTATGTGCAAATAACGAAGCCTGGACTAGCTGTTACCAATCTCTGCAAATCCACAGCAGCAGCTCAGTTTTTTTTTTGCACTGGTACATTTGTATGTTGGGTGTCCAGGCTATAGATTAATGTGAGAGAGAGAAAGATAGCGGTGGGAAAGCATTAATAAAAACGCATGTTAGTGTTATTGTGAAAGAAATTCATCTTTTCAAACCCAGTTTAGAGACGGAGACAAAGCAAGTTTGAAATGATACGCAATAGCTGTTGGAAGCTTTGCTATTTATAATTATGAATTACAGTAATAACAAACTTAAGTGTCTTGAGCATCAAAGAAGCATCTTAAATGCTTGAGATTAAAACAAGACTAGAGTGAGTCTCATCTTGGAGGTAATTGCGGCAACTAATTTACCCTAAAAACAATAAGATTAGCAGCCGATTCGTTAGAATATTTGGGCTGTATTTGGATGAAGAGGGAATATAAGGCAGGACAAACTCCACTTGTGCAGCTCCTAGTCGCTAGTTAAGAGCAACGTTGGTGGAAGCCACTAATCAGCTTGCCATCCCTCCTCCGTTCTCTCCTACTCTGGTGCTCAACCAGGGGAAACCGAATAAGAAAATATAAATACATTTCCTTACCATTGGAACTGTGATAGGTTGTCTCGCCATCCCTCCGTACGTCACTATAGTCCCTCCGTGTCTACATAAAAACACACAAGACCAATGTGCTTCATATTTACACCAATTAACCAATTAATTGAGTATAAAAATCGAACTCAAGTTCTATTTATACTCAAAAGCAGTCAACTATATTTAGCTGCAACCCATACGGTTCAAGAGCAGATTAGACCTGCATTTACAATTATTTATCATTTACTAAATTCATGTTGCGCCCTGCTATTTGCTCCACCCTAATTAAGTGTCTGGTGCCAAGGGAGCTGCTTATCTCACAGCAAGGTACTCTGTAGAATACCATTCACAGCACTCAAGAAAGGCAAGCCAGAAAAGCAGGCGTTTAGTCCAATTCAAGTAGTGTACTTAAATCCAGTGGGGGTAGGGGCGGAGAAGAGGAGACGGCGAGAGAGAGAGAAGAAATAATAATACTTGCATTTGATATAGAATTTTTCATGTCTTCTAGATGTCTCAAAGCGCTTCAAAGAATATACTATAAAGTGAATTGACTGTATATTTTTGTGGGTGGAACGCAGCAGCCAATTATGCGCAGCAGTGTCCCACAAAAAGTCGTGGATTGAAGTGATCAATTTATTATTGTTTTTTTTCTTGAGGGATTATTATCAGGCGTGTGGAGTAAGGAAACTTGCCCAAGGTTTTGCCCTGCCACGAATAGAACCCAGGTCTCTCGCTTTTGAGGCGATTGCTCCAACCACTGAGCTACAGGACTCCACGTAGAAATCTATGTAGAAACCTTGATTGTACACTAAAATTGGTCTAGGTCAGTGTTTATTCCTAATAACAGAATTATTGCGATGGTCTTGACGAATGGTAGTTCAGGATGAATATAATCAAGAGCAGGTTTCAAAGATGTAACAGATTGTTATATTACCACTTCTCGGCAACATATCTTTGGTTAATTGGAAATCCAATGAGTTGAATTGCGCTGGTATGTTGAGTGTGCAGAGCAGGAATTCAAAGTTGAATTTCAGTGTTGCAAGGAACAACAATACATATCGTCTCTTAACTTTCCCAGCGTGTTGCCACATCGCTCAGATGTGAAAGAAAGTTAGGAACACTGCAATGGCTCAGTGTTGTACTCAGCCTCATTTCTGCAATCTTTTCTCATAATTTGACCTGCTACGAGAGCTAAGACATCATCCTCATTTTTCTGCACTTAAGCTTTTTAAGGCAGAGCTACCAGCCTATGGTTTCCCGCCGGTGGTGTCTAACTAGTGCTTTTAAAGTAGGAAAATTTTGCTTTGTATTCTATGCTCCCATTACCTCTACAACTACACCCATGTATCCTGGGTTGTTTTTCATAGTATCGCTCAAGTCCCTTTCCTCCTCAGTAGGAAAACTGAGCCAAATAGTTTCAATTAAACTGTATGTGTGACCCTGGTACCTGCTCTTTCTTAATAAGAATAATAATCCTTGTTTGACATAGAGCCTTATCACATTGTCGAGACATCTTAAAGCGCTTCACCAGATGTACAGTAAAGTGGATTGACGGTGTATTTTGTGGGCGAAATGCTATTTCCTAAGATTAAAATTGAAGGTTTATTGTACTGTTATGTTGCCTGATCTTAATATCCAACCAAACACGGACATGTCCAGACAGCTAAACAGGTTATTACAGACTCTCTTTGATACTGTCTTTACTTAATTCCAAATGGCTGGTGTGATTGCTGCAATGCAAGGTACAGATTTTGATCCTTCAGTTAGCACTTTGTCATTGTTTGCAGTCTAGCAAATCAGATCGCCCTGAAACTGTGCCCACCTTGCACTCTGCAGTTTGTCACACACAACACCACTGTGGTCCTTAGTACTAAACACAGAAAAAAGGGAGGGATTTGGGTGGGAGTATCACACTGTGTATTGTTATACAGAGCTTTTCAGCATCCAAAACTGTGGACGGATGCTGTAAACAACAGACACAGTTGAACAATGCACACAGCAGGGACGCTTAATAAAAGGTCTGATTTAGATCAGAAGTAGGTCACCGAGTGAAGATTGTAACAGAAAATTTGTCTGGGTCACTGCTGGGGTCCAACCTCACGTATTCCTTGAGCAGCTGCCTTGAGGGGAGTTCTGATTACGCAGCCTGCAGCTGAAGCCAAGCAAGCATTCGAGTGGCCCCTTCACTCCACACTTCAAATCTTTGTTTCTACTCCATCTGTCCGACTTGCTACCGTTACTTACTGTAATTGCCGTAGAACCTCAACTGTACTTTTGCCTCCGACGCAGTTCAGGGCGAGCCGAGGTCTTGGTACTTCCTGTTTTCAAAAAGACGAGGACATGTAACGTTAGGAAGTTCAACAGAGAGCACCCAGAAGAGAATTTCTGTGTGTGGGGAGGGAGAAGGGTGGGGGTTGGGGGAATTGATTAAATAAAAACTTAAATAAAGGAGAGAAAATGGCTTTTTCATTTGAAGCACGCTGTGCCTGTGTGGACATTACCCGAAATTCTTCCCAATTCTCCTAATGCAATTTTGACAAATGTTTCTGTGAAAATTTTTAAGATTTCCTTTCCCACCTTGAAAAGCTGAAATGATGGGCGCACGGTCAAGTGGCGTGCTAATAGAGCAATTTTGTTCCATGAATGGTACTGTGGATTCTTCAGCTAACAATAATTTGCAAATGACAATCTGGGCTTTCTACATCAAACCCATTATCTATAACTGTTAAACCCAACAATCTGTTACAAATTGCTGTCTCAATGAAAGCAATGTCCTTTTTCAAGGTTTATTACACACACCAAGAAGAAGGGTTGCTTCCAGCAGACAGGCTGACGGCCCTTGGCTGAAATGTCAGCCTCTGATTTTTTTTAAAAACACCTTGTTTAAAAAATTACTCTTAATTTTTTAAGCTGAATTTTTAAAAAAAAAATTCCGTCATCTATGGAATCCTTCATCAATCCCCTATAATTGCACACGCCATTTCATTTTATTCGGTCATTATTTTTCTTTTAATATAATATGCTGGAACAAGACACTGATTTTTCTTGTGAAAAAAATTCCTTCCCTCCTCTTCTCCCGGGGAGCCAATACCTTGTTCTAGCGGCTTGTCATTCAATGGGAGTCTTTGACAGGCCGTAATTTGACCATAAAGGGGATAACAACCAACTCCCATAATGTCCTAACTTAACCTTCACACACGTGCACAAAAACACACAGGTTTCTACCAAGCATCCCTGGATGGTGATCAGGAAGATTAATGTTAATGTCTTTCCTTTCCCTAAACCCAGGTCACTAGCACTGACTAGAGATCCCAAACTCTGCCCTAGTCGCGATCAAGTAGATCAGCACGGACCAGGAATCAAGCGCGTGACCTGGTCTGTATGAGTTAGTGCCATACGTTACCACCAGGTTACCAGAGGAGCCAACCCACACATTTCGCCACAATACTTTTTTAAAAGAAACTAAAATCCATTATTCCAATGTTATTTTTTTAGACTTTCCATTCTGTGTTGCACAGAAAAGCGCACAAAACAAAATGTATCTTTTTGCCAGCAGAAAGCATTCATGTATTTCAAACAAATTTAACTTCGATTATGACTATTCAGTGATAATAACAGGAGAACAAAGTACAGTACTTTCTTTTCTCCAGCTTTAACGCTCCCCAGGGAAGTGCAGCAAATCAGATAAACACAACTCTAACATGCTTTTTCATTTATTCATGTCATTTCATTGACAGCTCATAGCATTCACAGTAGACATACTTTCTGATCTGTACATCTGTGATAGCAACCACATATGCAGATTGAAAGCTGTTGAGGAGATTCAGTGCTTAACTTTAACTTTCTAGTGAAGGTCCAACAATTTTTGGTTCTTATAGATGATTTAATGAAACTGCCACAATGGACCTTGTGCTTCTGCGGAATGGACCATTCATGGAGAGTAGCAGGCCACGTGAATGTGGTGGTGGGGGGTAAGGTAATGAAAATAGTTTTGCTTAATAACTTTGGGGAATCAAGGGGATGAGTATTCTGAAAAAATTCCCTCATAAAATTAGATTGGTGGATTAGATTGCATCTGGTCTGATGAGCTAATTGACCTTTCAGCATTCCATGCTTTCTTAGATTACATCAACTGGACACTAACTCCTACTATATTTGCTACCGAAACACAGATTCACATCAGCAGTAGTAATGGGGCAAGTAATAAAACTAAGTAGCTGAGTTCAAAATAACCTGAGGAACAAAGACATTGCTTATTATTCAATGGCCGGAGATAATAGGAATATTGAACATCTTCACAAATATTATAAAACTATCAGGCAATTTACACCAAAGTCTTTTAAAACAGTGGTCACCGTTTTACACTCAACAGTGGCTCTTAGAAATGACCAGGTGCTGTTTTTTTTCATTCAACTTGCACCTTCAGACCAAGGCACTAAAACACCTAGTGTTTGATCTCTTCCCACCAATTTTGTTTCCCATTCCCATAGCTAATCATTCACTGTGTTCCTCAAGTGTGCAGAGGCATTAAACTGACAACAAAAACAATAAAGATCGTCCATGTAGGAATTGTAATAATGATTCATCCGCTCATTTCCACATCTGCTTAAGCAAATCCTTGTTGGGCCCTGGAGTGTTCCACATTAGTACACCTTATGCACATCTAACTCACTTCAAAAGCTGATGGACAACATGATACTCATGCATGTGGTGATCCAAGGTCATTCAGCATCACAAAACTCAACCAATCTCACGCCAGTCTCTAACCTTGTAAATGGTATAAATCGCTGATTCTTTTGATCAGTTTGAACAGTTCTTAAAATAACTGGGTGTACTCTTTTGCTGAAGATCTTAAATAAGCATTACAAATATATACTACAACTGGTCTTTGCAAGTCTAACCCTGCCCTGTAACAGAACTGTAATACTTTTTGAGCATTTTAAAGCAATTTTTGAGCAGGAAAAAACAGCAACTTGATTATTTCAGCTTCTGAACTAAAGGTAACCAATGTAGCTAATTCAGCAACACTAGATTGCTGTTATAAGAGAGTGAAATGCTAAAGAGGCTAAGAACAATCATCGCAGGAGCAAGATCCAATCTTTGGAATAATTATTGAATGCACGATTATCGATCTGTTCCTGAGTGCCTTGCCAAATCAAGCAGCTACCTTAAATATCTCTTTCATCTCAGGCTTCCTAAGTGCCTCTTCGGTGACCACATAGTTGGCTCCCATTGACTGAAGTCGGTCTGTCAGCTTCTGTAAGTCAGGTCTGCAAAGAAACATCAGGAAGATCTATAAAGGCTTTAGGAATGACATTATTAAAGCTTTCAGTTTTGTTATGCTCCTGGGTTAGAGGTTGAAAAAGATGCCACTTTCTCTATCATCTTAGGACATTGAGTGAAAATCTCCCCTTGCTGCTCATGTTTCCATCTAAGGAAAGACAGCCCTGAACAATACCTCCTTAGAGAAGCTTGGCATAGAAAAAACAAGAAAGCCTTATTGTGAAGAGTGCGCATCTGTCAGAGGTGTCACAGGTACTGTGAAATTAGACTCACTTTGTGATATTTCCTTTCATTTAAAAACATCAGTTAGGACGAAGCATGCATGTGGAAATGCACTAATCACAATGCATTTGAGCAATACAGCCCACACTGAGCACAGCAGGTTGCACCACTGGGCTCACACTTAAGTGCGTAATCATGGCCTGGCACTGAAAATACGAGGGGCCGATGGGGGAGAAAGACAGAGAGAAAGAGACAGAGAGAAGAGTTATTCTTGGTGCCATTACTGAGCCAAGTAAAAGTGACAGGATGGAGTTCTGCTTTTCTGAGAACCACAATTGCGTGAAAGAGTTGGGATCATAAGCAAAATTTCCTGTGACAAACTTACAACTTTAGTTAACATTATCACAGCACTCAAAAATACCCAAATCTCGATGTCCAAAGTGGCACACACTGTCTCTTAAGAGTTGCCTGGGAGCCTTCTGGTCTCCTATGGAGTTTCAAGAATTTGATCGATTCTGTCAAGATATTAACAATAATACAAGATTCCCATAAAAAATATCTCTGCTCCCACGACAAAAAATCTAACACAGTTATTTAGCAGCACAGCCAAACCTTTGGTTTGCCTTCATTCCTTCACTGAATCCCTGAAACCCAGCATGAGTGGCACGTGTACAGTATTTTTAAAGCCTTCACCAAATTGGTGGAGAAGTCAAATGCAAAAAGTCCCCAAGGTCTGCCTGCAAGTCAAGGAATAGTCACATTACAACAATGAAGCAAAGGACATCAGTTGCTGGGAGCTTTTGACAGGGCTTGAACACACCGCAGGACATCACTTGTTTATGGAATTCCAACATCAAAGCACAAGAAGCTTAAATACTGCCATTTAAAGCTGACCTTGTCATCACCTCAACCCAATATCCTTTGTTATTATTACACACAGACGGTTTAAATTATTTCATCTCTACGTTCCTACTAACAGCCACTTCTTTTTACAAAATGGCTTTAAACAAGAGTCCTAGGAAGAAGGTTCTTCTACAAGATTATAGTGCTAAAAATCTGGGTTATAAACAACTTTATTTGTCTAAAACATAACGTAATGTACGGTATATAAGTAATGATGGTAAATAACAGCGCATATTTACGTTCAGACTATCATTTCAAAGACTATGATCCTAGCACCAAAAAACAAAGTGACGGGAGAATAATGCCCCACCACATAGCTAACAATAGGTCCTCTCTGTATCTATGTGTCAACGAAACATAAAACCTATTAGTTATTTTAAGGAATTTGAAATTTTGGTGTAATTTTCCTGCAAGGAGTTGTATAGATGTCTACAAGATTATGTACATGAATGGACAGAGCAGCAATCTAACACACATTAGAATTTAGGCTTGGTGACCTACCTAGTTACACAAATTGAGTGCAAGTTTGTTAACGATGTCTCGCCACCTCCCAAGAACATTATCCTAATGGCCTTTATAGAATTATACAATATAACACATGATGGAAGGCATGGTTGTTTCTCAGAAATTATACCTATTATTCAGCCCACAAAGGAGTTGAAAGTGGCCTCCAGCTGACTATAATGCTTTCCGTCTTTAGCAATTCAAGTAACACATAAAGTAAGATTAAAGCATTATTACTCTCAATGACAATAATTTTTTTTACAAAGAAAAGGGATCTAAAATATTCTGAAGCCTACTTATTGTGACACTTTTCTCACCGAGAAGATGTGGCGTACAATGCCTGGCAATATTTCAGCTGCACAGAAACGGTATTGTAACCAAGCAAATGAGAAACTCATTGTGTTACAGCAAAACATTCATTTTCTGTCAACCCAATTAGAACTTTGGTAGAATCTCATCATTTTTTCTTTACAAATTTTTTCCTGCAGGGACAGGGCGATGACGTCGGCTGCCACACTGTTCTTTCGCCCGTGGGACATTGGGTTCAATTAAAGCTCAGACTATTGGCATTGAAGTCTCCTCTCATTCACAAATCAATGCGTGCAAAGAACACTGATATTCTCAACTTGGGAATCCACAGCACAATGTTGCCCAGAACTCGTTGTAATCTCACCAGACAGACAACAAGGATGGCCAAGTTGGTATTGACATTCATGCAGCAGTGGGTAGCCTGGGTTTAAGCCAAACTGTAGGAAACATAGAAACAGGAGTAGGCTATTCAGCCTCTCTAGCCTGTTCCGTCATTTTATAAGATCATGGCTGATCTGTAACTCAAGTCCAGTTATCTGCCCTTGCTCCATATCCTTTAATATCCTGACCTATCAAATATCTATCTACCTCCTGTTGCGCTATAGGGAAAAGTATTTACCTTGCGTCTAACTTGTGGTCAGGGAGCTCTTCAATGAAGATGACGTATAAAAAAAATGGAAACGTATTCTATTCCCCAGCATCATCAATGGTGATGACAACCAATTTGGAGAGAATCCGTGTATTTTATGAGTTACACGGATTCTCAAGCATTTTCAAATTGACCACCCAAAACGGCAGGGATAAATGGCAATCGAAACTCGAATGAGAGAGTACGCATTATGCATCACAAAGAATGCCCACACATTGTTTGTAATACAATAGCAGTGATGAAGATGTTTATAAAAAGCAGCTAAATGTAACGACAAACAAAAGTCAGTGGAGATTAATAGACCTGCTTTACAAAAACATTGTCATCCAGCAAATGAACTTCATTTTTGTGCTAATAAGAAGTGGGATATTTTGTCATGATTCAAAATATAACAGATTTGGGACTTGTAACCAAGCAAATAGGAAAGTTCGACTTTGCTAATATCTAAAAATAATGATGTGTCTGCTCAGAGGAAAACAATGGACAACATGCAACCAAACTTAATGAAGTTGCAAATTGGTGTTTATGTGCACATGAATCAAAACCCTTATGAGAGTCCGTTAATAGTCTGATGAAAAGCATTAATTTATTAAGGTGAACGATAGCATTCAATTACAGACTGTTGGGAGGCAAACCAATCAATGCACCACAGATTTCAGCACGTCTATTTCTGGAAAGATCCCCGCGGACAAAGGAGGAAATCACCCACTAAGCTTGTTCTAAGTGTAACAGCGTTTTTTTAAAAGAAACTGACGTGATAAATCACTTCATCTGAACATGCAAGCTGGACACATGCTGGTTCAGAGCGTTTCTGTTTTCAAGATTATTCCTGAATCAAATCAGAGAAAACATTTCTGAAGGTTAGCAAAAAAAAAACAAGCTCTGCCTTCGAGGTGCGAGATCAAAATCCTCTGATAGCTTAGTCGGTAAGGACACCGCTCAGTAAGGCACAACCCTAATCACAACAGGAGACTGCAGGTCTGGACATCCTGAACAGCTGATTTGAACCCAACAACAACAACAAATTATATTTGTGTAGCGCCTTTCATGTCGAGATGTCCCAAGGTGCTACATCCAGGCAGTACCTAGAGGTACAACTATCTCATTGCCCCTGAATTAGAGAAAGGAACATTAACCAAGGTTCCCACTCTTTCTTGTTATCCAGAGACACCCCTCCGGCAGGTGTATGTATGGGTTTTGTGAATGTCTGTATGGTTGAATAGCCCCCACACTCACTCACTGTTGAGGCTTGCAGATGAGTCTTGGGTAAGGCATGTGAGGGAACCATACATAATTGTCTGGACTACAAGAACAAAAAAAATCGATTTGATTGATGAATAATAAATTGCATTTTTGATGTACCTTTCATGTCAGGAGCATGTCCCAAAGTGAGGGAAGAGGAAGAGTTGGCAGACCAGTCCTTCCAAGGGGGTTTATGCAGATAAAACTCACCTGTCTCTGATAACATTAATCGTCTTCAGCCCCATGGCATGGGCTATCTGAATTACTGCTTGGCCCACAGCACTGTTTGCACCATTTTGTATCACAGAGTCACCTACAAAACATTAACCCGATTGTTACAGAAAAAAGGCCAGTTTGCACAACAACAAATTACATTTGTATAGCACCTTTCACAACAACAACAACAAAATTACATTTATAGAGCACCTTTCACATCAGGAGGATGTCCCAAGGCAACACCAAACAGCGTTTCCTAGCGATTAGGTGTACACCCAAAAGCTGCAGTTTCAGAATTTAATGCAACATTGCACATCAACTTGTGCTTAAATTTTTAGAACCTTTTCCAATCTAATTTCCCTAAAATGAGCTAGCTAGTTGAGCCACACGCCTAATCAATCTAGTAGCTGATCAAAAGCCTGTTCAAGCTCTGTACTAAAATCCACATAGCTTTTTGTGCCAGATGTATTTATGAATTCATTAACAATCTCCACACAGTGAGACATGACATATTTCGATGGGTGTTTACCAGGTGAAGACTGAAGCAGGCTTTTATTGACATACTGAGAATCTCTATATGTTAAAAACAAGAAGGCTTGTATTCTGAACCGCAATCATCTATCTTGACTAATGGACTGATGTTAGACGTCTTTCCGCTCTGAGTGGAACCAGGCAGGGAGTCCATTACCCTCATTACATGTTCTGCTCGCTGTGGAGCCATTTGTTCAGGCAATCAGCCTCTCTCTCTTGATACAAGAAGTAACTGTGGTGGGGGAGGGAGCATGAATCATGGATTGTACTTTTAAGGTAATAGAACCTGCATCACAAGTATTATAGATAATACCATTCACTGCTAATAATGACTACCTGGGGTGAGGTAACCTGCGGTTAAGGTAACATGACAGCTGAGTTACTGTGGGGAGTCACATAGCGTAGTGGTTGTTATTCGATTGGCGGATCGTTTTCCGGGAGTATTAATCCCTCACCCCCAAATAATATGGTCACTCAATCCACAACTGTTTGTGGGACACTGATGAACACAATTTGCTGCCGCGATTTACCCACAAAATACACTTTACAACATATTCTCTGAAGTGCTTTGAGACATCTCAACGATGTGATGAGGCGCCACATCAGATGTAAGGACTATTATTATTGTTGCACCTAGGGAGTAGTTACTACTTTAGAAGAGGAGAGGGGGGTGGAGAATGGCAATGTTTAAGAGGTCTAACCCTCAAAGCATGGGACAGAGAGAGGAGATTTGGACCAGTTTGATGGTTCACAAACTAGTGGCATTCCTTCAAGCACAAAAACCCTATTCAACAATACTGATAAACTAGACAAGGAGAGAAGAGAGCTGGGAATAGGGACTTGAAAGAATGGAAGCGGATATGCTTACTTAGTTAGGAAAACCTGCATGAAAATCAAATCAAAGGTAACACAAGAGCGCACAGATGGTTTACCTAACCCCAAACACCTGTAGAGGGCGAGATTAATGTGAGAAGCAATATGTTGATGCAAAGGCAGCAAAAGGCACAGATGTTTTAGGATCGCCCAGTCCTGAGGAAGTGCTGGGATGGGATATTAAGTAAGCTGATAGAATATAATGCCAGAGCACAGCTTTCTATACAGTATGGGAAGAGCACAGCGCAATCAGTCCAGTAATGGAATACAATACTGGAAACAGCTTGATTGGAGAAGATTGCCCTTCAGAACCCAGTGTAATAGAGTTGATGTGCATGAGGCTCTTTGGCAGTGAACAAAGGAAGCTTGATTGGGGACTGGGATGGATCTGACGGAAATCAATCAAAGGTTAATATAAGTAAGGCGGTAAGGAGAGAAAATAAGACAGAAGAAATAAATTAGATAATGTACTTTACAAGATGATCGATGGCAAATGACTGAGAGCAAGGTACACATTACATTCTGCCAGTTGTAATTTTTTAAAATTAAGATATTGGACATTGTGGCTTGTGGCTGCATTAGTTCGGAAGAGGATTATTTTCCTGCTCTAAAACTAACAAAAATGACCCGCCCCACCACTGTCCCCCACAAAAAAATTCTAATGAAAACAAGGTTCGTACTGAAACTTTTGCAGAAGTCAAACTGAATTAAAAAATAACCTAACTCTACCACAAAATCTTGGTATCCTTTTACCGTTGGTCTCCTATGGATTTCAACCCCTTTCGGTTTCTCTAAAAGGCCAAACGGTTAAACTGTGATTTATATTATTTGCCAGCACTCAACTTGCACTTACATAGCGCCCTCCATGCACTATAGTGTCTCAAGAGCGCTTAAAAGGGTAAGTGGAGAGTCTCTGGAGAGTAATTGGGAGCTTCGCAAAACACAATGCTTTAGCCACTGTACTAGTTATTTTTTAAAAGGCCAAGATCAAAAAACATGTTTGGAATCATGCTGCTAAAATATTTCAAATCGACAGCACTTTCGTCAGACAGCTAACTGGTTACTGAAATGGTGCTTAATTGCATGAAAAGAAATTACCCTCTTACTTCAGCATGTTGTCTGCATCCAGAATGCTCACACAGCCACAATCATCTACTCTTTCCAAATGAATCTGCCTTGGTTTGAACGTGTACGGTCAGCCCTTTGAGATACACAGTGTGCTGAACTTTGCAATCAGACCCTCAATAACTTAAAACTTATAACACGAAACAGTAAACTTCACTTCCTAACCGATCAAATGCCGCCAATTCATCCCAAATAGCTTTACCTTGTAAAAGCTCGACTGACCAAATCTAAGGAGTGAGTAAAAGTATCAAAACATAAACCAGATGATCATAATTCTTTGTCACAATTAGATTTGTTTAAAACTCCTGACGATCTGATATCCTCTTATGCTTCCCTATTTGGTGGAAACAACAACAACAACAACAAGATTCCATTTATAAAGCGCCTTTCACGTCAGGAGGACGTCCCAACCTCAGGAAGCAATAGATATTTGTTTGTCACAACCCCTCCTCACACTCACACACAGTTTATTTGGGCATTGAGAAAGAAGGACCCATACTTATGCATACTTACCTGGACCAAATTCCTTACTCACATCTCACCAGTTCTGGTCAGGTTGCACTGGCTCCTCAAGCTCATGTTCAAATCCCTTCATTCTCTGGCATATCCCTACCTCTCCGACCTCCTCACTTTCCAATCCACCACCCAATGCCTCCGCTCGACTGGCACCAGCCGCCTGCTCATCCCTCGCATCCTCTGCCCCACCATTGTAGGTCGCACATTCAGCCACTATGGCCCGAAACTGTGGAACGCTCTCCCTCAATGCCTCCGCCTTGCCCCCTCTCTCCCCTTTTTCAAGTCCTGCCTGAAAACCTCCCTCTTCACCTCACCACCACCACACCCCTGCGCCCCCCTCCCACGCCCCACCCCAGCAGCTCGGAGTTAGGCTCTGCCACTGTTAAGCGCTCTGAGACGCTACCCTGCGTGGAGAGTGCTATATAAGTGCAAGTTTTTGTTGTTGACCCATTAGAAATGTCTGCACTAACCATTATCTCGAACAGAAATCAAAGCCTGCTGGATTTAGTTAAAAACTCTGATTACCGGTTATTTGGGAAACGAGCGTGAAATATGACCTGATTAAATCTGCGACATTTTGGGAAAGACCAACAAAGGTGATCTATTTTGTTCCTCAGTGTGTTATAGATTTTTTTTAAAAAAACTAATTATGTAGTTAGCAATTCTGGATAGTGGAGAAACTGCAAGAACGTTTAAAAAAACAGTAACGGACAAGAAGGCACTTGGGTCACCAAGCCTCTTCCTTCTAATCGACCAAAATACACCAATACCAACTTAATTTACTTCCTTCTAGCGAGGTGAATTGTCACAGGTAACATATCCAAGATGATAAAGCTCTGTAAAACTTCTCCCCAAACCCAGAAGGTAATCAAGCAAAACTCTAGGAAATCAATTCCATGTTATAATCTTCATTACTCAACTCTAGTAAGATTTCACCCGTTAACATTCCCGAGGTCTCAGCAGGTTTGGGACCACAGAGTTCTGGCTGAATGCTAATCAGGCACCTCAGATCAATCTGTCCTAGCTCCAAACTGTTTATATCTACTATATCAAATAATCTTCTGCATTTCAGCCATTTGAAGAGAATGCATTATACCCGAGTCCATCTTGAATGCAAACTACAATATCTGATTGTAAATTGCTAAACGGAGACACATATTTGTAATTTCTGAAAATAAAGGTTTTGTAACTTAGGCCGGCAGGAGACCATCAGTGCATCTAGCTTTTCCAGCCAACTTCCCATAAGATTCCTTCAATGTATCTAATGCTAAATATTATAACCCAGAACCATTTTAGTTGGCAGAAACTGGTCTAGTTGCTTTTCAAAACCTTTTGTAATTCCTTATTTTCCTAATGCGCCCATCACCACGTCACCTGCATCTCCTACTCTCTTTTGTGTTGGAATATTATACAGAATATACCCGGAATCAGAAAAATACATCTGAATCTAAAAATTTGGAAAACGTTGGGAATTTTTGGATGGGTGGCAAGCTGAAAGGTGTATAAAAATCCTTTTGGGTCTCCATGCCTGAGGTGCACCACAATACTATATATGCTCACCCCAATAACTAGGGCTCATTATGAGATTTTCATCACCCTAAAAAACACTTGAATGACTAATTTTGAGTTATGGTTGAATTAATTGAAAGACGTAATCCCCTTTGGAGAAGCTTATACATCATATAAAAGGTCAAGACAATGAAAGGACTGAGTTTTACAAGCCATCGGCATTTGGTTTGGAGAAGATTAAAGTGGCTCTCTGATCTCTTTACACAGGATTATTTAATAACACCCTTCATTCAGTTTATCGTTAATGGTGATTCACAGCTCACTCTCGCACTGAGTTTTCTCACATCTGATGCCACTCCAATTGTTCATCCCACGTTTCTAACAGTTTCTCAATCTTGTTCTCGAGCTACAGTTTCTCACCGGCTGTGACGCAATGACATTGCTCTACACTCTTGATTCCTCAGGTTCAGTGTTTGGTCTTGTATCCACAAGCTACTGAGCAAGGAAAATCACTGAGGCTCTGACAGTGAGAAATTGAGAGACAAGAGCATCAGTCTGCAGCCAGTAGAAAGAAACCGCAGGAGGAATTAAATCTGAGAAAACCAGTATAAGTCACTGAACAAGTAGCTTAAGAAACCGATTCAATTATCTGAACACGGCGTATTGTGTGAAACATGCTCTACAATTCCTGGAAGCAGTTACATGATGATCATATACAACCATTTCAACAGGTTCAATTCACTGATGCATTGCGTTTACAAACACCCAGTGAACACAATATTATAATGACTTATCCAAAACGTGCACATTTCTGAAAAATAAATACAAGGCTATTTTTCTGCTGTCCCTGCATCTGTGCCAGTAATTGAGTGATTTAGACACAGGAAATCAGCTTGTTAACGTCTTTTGGAATTTTGATGTCTTTGTTTCTTAGAAGTATTTTTAAAATATATATACATTATATATATACATATATAAAAAACAAATGCTACAAGACCACAACAACTCAGGTGTGAGAAATTGTCTTGCGGAAAAATAACCAGAGATAAAAGTGACCAACTTGGCAAACTGCTTGCTAACTCAAAGTGTAATTTCTTTGTCGCTTTGTAGAATCACAACATCACTTTAATCAGTCTCATTTTTCAAGCCCTCCCCACTGCCCCCCACAGCTCATTACTTTCAGTGGTGAATTTCAATTTTTTTAAAATTACACGCAGGCCTGTATTTTTTCACACACACGAACAACTTGAGGAACTGGCTACATCCTAATCTTTTCCTTTGGATTATTTATACATTTTAAAGATATACTTAAATATCAAACCTGAATATTTATCTCCTGCCCTACCTGCCTCACCATTGGCGGTCAGGATTTAGCCTGTCTGCTCCCGCTCTCTGGAACTCCATCCACCCTGCTCTCTGGAACTCCATGTTTAAGGTCCGTCTCAAGATCTACTTCTTTGACTGCTTTCAGTCATCATTCCTCTCCCCTCCTTAGCTCTCAACTCCAGATTGCGTGCCAAGACACGATCGTTAAATGCTTTGGAACATCCTCCCCACGTGAAAGGCGCTATATAAAGTAAATTATAAAAACCTAGCAAGACACCCAGTACTCTGAAAGAATGATGTATGGATTACGTTTGGGAATCCTGCACCATGCCAACTCCCTTCTTTCAAGCACCCTGGTATGCTACCCTATACAAATGCAAGTTGTTGTTGTTATATACTGCACTCCTTACAGATCAATAACCCTCAGTTGAAGCACTTCCAGGATCAAGACAATAAAGGAAACCCTTGCCCGCAATTGCTCATATAATCACCCTAGACATCACGCTGGACTAAATTCCCGTGAATTTTTCCTGTTTGCTTGAACTAAGAATGTCTCCTCTTGTAAGCATTTCTCCTCAACCAAGGAATGACTCTGATCCTATCACACCTGAACAAGCAGCACTATCAAAATATACAATGCATCGCTTAAGGTTTGTGCCTGCGAGTAGCATTTAACATATCAGGTATCACCAACTGCATGAACTTTGGTAAATTCAATAAGTAAAGGATAAAAGCCTCACAGATTTCTGTAAGGTGCTTAGTTTCCACACTTTAATGATATCTTACAACTGAATGGTGGTACCTACCAGGCTTCAAGGACTCAAAGTCGTACAGCATTCTGTAGGCAGTACATGGGTTGACAGCTAAGGTGGCGGCACACAGAAGAGGCACATCAATGGGGAGCTTAACAAAAGCACTTTCATTGCCCACTGCCTCCGTCGCCCAGGTTCCTGTAACAAATACATGTCTCAAAAATAGGCTTCACTACCTAATTGCTAGTCTTCTAAAATAACATTGTTCAACTGAACTGCTTTACACCTCAAATACTATACACCAATTCCAAGGTGTCAAACCACAGATGTATTAACTGCTGTTGATATGTTACGAACGCACAAGCAGACCAGTCGGAAAGCCATGAAATCATCTCCTCTCCTCTTACCCCCACAAAGATATTCAGCTGTAGAATAGTAACCCTCTCCCCTCACCGCAATAAAAAAGAAACTATATGTAAAAAAAAACAGATCATGTTGAAAAGCTGCAAAGAAAATATCGTCTCACAAAGTGTTAAATTGGTTCAGGAATTCCCTGCATAAATATTCACATCATTCATGAATGATAATGGTTGAGAAAAATATTCAAAACTTCTGGAAGCTGCATTGAAGGCTCATGATTTAAACATTCATTTTCTCAGATTAAGTTCAAAGCGCACTATGATCAAAGAGACTAAACCCAGGCAATGACTGTGAGACAAAATAATAGTGTACTTACCTTGAAGGGTATTCTAAATTAAAACCTCTATATGGAATATATGTTAGAAATAAAATGCCCTTGATGCAGACTAAACAAATTATTTGCACAGATTCCTAATTAAAGCTACATTATCCAATGAGATCTAAATGATGACAGAGAAATTGAAGCTTCCTGTACCTTGCACATCAAGGGAGAAATTATAATTTGCTTTGGATGATTTATATAATCCATATTTACAAGGAGTGATCATTCATAATAATCCTTGCATTTGATATAAGCCTTCTCACATCGTTGAGGCATCTCAAAGCGCTTCACAGAATGTACTGTAAAGTAAATTGACTATATATTTTGTGGGATCTTCTGGGCCCTGCTATTTCTAACAATCTTGCTACAAACTGCTAGGAGGTAAGGTTCAGTGTCAACTGAGGCTCATCATTTCGTCCACAAAATATATGGTCAATTCACTTTACAGTATATTCTGTGTAGCATTTTGAGACGTCTAGAAGACGTGAAAAGCGCTGTATCAAATAATGGATGATTATTATCATCATCATCATCAAATATGCTCTGAACCAAGATAATCAAATGCAAATGATTATTATATTGCCTGAAAAACAAGGGTTCTTTTGATTATTGGAATTTACAAGCATTGCGCAAGTCCAGCCTGTATTTTTCCCCCCAACATAGGTAAACTCTTTCATTCACAATTTATATATTCCGTGTTTGTGGTCCTCTAGTGGGTGGAAATGCTGCGTCTTAAAAAAATTGATTGATTCGGGACTACGGTTTCTTATTGCTTTAAACTGTTCCCTGAAGTGATCATAATGTAAATTTAATTTAGTCCAGGCCTGACTTAATATCTTTTTTAAAAACTAATCTTTAACAATCATCAACCACCCATGGCCAGATTCCAAGAATCATGTAAAGGCCTTTTGGAAAAAAATAATTTTGACTTATTCTGATTTTTATTTTACACACGGAAATATGCAGATGGGCTGGGGTCTAATTTCTGGTATTTCTTAACGGGATTCCTCAATAAGAGATTCCAATTCATGCAGACTCCTGCTAGGTAATCGGATCTGTGGGAACTCAAAGTCAAAGAAATCTGTCTGCGGAGTACAGTTAACACAGGTTTTGATGGGTTTTCAAACGCACTTCTTGTTAAGGAATCCTGTTAAGAAATAACTTCAAATTACTTCCCAAAATTGGATGGTGCATTTCATCAAATTTTTTTTTAATGGGATGAAACTATGTGTTATCGAGCTCAACTCTGAAAAATTGTACTCTATGTAACTAAGAGAGAGCATCTTTTTTCATAGAAACAGAATCGCACAATAATCCAAGTGTGATGTTTAAGCTACGTGCATTATGACATAAGTAATGGCTGGCAGGAAATTGCACGGCAATAATTCAAACAACCAGTTTGCTTTTTACAACTCGCCAATGGCCCAGTGAGTTTATCCAGCTAAACGGTTAATGCAAAAGGACTGGGACGATCCCAGGTTCAATCCCCAGTCAATGTCGAGTGAGGTGATCTCAGTGAGGGTGGGTAAGAAAGCTGCAATTAAGCCCCAACTGACCTGCGTTACAGAGTAGGGGGAAAATTGGTCAAGGTTCCCATTTGCTATCCAATTACCACAGGGATGCATGTGTTGACTCTGATTGACGAATGATTACAGTGGCAAAGCCTCCACAGTCAGGAAGCTAACAAACACTTGCTGTCAAAGCTCCGATAGGGCTTATGGCAATTCAGGGGCAAGGCTCTGAAAAATGATTGGTATTAATGACCCTACCAGATTTCAAGGCTTCAACTGTCCTGAAGAATTAATTGTTGCACACCCATTAAGACATTAAATTTTTATAGGGCGCCTCAGAAAAATAGCAAAGCACTTTACAATAATTACTGTCAGGTGAGGGGACTTTTTTTTTCTTGTAGGCAAAAACCATGATGGCCATTTTATGCACATGTTACAATTAGCAACAATCTGAATGACTGATTAATCCAGAGGATTTCCACAGCACAGCACTGATGGCTATTTCTGATTGCCTCTTCAATGCACACCCTTGAACAAACATCGAAAACTGCAAACTTACCCAGCCCCGTATTTGATGGTATCACCAGATCACCAGCTTTCACACTGGACACCCGACTGCCGACATCTAAAACCCGTCCCACACCTTCATTCCCTCCAATGGCTGGCAGATCAGGAAGAATCGCGTAGGTGCCTGAAAAAGATACCCTGGTTTGGATAAAGACAAGACCTTTGTCCCATTTGTTCTTATCCTTCCTGAATACGCTCTCTCCCTTATTCCCTTCGAGCAACATTAAATGATCTAGTCTTGGTATATTCACCATTCTTCTGGTAACCTATTCCAGTCGTCATTTTATCTCCGTATAATACTTCCTGGTATCTGTCCTAATATTGTCCTTCACAACTCTGAACCTGTGCTCTCTTATCCTGCTAGCCGGCATATCTGAAGTGCTGTATAGTTGTGCTGCAGTGATTAACACAAGAAGGTAAAGCACTCTCGTTTTGTCCTTGGTCAGGAAGGGAAGAGCCAAGGATCCAAAGGTTTTGCGTTGGTTCTGAGCTGGAGAGACACCAGGATATAATAATAATCTTTGCATTTGATATAGCGCCTTATTACATCGCCGAGACGTCTCAAAGCATTCACAGGATCTACTGTAAAGTGTAGTGTTTTGTGGGCAAACGCGCCATCCAGTAATCAAGTAATAATGGAAGCTTTTTCTCAAGAGACTATAGTTCCTTCAATATAACGGCATGGACAAAACCTCCATCAAGTTTTACTTATTCAGTGTTCCACTTCTGTTCTTGAACGCTTCATGCAAATAACATAACTAATCTTAGGCTCTGTTCTTATCTTGCAAATACTTTGGCTAACTGTAATTCTTTCCTATGGCGAGAATGTCCCCCATGGTGTACAAGTCCCTGTGCTTAACACAATTACAGATTCCACTCGAAACACTTGAGGACTAAAACATAATCAACTTTGAGCACATGCAGATAGGTAATCATCTGAAAATTAATTTACGTTGCCTCAAGCAACATGGCAACTGTGAATGCCAAGTCTTGATTCTAACTTAACTGTTCTGAACACTTAAAGTAGAGTCAACAACAGTTCTCTTTTCTGCAGTGCTTCAGGTCATATCTGCACGCGAAGATAATTTGATTAATGTATAAAGAACATTTCAGATATCAGTCATTCTTTGATGATGAAGCCACTTGATGTTTGAAGTACTACCTTGGACCATGTTGATGTCTGATGGATTGATGGGTGCTGCCAGCATCTGAACCTTGATATCATAATCACCGACGCTAGGGAGCTCCAGGCTCTCAAGCCTGCAAAAAAAGAATGGATGACTTCATTCGTTGTAAAAGTTTCAATCCATCGACAAGCCAGCCTTTCACAGGTTGCACAAATTGTCTTTTCACAAGTTAATCTTCAAAAGAATGATCAAATGCTCTCTTTTGCATATATCACCAGCTAAAAGGGTTCAGAGAGTTGCTCTGAGCAAAATAAAACAGCAAATAAATGGACGAGGTTTGCTTGAGATCAATGAATACATAATGGGATTTTAGACGTGTGAAAGAGCCTTACTCAACAACCTTGAGTAAATTATCTTTAGTATGTGTTTTCCCTTACAGAGCTTTGTGTATCTTGAATGTCGTATTCTACGCACACATTGATGGGATTCCACCACACGCACAAGATGTCCTTAACCAAACAAACAACCTGCTGCAATAGTAAGATATGCCCACAGTTTGGCAACGATTGACTATTCGCCTATGAAACACACAGTCACTTCACTTTACAATAAATCCTGTGACTTGCTTAGAGAAGTTTCCCCGACATGAAAAGCGCTTTATCAATTGCAAGGATTAGTTAGATTATTGTGCACCCACAATGTCCACAAGACGGAAGCTGTTGCTGGTACTTGTGCACAGTAGACAGTATTCTTCGAAGCTTTGATTAACGCGCGCTGTTGAGCCATACCACAGGGAAGGCTTTGCTGTGCGCAATTGGCTGCCGCGTTCGCCCACAAATATACAGTCAATTCACTTTGCAGTATGTTCTGTGAAGCGCTTTGGGACGTCCTCCCGACGTGAAAAGCGCTATATCAAATGCAAGGATTATTATTATTATTAAGGCTGCTTTATCTGTATCCAATTGTGCTATTTCTCCCTGGGAATCTTTTACTGAATAGCCAAATATGTCCCACTTATGAACCACGTGCACAAACACCAAAGAAAAAAAATATGATGATAGATTCACCTTCCTCTTAAACGTGTAGCAAATGCACAAAAACTAGCCAAATTTTGTGGAAATTTTTGTTGCTACTTTCAAAATCTTGACCAGAAGCCAAGACGGATAAAAACAGGCACGCACATTCAATTTGCTGGAATGGAATGATACATCACACAGCAGTGGAGCCTGGAATTATTCAACTGAGCAATTTAAATAACGGGAAGTCTGCTGCACCAGTGATCTGTCTGATATTATCAGCACAAGCAACAGCCATGCAAGCTCAGGGTGTGAAGACCACGACAACATTTACATGCTTTGAGACATCTCAAAGATGTGATAAGGCACTATATTAACTGCAAAGATTATTATTATATTATTAAAATGGAGAATTGTGTTTTGTAAAAAAGCCAGGGATCTCCTTAGCCCCCCTTCTCTCATACATCAAACCGCCATTGTCTTGGCTATTGCCAGTCTTGAGCAGAGAATGGTGAGTTATAAGGATGGGGGTTGTAAGAAGAAGAGTATATTGTCTGTGCTGTGAGGGGATTTCAAGAGCCAGTAACACCAACAGTAACCATGGGAACCATGCATGCACCGTCTTCAATTTCAATCAGTGATGGACTCCTACAAAAATCAGACCTCAACGTCCCAAATATCTGGTGAAGCCAAAAGTCAACTGCACGGTATGAAGCATCTCTTAAAAGTCTCAGCACTGAGCATCCTTTAATTAGGGATGACAAGTCCTGGCACGCACAAACTTATAACGCTGTTAAGTATTTCTCTGTTAGTATTTAGAAACTATATTTCAATGGAAATTTGCTAATTAACACTTGTTTTATTCAGCTCAGTTTACATGTTTTGGGAAATTGAATTATTTTCTTATAATCTAAACTGTAAAATGCCTGTCCCATTCCTTACTGAGTAGTAAAAACAGCTGTGTTTTATGCCAGATGTGGAAATGATGAATAAATAGTCTGTTTTCTCACAGTGGGCCCTGGAAGGTGAGGAAACAAACTCATAATATGTTTGCGTTTCAATCTGTTTTGCCAACAAAGTTTCATTTTTCTTTAATAAAAAATCCAATTTAATACACACCATTTTGATCCTGGTAACTGAAATAGTTTCCTCTAAAGGTATAAAATATCAAACCTTTAAAAAGGGACAAAATGTAAAAATAAACAGATAAAGTACTCCATCTCTCTCACTCTGTGGAGAACGTATGATTTATTGAATGAAATAGCAAGTTAGGAAATTCGGAAAAAGCAACATTTAAAATTGAACGAATAGTAACCAAGATGTTCAATGTGCACCATTTGCATAGGCACCCTGCTCAAATGTCAGATTTCTGGTACGTTATTGCTTTCAGATTCGATTACTTTTGGCTTCTCTAGAGTTACATTCGCCCAGGGGAGGGGACAAAAAAGAGAGATATTAAATCCAATTGTAGACCAAACTATGACAATGACCGAGACCAACAAAACATCAGGATTCTCATAAACTATAACACTGAAACATCCCAAAGCAATTTACAGAGGATTGCTATAACCTTTTATTTATTTAATACTATATATCTATCTCTTTGACCATGCTTTCAGTCAACTTTCTCCTCCCCACCCTTCACTATCGCCCCCAGCTTGGGTGTGCAGCCAGCAGTGTCAAGCTCTTTGGGATGTTCTCCTGTCCCGAAAGACGCTACACAAATGTGTATTGCCTTGTATGTTGTTATATATTATCTTGTCATATTACATTGATTACCATACAATAATAATCATCCTTACGTCTGCTTCAGTGCCTTTCACATCAGAAAGACGTCTCAAAAAGCTTCACAGAGTGTACTATAAAGTGCAGTGACTGTAAGGCTTTGTGGGTGAATGTGACAATTTGCGCACAGTGACGTTTCACAAAGCGAAGCGAGCGATTTTGATCAGGGGGGGAGTTGTCAAGTAGTTCACCAGGAGAGAGAGAGAGAGAGAGGAACTCCCCTCTCGTTTCCGATAGTTCCAGGGGGATCTTCATCGTGCGTGGGTTCAACGTCTCATCCAAAGGACGGCACCTCCGACAAGGCAAAACCCCCACCTCTGCCCCCACTCCCCCCCAGTGCTGCATTGGAGGGTCAGTTTAGACCAGATGTGACTCCCAAGTGCCGACGCGGGGCTCGAACCCACGACCCCGTGACGCAAGAGGCGAGAGGAGTGCCAGGACGGCTTGAGAACGTTTACCAACCTGTGGCCCCAGCTGACACACAAATGGCCTCAACCGAGAAATAAATATTAACGATAGTAACAATAATCCCTGCATTTGATACAGCGCCTTATCCCGTCTTCTCGACGTCTCAAAGCGCTTCGCGGAATAGGCTGTGAAGTGAATTTACCAGTATGTATTCTGTGGCCAAAACGCGGCCGCCAACTGCGCTCAGCGGCGGCGTTTGTGTATAACAAACATAAATATATATTGTAAATAAATGTAAATAAGTCAAACCCATTCTAATAATTGTAAGGTTATAATGACCTTAAAGCTCGGTCACCCCCTCTGATACGGGCCCAGAGATCACTCGATAATCATATGGATCGAGTTCAAGACCCTCACCCTCGTGTTCAAGTCCCTGCGCTCCTCTGGATCGAGTTCAAGACCCTCACCCTCGTGTTCAAGTCCCTGCGCTCCTCTGCACCCCCCGACCTCCTCTCTCCTCAAAACAGCGCCCGTCGCCTCCGTTCCTCCAGGTCTGGCTTTCTCCTCCTGCCCCGAGTCCTCCGCTCCCCCTCGGCGGCCGCGCCCCGAGGCTCTGGAACTGCCTTCCTCACTCCCTTCGCCTCGTTCCCTCCCTTCCCATTTTCGGGTCTCTGCTGAAGACCTTTCTTTTCGACCGCCCGCGCCTTTGGTCACCTTTCCCCCCCCCCCTCCTCCCCTCCCCCTCCCCTCCTCCCCTCCCCCCCTCCCCCCGGGCTCGGCCCCGGGATCCGTAACTGTAAAGCGCTCTGAGACGCCGTCCGGCCTGGAGGGCGCTATATACACCCAAGTTGCTGTTGTTGTTGTCGTTGTAAATATTCAGTGTTATTATTGTTCTCGTGTAGTTGCCGAGTGAGTGAGTGAGTGAGGCGGTGAGTGAGTGAGTGAGTGAGTGGCCGCGACCTCTGACCCTCGCTTTACCGGATCACGCTGAGCGGCTCGCCGTGTTTGCGGTACCGGAGGCCCTCGCGCTGGCCCCGCGCCGTCACCGAGCCGCTCGGAGCCCGCCGCCTCCCGAGCGAGCCCTCGCCCCCGGGTCTCCGGGCGGCCAGGAGCCGCCGAACGCAGGCCGCCCTCCTCAGCGCCATGGCTGACGGCCTCGTCTCCACGGCAACGGCCAAAGGGGGGATGGGATGGGGAGGGGGCGGTCGCGTCGGTCGCGGTCGGCGCTTTCTGATGATGTCACGCCGCTACTACCCCTCCGGCCGGCGCGGCTCCGATGACGACATCAACAGCTGTAGCTTGTCAAGGGGGACACATGGCCACCATGTGCCAGTGACCACTTGATGCACAGAGAGCAATGGGGCAGCCTGGAGCACAAACAAACAAACAAGCAAACAAGCAAACAAATAAACAAATAAACAAATAAACAAACAAGCAAACAAATAAACAAGCAAATAAATGAATGAATAAAATAAATGAACGAACGAACGGTAATAATACAATAATAATAATAGTAATTAATGACCCTTGCGATCCGATGGAGCGCCTTATCACGCCTGCGGGTCCTTCTCAAAGCGCTTCACGGGCGACGCTGTAAAGTGCGGCGCGCGTGTATTTTGTGGGTGAAACAACCGTGCAAGTTACGCGTTATGAATAAATAGATCCGTGCATAAATAGAAATACAAATATATAAATAACTAAATACATACATGCATACATACATACATACGTATTATTATGTATTATCTATGTGACGTACATACACGAATCGTTAAATACATAAATAGTGAAAGAAACATATAAATAAGTAAATAAATAAAGCAATAAATAATTAATGAATATCTTCCTTGGTTGATAATTACGATTTATTACTCTTTGATAAACCAATCAACCAAGAAATGGATCAATCACGAAATAGGCCAATAGACAAACAAAAAAAAGCGATTAAAAAAGAAACAAATGCAATAAATTCCTTAATTAACCAACCGATCAATCAGACAATAAATACGTAGATATATTAATAAATATACCACAGTCTATTCATTAGTTTTGGTTCTGCAGGTTGGTACATTCTTTCATAAGAAAAATATCTAATTTTGAGAAGCTGACCTTGTTACTTATGCCTTGTTTGCTTTCCAGTGAAATATATGAGCCAGAGCTTCAGATCAGAGCTCTCAGCAATGCACTTACCAAAAAGCTGAATTCCTCAATGGCTTCCATAGTTTATATGTATATACTTGAAGTTAATGAAAACTTGCGAAAAGTCTTGCTCTCAAATGAAATTATGGTGTAGTATTTAATTATTGCCTACACATACACAGACACTGCATTTGACAGCAGTTACCTATGAAGAGGTTTGAGATATTGACCCACATCAAATTCAACTACAGTATTATTATTATAATTAACCGAATTTCTGTGTTTATGTATTTAGTTCAGTGCAGCCTCCCTCCATCTGTTTTGACTTGAGACTTCCAGCATTTGTCTTTTCTTTTATTTAACAGCTTGAAAGAAATGCGCTGATGAGTATAATAAAGGGGCCCATCAACATTGCTTATGTCTCACGCTGCTCAGAGAATACAGTCACGCTGCCAATACTGTGGTTGAAGTCTGCTCATCTGGTCAGGGAGTCAGCCTGGAGCACTCTTGCTTCTGAGTCAGAAGGATGTGGGTTCAAGCCCCACTTGGGGACGTTGAGCTAATCATCTAGCCTGTTCAGTGTGCTGCGGGGTGTGCTGCATTGATTGCAGTGACGTCCTTTGGATGAGACGTTCAAGTGAGGTCCCGTCTGTGCTTGTTCCGATGGAGATTAAAGATCCTATGGCGCTCTTCGAAACAAGATACGAATTTCTCTGGGTCTGTGTCCTGGTTGACATCCACCCTCCCACCCCACCCACCCAAAAAAAGATTAAATTGGTCATTCACGTTGTTGCCACGTCCGCCCACACAATATACAGTCAATTCACTTTACAGTATATCCTGTGAAGCGCTTTGAGGCGTCTCGAATATGATAAGGCGCTGTATTATTTTATTACTAAATTACACAGTCACTTTTCAGGATGTGATACGGTGTTACATGAAATGCAAGGCTTATTATAGTTATTATTATCTGCCACGTTTTCGCAAAGTTGCAAAAACTGGATACATCAAAAAGTACCAGTTTGTTTAATATCAAACGCGCACATATATACATATTATATATCTGGCATTTCAGCCCCAGAAACTCAATCTCAACAAGCTGATGACCAACAGAGCCAAATTAGTGCAGTTAATTACACAAAGCTATGAGGAACAAGGAACAATCATATTTTATTCAGGAGACCAATTGATCACATGTCTGCTCTCCAAACACAGGAGGCCTGATTTTATATTGCATATAGATAACAGATATCTGAGCAGACAGATGTGTTGATGGGTCATCCCCTCAACACTTTGCAATCCATCTCTTTCAATAAGCCTGGATACAAAGCTAAGGTCTCTTGTGCTTGGCCAGCACAGTGATGATCAATTAAACTCTGAATAAAACATGAACTTCTGAAAGGATTATGTTTGCGTCTCAAGTCTAGCAAGTTCTTCGCTTTCAACAACAACTTGAATTTATATAGTGCCCTTCACTAATAATTCCTTCAAAAAAAATGAATAATACATTGGTTACTCCACGACTGTTTGTGGGACACTGCTGTGCGCAATTGGCTGCTGTGTTTCGCCCACAAATTATACAGTCAATTCACTTCACAGTATATTCTGTGAAGTGCTTTGAGGCGTCCCGAAGACGCGATAAGGCGCTATTTCAAATGCAAGGATTATTCTTATTATTATTCACAGTGGGTGCCGTCTCGGAGCACTTTCAGACTTGTCTTTCCTTCTTCCCACACCCCTCCCCCCGCACCACCACCCCAGACGTTAAATGTCCCATGGCGCTACTCGAAAAGAGAAGGGAGTTTCTCCCAGTGTGCTTGCCGACAATTGCCCAGATAAAATCATTCATTCACTTCATGCCTATTTGCAGGGTATTGCTGTATGCAAATTGGTTTCCAAGTTCGCCTATGAAACACACAGTCACTTCACTTCACAGTAGGATCCAGTTGAGAGCTTTGAGACATCCTCCTGAAATGAAAGACTCCATATCAAATGCAAGGATTATTAATATTGAATGTTGAGAAAATGTCTAAGTAAAAGTGACTTAAAGCATTGCTCCAATTCACAAGCACAACAGATGAAATTTTCAGTGACTTGCCATCTGGTATTCTGTTCCTACCACAACTGATTTTATGACGGACAATAAAATAGTGAAGCTTTATTTTATCGCTACACCATTACATTTGTTTCTGAACCAGTATAATGCGTTAAAAACCTCTCATATCATTATGTAAAGATTTATCTATGTTCTCGAAAATCCCTTTAAAGTTGGAGATGGTGAATCTTTATAATTGAATATTTCAGTGAGTTTTCAGGGAAGCATCTTAATGTCCACAAAATACACAATCAATCCACTTTACAGTGGATCCTGTGAAGCGCTTTGAGACGTCTGAACGACTTGATAAGGCTATATAAATGCAAGGATTATTGTACTTCTATAATGCCTCCCTTTCTATCTATCTGGAACGTTGCCCCGTTGTGAAAGATGCTAACATTGAAATGCGAAGATCATTAATTTGGGGAAACTGATTTTAAAATCAGCTCTTAAAACGCATAAGTAGTAATAATAATCATCCTCGCGTTTGAGACGGTACCTTTTACGTGGGGAGGACGTCTCAAAGCACCTCAAGGGTTTCACTGTAAAGTGTAGCGGCTGTGTGTTTTGTAGGTGAACAAAATAAATGAAACTGGCTTCCAAATTAGGAATGGGTGTGGGAGAATTTTCTCAATTTCTGCGCAATTTCTTAAATTTTAAAACCAAACGGTTTTAATTCGAGGTGAAATTCGATCTTGATTTAGAAGTTCATCTCTCTGCAACTCTTAGAGAGGCGGCTTCAAAATTAATAATAATAATAATCCTTGCATTTGACACACGTCTTCGAGTCGACTAACAGCGTTTACTGTAAGGTGAATTGACTATGTATTTTGTGGGCGAAACATGGCAGCCAATTACGCAGAGAAGACTGAATGGAACAATTTGTGCCCAATCTTATACTCAGAAGGAAAAAAGGATTTCAGGGGCTGAAATTCAGGCCTGTCTTTACTTGGCATTATTAATATTATGGCAGCAAATGTCATTTTTCCTTCGTGCTAACACGTGGTTTGCTAAGTGGTATTTGCCTCGTCAGGTTCATCGTAAATTGCCAATTTTAAAGCACATTTATATTTACAGCATCAATCAATCAAAAAGCCAGGAATTGAACCCGCACAATTGCTTATTAAATCATATCACTGAGGAGCATTAACCGAGTCAGTTCTGAGGGGAATCCAGGAGGAACACTTATTACAAGAGGAAAATTGTGTGTTCCACCCACCTTAATTAGTTTGGCATCTCAGGGATCATAGAACAACAACAAAAATATTTATGCTTTTTCTCACCTGCCGAACCACCCCATCAGCGAATCAATTCATGGATAAACTGAAGGCGGTTCCGCAGATTATTTCTGCTCAGTCTCACTTGCTTCGGTAGTATGTCAGCCTGGCTCAGTCAGGAGCGCTCTTGCCTCTGAGTCACTAGGTTGCAGGTTCAAGCCCGTCATTTAATCTACCTGTTGCCTGACCTTCCAAGAAAATGTGGCAGATTAGTTCCATTCACAGTAATGGAACAGGTTTTGTTGCACGCTAGCTCGATCGAGAGAGACAGGACGAGGTATTGTTCAGCATAGAATGGTGCTTCTAATCTACAAGAGGCCAGGGAAACTCTCAGAGCAAACTTTAGTCAGGTAAATTAGCACAGTGCAAATGGAAGAGAATATCGATCAGTAGGTTCTTCTATTCCTCTGGGGGTGGTTAGGCATAAATTCATGTTTAAAGGCTGATCTCCTTTTTCCCTTTGTGTGCATCCATGCAAGGATAAATGCTTTGTGTTTTAATCTTCGCGCGAATTCAAACAACTTTAACCGAGTCCGCCGTGTTTTCACGAAATTACTTATTCACCGGCGAGAGCGGGGAACTCAATTTTCACCAGATGTTCGCCCCCGATGCTT